ATGTGATCGTTAAGGAAAGTGGTAGTACAATGCTAATGTGGGATAACAATAACCCAATAGGTCCAAAGGGTCACAAAGTGTGAGGTTTGAACAAATTGGATAAATTGGTATCACCGAATTTAGAATAAGGGTGAAACTAAAAATAATTAAAGATAAAAAGATAAAGAAACAAGGTCATGCTATATCCAGATATAAGTATTTAAGATAAATGGAGTAAATTGATGTTTCCAATATTATCAAGAATACAATGCCCAAAACAATAATAAAAGGGTACTCACCATACATGAGGACATATTAAACAAACAGACATCAAAGGAAGACGGGGAAATAAGCACTTCAGCACCACATTCAATTATTAACAAATTATTTTTATTTAGTAACAAATATCGATCGTTACAATTACTACACATGAATGGCGATTATTAGAAATGGGTGATAAGGGAATTAAAACAATGAAGGCGTCATACATAAAAGTAAAATATAAAAGAACGAGTAATTTAATCGTTAAAATAAATATGAAAAGAAAACTTAAATTTGAGAGGACTTTTAATGTTAAAGAAAACTTAAAGGTATAAACTGTTGATTTTAAATTTTTCAGAAATTGATTACAGCTATGGATTTAATTAAAGATAAAGGTTAAAAAAATGTAAAAAAGAAATCCCTCGATACGGACCGAAGTCCGCATCTCGGAAAAAAAGGAACCCAGCCAGAAGGCTCGAGAGAAAGAGAATGTCTCCAAAAGTGACTTAAAAATTCCTTAACTGGGGTAGACCAGAAAAACTACGACCAATTAAATTTAAAGAGGCGGAGAGTTTGAAATTTAAAGTAAAGGGATTGGCTAGTTTCCCCCCTAAAATTAAAAGAGGAAAAAGAAAGGCGTGAATAGAGGGGTTGGTTGACTTTCCCCACAGGAAGTGCGATGACCGCAACGACCATGAGAAAGGTCACCAAGAAAGTTAAAAAGATTGCTAAAATAAAAAAAGAGGAATAACGTTTAAAGAAAAAATTGAAGGCTTAAATAAAATTAGAAATAAAATTGTCACATTACATTAAGTGTATATGTGACAGGTACAAGCTGCACGTTTTTACGCTATTAATTTTGATGCAATAAAGTCAGTTGTCGATGCAATTGACAGTTCCTGTGCTTCTTCAGTTTATGTCACAAAAGTCGAATTTGCCACGTCGCCTGAAATATATCAGGATATTTAAAAACCACATGAAAATCAATAATTGCCAAAAATACAATCAAAATAACGTATGGACTTACGATACTATTGGAGCAAATTGAGCGCGTCCAAAAGCGATTAAATAAATGTGCGATTCGAATTTCTCATGTTTATATTATCAAATACCGAAATTTTAAAACCCCACGTAAGAATCAGTAGCACTAGCAAAAAATCGGGGGGGGGGGACTATGAAATCGTCACATTCAAAGTAAATAATCAAATGGCAGATATGAATTTCTCAAAAAAGCATCAATGAAATGTTAAAAAGAGTCCATTATAATCTTTTCTTAAAAAATTCCACGCTAGCATAAAAACACCCAGAAAAATATAAATCAATCTTAATTTTTTTAAAACTGAACATCTAAGTTTTCCAAACGTCATAAGTTTAAGAAAAAATGCTGAAAATCGACTAATTGTTGCGACACAGTAAAAAAATCGATCAAAACATAAGTTTTTTAAAAAAGAAAAAGCTAGGTAGAAACTAAAACAAAAATCACTCTTAATTTTTAAGCGAAAAATTTGACCCTAAAAATTTTAATTTAACCTTTTCAAAATGCGGTATTTTTAGGGGAAAAAAAATGTAGACAAAAGAATAACGTTCGTTAGAAAATATTTAGTCATAATAAAAATGCTGATTAGAAAAGTTTATAAAAAAACAAAAAGCGAAAGAGAGGGAAAGAAAACAATTGTTCTGAAAATATATATAACTTTGAAAATTACCGTTATATCTTACCAAACAGGTAAAAAGTGATAATAAAGAAATAAAGTCTATTAGATACATTCGGTTAAAATGTTATTCTATAATAAAAACGAAACTAAGAAATATTTTCAGTTCCTCAAACAAACACTTAATTGTTGAAAATAACGATGAAATTAACTTTGTCTAAATGTAATAATAATATTAAAAAAAATTATAGCATTACAAAACTCGTGGTTCAGTATAAAGTAATCTAGTTTCAATTCTTCAAATTTCGCTTTTCCCTTTGTCTTTCAAAACATAAATTTGCAAATTTTAGAGCTCATTAAATATGTGTAAAAACTGTTTCTAATAATACATAGTAAAAAATAATTTTTAAAAAAATATGTTGCCGAATATTCGTTACATCCCTATTAATCATGCCTCAAAGTATTCCTATCATTACATTTAAAGCAAATTCTGTGTTTATTTATAATTTTAAACTAATCACGCAATTTATTATATCCTTCACATTTTACAAAGAATCATTATGAATAAAATTTAAATATTATAAGGCATAAAAATGTCTGAAATTGTAATTCTCATAACCATTTCTTTAATTTATACCTTTGGTAATAATCAAGTAATATTTTTTCATCAGGCAATATATCTTATGTTTAGATTTAGTTTATAAGTATGCGTGTGGAATATGCTTTAAAAACTCGCTCATCTTCTAGTGTAATTAGGATTTCTCTTAAAACTCCAGGATTTTGTGAACCCTAACTATTTGATACCTTGACACCTTAAAACTTTGAATTAGTACAATATTTAGTCTCTTTTGCCATTAATTTCTCTAAGCAAAGAACCTCCTTTTAAATGATTTCTGATGCAGTTCCATAACACCATCATCTAAACTCATGTTTGTGAAAATTGCAACTCCATGAAGGACTTATGCGAGTGAGCTGAAATTTTCAGGAAATGCAAAGTAGAGCATAATATGCAAATGATTAGAATTTCAGACACGTAGCCCATGCGTATGCAGAGTAGCACCCTCTGAACGGCAGATGGATCCGATCGGATCACAAAGTCCATGTTTCTATAACAAATAACACCTCTAATTCAGTATATATCAGGGGATACTGAATTGATAATTCTCTGGTTCAAGTCAAAATAACGGTCTGTAGATGTAGGAATGGGTCTATTCTTTAAAATGGAGTATGACGTGTGTGTGGCTGAAGTCAGATTCTTGGCCATAGATGGCGATACTAAAATACAAGAAACGCACTCTTTGCCTAAAATTTGCTTGGTTTCCCCAAGCAGATTGCTTATTTAAAGTGGCATTAGAAACAAGAAATGTATTGGCGATCGAAATGGGCTGCAGGTGGCGTAGAGCAGAACTCTTTTCCTACGGCAACACTTCACATGCTTTCCCCATTAGCGTGTGGAAAGTCATAGAGGAAGGAAGTACGTTAGTTTCTCTCTTGATTTTCATATAGATTAAAATCTTTTAACTTGAAAAACTATATGGAACTGAAAACTACATTAAACATAGTTCTAAAGAAAAGTATCGTGGAAATTTTAAAAAATATTTTTATTAAATAAAGAGGAAAAATATTAAGAAAAGGGAAAATATCGCAGTACATTCCTATACAACTGAAAAGAGGAGGAAAGGGAAGGTAGAAGGGCTAAAGGCATGAAACCGGTCTCTCCCCAGATGGCGTATTCGAGTGTTGCGATCGCGAATGAGCAAACATAATACAGTAAGTCATTATTCCAATGTCAAATGAATTATTGAATGTCTCCATCTTGCTAGACACAAATAGATATATATATATATTTTAAACTGTGCAGAAGTTTCACAGTTATTTACTTCTCAGGAGGTTTGTTTTCTTTGGCAAACATGGGTCTCACAATCACAAGGTATCTTCAGTGATCTTTTTTTTCTCTGCGAAACTTAAAGCCTAGATTAAATTAGCCAAATTTCATCAATAGAAGGCTAAAATTGACCGGTAATAAAATTTGCAGTGAATTTGTATAAGTATGAAAAAAAGTTTCCGTAAAACAATGTTAATCGATGCACACTTTTCTTTACTGATTTCCTATAACTGAGGTTAACGTTGTTTGTTGCGAGAAGTTGCCAAATTTTATAGTTCTAGATTATTGGTGCAAAAGCGTTTGCTCCGAAATGGATGATAAGTCGGCCTCTCTAATTCAGAGACTCTGGTAATGGTTACTGTGACGTCACGGAATTCCGATCAATATTTTTCAAAGGAGTTTTCTTTAAGCTAACTGTAACTGTTTGTGTTGTTCGAAATTGTATGTGTTTTGTTTATTTTTTTTTCCAAATTTTTTTTTTTGTAAAAACAATTTATTCTCAAAGCAGAGGAAGTGTTTGTATAATTAAATAAATCATTGCGAAGTTTGCAGATGGTTATTTTAAGAATTTTGCCAGATTCTTCGCTTTAGCGGTAGCAGACTTTAAAAAATGGGAACTAGGAGGTGAGATAAATCATTACTTTAAGATTATAAGGTTCTGTCGAACTATGTACCAATTAATATTTATTTCATCAATTAACTTGAAAATATTAAAAAGCATTATATTCTATCGCTGAATCAGCCAATGATCATACTGTTTTCTTTTTTTTTTTTGTATTTTAATTCTGAAATCGCCAACTAGACTTTCAATCTATACCAATACATCGTTTAAATGGGATCAGATCAGTTATTGCACTTTATCACATTTATATTAGAATTAAATTCTAATTCCTTTATCATTTTGTGAATTAACTATCTGCAAATTTTTCTTAAAGTTTAAATTTGGAACGTTACTTTGCGAGTTTTATGACCATCAGTTTTATTTTTTTTGCTTGAAATTAATGTTCCAAATTTTTGTTGGCTTGGCGAGATTGTAAATTTTTATGGCACTAATAGAAATGTACATTCAAGAAAAATATATTCCCTGCTGTAATTTTTAGACCAAGCAATATTTCAATATATAGCAAGTTTTTACAGTAATTGCTGATAGAATAGCTCTATTGATAATAGAACAAAATATGTTAACTGTAAGATAAAATGATATATTTTAGATATGTATTTTACGTATAACTGAAGATAATTGCCATTATGTCTTTCTTGCTATTTTGCCTGCTTCCATATTTTATTTTGAGGAATTATCGTATTACTTTGCTTATAGCTTATGACACATTAATACATACCGTGGTTCTCATTAGTGAGTTAACAACTATATCGTTTTTTTTAAGGTAGCAAATGTAGAATATATTAAATGCTGTTAATTTATAGGAATTAATAAATGAGTATCAAATGTCATATTCAAATCAAAAAATAAAAGATAATCTTCTTGAATTGAACATAAGATTTTATGCAAAACTTTTTCTCTAAGTCTCATTTTTTTAAAATAAGCAAATATTCAAGAATCCTTTAAACTGCATTCTTAAAAAAGTATCTTATACAAGAGCTTCTTTAAAATAATTTCCAATGTTTTGGTAAATGTTTGAAATAAATCTGATTTATGAGGTAAGGTGCTGTAAAACTTGTCACTTTTTAACTGTTTTCAACTTCTGAATTATTTAGAAAAAAACCTTATATTTTTTTAAATTGTTTCGTTACGTTATATTATTTCTTAACATTTCTATGTGATTTTGGTAAACATTCCCTTATTTATACGTAGGCTAAATTCTGCAAACATTCCCTTATTTATACGTAGGCTAAATTCTGCAAAAGAATTTGACCCATTTTACCCCATGGGTAAAATAAGTCCTATGGGGTAAAATGGGTCACAACGAAAAATGAAAAAAAATTTTTTGAAAATATGCTGAATAAATGAAGTAAATTAGTTAAAAATTGTTCTTAATTTATTTACAATGGTAAATTTTGAAAATAATACTGTTTAAAGTTGTTGCAGAACAGATTTTCAAAACTCAAACTATCTCAGACTTTTCAACTATATCAATGTCTTTTTTATCTGGATAGGTAAAAAAGTCACTCTAGATTTGGTGACATTTTATATGTCTGTCAAGTTCATCAATATATATAATTTGACCAAAAAATTTCATTATTGCTTTGCTTTTTTGCCTTAGTAACCTACAAAAATCCATTTTCCAGGCAAATTGTAGGAATCTCCTTAAACTTGCTAGTTTGCTGTGCTGTAGACTATTTTTTTTCTTCGGTTTTTTTCTTTTTTGGCAAGGTGCTGGTTTCTTTGGTAGGAAAATTGTTTTTCTCATTATTTCTCAGTCAATGCAGTTTCTCTTCTTGAAGGCGTTCCACCACATCAACGTCCATCATAACTTCCTTTGCTTTGTGTTGCTTTCTTCTTTTCTTTTTGGAATTAGCTACAGCTGCTTAGTTGCACTTGATTGTACAGGTGATAGTGTTGATAGAATAGCCCATTTCAGATCTTTAAATGGCGATGATAATAAATGAACTATGTGAATTTTTTTTTTACATTCTACAGCTTCAAAACAAATTTTCATGTGTTTCACTTTCATGGAAATTGTGTAAACATGAAAAATTGTGTAAACATGTTAAAAAATATTACAAAAACAACTGGTTTCTGAAAATCAACTTTTATTTCTTATATTATGTTTTTGGTTTAAATGGCTCATTTTACCCCTCCTTACATAGCAATCAGGCAATATTAATTAATAAATTTTCTTTAAAACAAATAATTATATTTTGGATTAAGTTTGAAATGAACCTGGTTTATAACAATCGGATTAATTTAATTGAGAATTTAACTGGAAATTTGTTTTTTAAGTACAACCAGTTTATTTTAATTTTGTATGAATGTAAAGTCAACTGCACTTATTGCTATACCATAATTTTTTTGTTGTGAAATTAGTATTCCAAATTTTTAGTGGTGTAATGGCCTTGTAAATTTGCATGGAAATATTTGATATATTTGTTTAAGATAAGAGTATCCTCAGCTGTAGTTTTTTGGCAAAGCTAAATTTCCCTAAGTATTACATCTATTGCTATTAGTTTTTTTTTTTAAAAATTGATGAGGTATTTTATTCCTACATCTTATTAACATTACTGTTCTAGTTTATAGCAATAAGCTAAGTACTTCTAAAATTGTAATTATACAGGATTCCATTCTGAACTTATTGTACTTTTCCATGAAAAATGCTGGAAGTGTTGCTCGTTTTGCTTTGCCTGATGGGCTCTTTGTGACCAAAGTCATGGAGGCAAGCAACATTACCCACACTGCCACAGACACTCGTTCATAGGATGGGCCACATTCACATAATAAAGGATAACACACAGAGAAACATCCATGCTCTGAGCAGGATTCGAACCCGCAGCCATTGACTACGCAGGCAGGTGCAGTTGGCGAAGTGGTTGTAAGAAATTTCAGACATAAATAATTAATTTTTCTTATTTCAAATACATCAGTTTCATGCATCTCACTTAATATAAAATGGTGGAATTTTCCCTTATCAACTCTCTGATCAACAAAAAAAAGAGAGAAAAAAGCTGTCTATAATATTTTAAAAGATTTTGTGTTGCTCATATCTAATTGTTTTCTTACAGTTTTGTGGGCTTTTGATTTTGCTAAGTAGTTAATTTCTTGATATTTTTCCATACTAATTTGCTTACGAATATATTTGTTATTTTTTAGTCATAGTCGATGGTTTCACCCTAACATTACTGGAGTGGAAGCTGAAAAAATGCTTACTGATCGTGGCTTGGATGGTAGTTTCCTAGCTCGTCCTAGTAAATCTAATCCTGGAGATTTTACTCTTTCAGTCAGGTTGGGTGTTTCTTTTATTTAATTGTTTCTTTTTATTTAATTGATTTTTTTATTTTTAGTTTATTTGCAGCTTTATATCTATTGTTTTTTTTACTATAAAAAATTTATTGATACAATATTACATCAATTGTGGAAAGTACATTACCATTATAACATGATAGCCCCTCCCGCCAGTCAAATTTTTAAGAATACAAAATTATTTATATTTGCCATTTCATTTGTATAATTAAAAAGTAAACTCTTGTTAAGGTGTAAAATACAGAACTGATTTGTCATCTCTTTTCACTGATAATTTTATTATAACTAATTATTTTTGGTACATTTTTACTAAAGCCATTCATTATATGCTGAAAATAGAATCAAGTATCACATCCCTATTAAATTTAAAATTCACTTGCATTTCATTAGGGTCATTTTTTAACAACAATAACTTTAAAAAAAACAAATTCAACAATTACTTTAAAAAAAATAATAATGCTCATCTGTATCAAATGTTACCTCCAAGCACAATTTTGTTACCACTTAGTTTCATATAAAACAATTTACACTTCAAACTATTATTTTACAACACTAAATATATTTTGTTACCTCAGTGCTGCAAGTTTCATAAATATATGGCAAATATATATACACACAAAAAAAAACTGTTATGTAATGATCCTAACATTGCATATCGTTAAAAAGGACACAATAATAATTACAGAATATAAACCTTTTATTGAAGATAATTACTTATAAAATATATTTTATTTATTTCTTTAGAAATAGTATAAAAATATGTAAATCTATAATATTTTAGCAGGTGCATAGTAAGTATTAATAAATGCTTTTAAAGTTAATTCTACTGCAATATTCGATCTTTTAACATAAAACAAATAGTCTTCTTTCATAGAGAATTCTGCGATATCAACATTCATAGCCACTATTTCGAAACAAATTCCACTTTGATAGTCTTACATGGGTGTATTAAGATTCGGCGCAACACTTTAAAATTAATTTGAATAATAATTTTTCCGGGCAATGTAAATTATTGATGAAACATCCGGGCAATTCTTTAACCTTAAAAAAAATAATAAAAAAAACAGGCAATTCTGGGAAATTTTATATCAGGTTATTGCACTAAGACTTGAAAGAAAAGGTATTCTGTCCTTACTTTCCTGATCTACTTCTCATAAATTCCTGAAAAACTGGTGCAGATAGATAACAAATCAGTTATAAAAAATCACTTGAATAAGTAAAATATAATGCAAATAATTTTTCGAGTCATCTCTTTACTTTTACTTCTAATTTCCTCAGAATTGTGAAATTTATAATTAGCAGGAAAATAGAAACCTTATTTAAAATAAAAAAAGAAAAACAAATTTTAGTTGGTATTTAAATATTTAGGAATCATAAGTCATTAAAGCAATCTTCATAATCTTACTGCCTGGAATGACTCTTGCATCAATAATTCTTAAATAAATAATTGCCAAATTGGTTTGTTATGCATATGTTATGCTTAAAAAGGATATATCTATACATTCATCTTCTATATGAAGGATCTGTTCAATGTAGTTCTTTTTTGATCTTTTTCATTCTACTAATAGAAATTGTCCAACTGTTAATAAATCTCTTCACATATTCTCGATGTATTCACCTATTCTTGCTGTATTTAACTCTTCTATACACTCACTGTCATTCACAATAATTGCAAATTCTTCTGCAGTTGTGATCCATTTTCAAGCCAAGATAATTTCCCACACAACATGTTTTATAATTCCATTAATGCTATCAACAGCCCCTTTTCCATGGCTTACGGCAAAAAGTTACAAAGTTACATAAAATTGTAGTAAGTTAGATGAAATTTTACATAGTTGTTATTGGACCATATTGTTCTAACATGAATGTTAAATTAGTGAATCAATATTTTTGTTTGAATAGGCTTGCAACCCCGTCACTAAAAAATGAAATGTTTTCTAATTGAGGAAATGAACTCAATAAATCATGAATTAAAACATCAAGGAAGAAAAAAACAGCTACTTTTCCAAGATTCATTTCATCACGAATAAAAGTATATCCAGTTTCTCTCTCTCTCTTTTCTTTTTTTTCCTTGTCCACATCAAACAGAACATGTAAAAATCGTCACTTGTTGATGATGTTAATGAGCAGCTTGGACCTCATTTTGCAATTTAACTGCAAAATTTTCTGCAAAATCTACTTGTACAACAACAGACTTTTCATTTGCCTTTTCTTTCCTGAGTTCAAAGATTTTAAATTGTCTTTTGATGAAAGTATGTCTTAAAAATTTGCAATTTTTTTCTTTAAGAAGATGAAGACATTCCTTAATTGAGCCTTTATATTCTTTTTAACAGCTTTCTGATTTTCTGTGATCCACTGTTCCCATTTTAAGCAAGTTAAATTTTGTTCATGAACATCTAGGCATTTTGTATCAAAATAATTTTTGCAATTTCTGAACATATAGTTTTCATTATTCTGATCACATACTATGGAAGATATAAATTCAGGAAAGTTAATAAGAAAATCTTCGATTGCAGTTGTGAGACACAGAATTAGTAATTGTACATTTTCATGATATTTGCAAGCACAAATATTATGTGGAATGTCTTTTCATAATTTTACGAACTGAAGCCTGAGCTAACAGAATTTTGATAGTGATATTAGTGATGGTCCTACCATTTTCTTGCTGAAATTATGGGCCTTTCTTAAAGTCATTATTATAAATCACGTTTGAACTTTCTCTTCTATCCTATTTTTGCAAATTATGACATAATCTTTCTTTCCTGGAGTTTGCCCAAAAATATTATCTCTGAGATAAAACTCAATTAGTTACTCTGTTCGAGATGCTTCTTATAATAGCAAGAATAGATCCAAGTAATAATAATAACAAAAAATGAATGAATAAAATGACATTTATAGTAAGTAGTAGTTGGATGCAAATTAACACATACAAAGTTTTTGTTCGTTCAAAAATGTTGTCTTTTTATTAAAATACAATTATTCATTAACTACTACAAAACTCTTAGTAATAAAAAGTTTTTTAAAAAAATTGGTTCTTAAACTTTTAAAAATAAATATTATTTTTTTGTTTAAAAAATTTTTAAATTTGTAGTTAATTAGGAATATGTTCCTGAAGAAAATTTTTTTTTGATCTACCCTAAAAAGTTTTATGACTTATACTGATTGTAAATAATTAAAATTGTTGGTAAATTAAAAAAAAAAAATCAATGAAAATGATAGTAAATGACTTAAAAATGCTGTAATCTAAAACTTAGTTAAAAATAATAGAACAAATGAAAAGTTCTGATTTTATAAAGATATGAAATAAAAATAAAGTGCATAAATACATAAGTGATCCATCACGTTCTTGAAAAGAATTGGAGAATTGTTTTCTTTAATTCTACTTGCTGTCGTAATAATTATCGATATTTATTAAGTAGTGTGATTAACATGATGCACATTTAAATATTTTAAAATCTCTATAGTTAAAAGATTATANTTCCTAATTTTTTTATATATATATCTTGTTGTCTGGCGTAACTTAGTTTTTTTCTTCCTACAGACGAAATGGTGAAGTAACCCATATTAAAATTCAGAATACTGGTGACTACTATGATCTGTACGGTGGGGAGAAATTTGCTACTCTAGCTGAGTTGGTGCAATACTATATGGAAAATCAAGGTCAACTGAAAGAAAAGAATGGTGAAGTGATTGAATTAAAATATCCTCTAGTATGTGCCGATCCTACTACAGAGAGGTAAATTTTTATACATTTTCAATTACTTTAACTTTCTAAATAAAAAGGAAGAAAGAAATACCATTATACAAAAATATATTATGTATCAAGGTTTGCAAGTTTTGTTACTAGTGTTCAGCGAAATGACACATAACTAAGCAATTACATCATAAAATAAGATTAAATCCTCAGTTAGCTGATATGCTCCAGATTCAACAAAAAATTTTAAAAAATGGTAGAGAGCTACAAATTAAAATTTGCTGATAATTGGTTTATTTAACCAAATTTCTTAAAAGGTTCAACATGGCTTAGTTGTGATAAAGTGGCTTATTACATAAGCCTTTTAATTATTTCGAAATAGTGGAGAATAAAAGTCCTATAAATCAAATTTACTAAACCAGGAAACATTTATTTAAAGACTACCACTCGAAATATTTATCCGCTGTTCAGAGCAAATTGGCATCTCTGTTAGTTAGCAGTATCAGAGATATGTGACCCTTTCTGAACAGTAGGCCTCAAGAAATTGAAAATATTTTACTTCGGTCATAATATAAAGAAAGCCTTGATATTAATCAAATAAATAAACATTTAAAAATTATTAAAACTCAGTTCAGTAGACAATATTTTATTATTTATTAATGCTGGTCTATAGAGTTCACTGCGTAGGCCACCAAGGCCAGAAAAATGCACCTGTACACTAACAATATATTAATTACAGCATTATGCTTTGGCATATCAAGCCTTTTTCAGTAGCTATGATGATATATTACAGAAAATCAACTTATGGCAAAGTTTTTCTTTTAAAGATAAGCAATGTGTTAAGGTATTTACCAAGCATCCCAAAACACAGGTAAATGACATCTTCTTGCGGCCTCTCGTAATCGTAGCCACCATTGCTTCTGTTTCACAGTCTTGTTGGCAAAGCAGTAAAATAGAAAAGGGACTTCATCCATATGCGATGATTGCTATTCAGGTCAAGTTCTACGATTTTCTTTGTAATGAAGAAAAAAATGAAACTTTTTTTCCATCAAATCATTTGGCAGTTTTTGGCCTTGTGTCATTTTTTGATTCCTTCATTTTCGTTGTCACAAATTCTTAAGTCTCATGAATTGAAGTACTAATTGAAACCACTTTGAAATACTTAATGCCCATCTAACGAGCAATCTATTTCGCTAGTATGCGAATGTATACTATCGAGAGGGATAAACCGTTAGCCTTCTGTTCTTGAATCCAAAGCTTCAAGTTGTCTTCCAACACACTTCCGTGTGCTGAGAGTGTTTTGTTTTTCATAGCTGGGATGAAATATCCTTGGCGATCTTCGATCTGCAGATACATCTTTTGTACACATCACTGTCCCTTGCTGCAACTTCATTACTTACTTTTGCTCTTTTGATTGCAGACAGCTTATATGCAGCTGTGTTACTTTCCCTCTTAATGGATGGTTTTTTAAGCACATAACAAGCAACATAAATAATATATAAACTTAAACATAAAATGGTGGAGAACGAGTATGCATTTAATGTCAGTGTATCAACTTTCGCTGTTATTCTTGATGCTTTTTTTCCCACCACGTAGGCCTGTTAAAAAATCATTTTTGCTCATTTTTTCTTCCTTCACGATTCCTTTTAGTTGTTAGGTGGACACCTCATTTCCTTTGTTCTTTGTATATAGGATTTCTAAGTACACTGCCAGGTACAAGATTTTTACCTAAAGTGGGCTGTGCCACTGACTGTTATGAATATTGATAACTAAAGAATTAGGAGAGTAGTGAAGACTGGAAAATCTGCAGTTGACAATTCAATTAAGTTTTTAATCAGGAAATTACAGTATTAAAAGTGCAATTAATGCGCAGGTGTAGAAACACAGGTCTAGTACAGTTTTTTCTATACAATGCTTAATGTTAACAAATGTATATAAAATGCTTAAATATATATTTAAACCAATTAAAACCTGATTAAACTCGCTAATCAAACTGTTGTTTCTAAATCAAGTACTCATTTTGGCTTTTCAAACATATTTAACATAATGCAACATTTGCATCTTCATTTAATTTTTCTTTCAAAAATAACATTTAGATGGTTTCATGGTCCCTTGTCTGGTAAAGAGGCTGAGAGAATATTAATGGATAAAGGAAAAAATGGAAGCTTCTTAGTTCGTGAAAGTCAAAGCAAACCAGGAGACTTCGTCCTATCAGTGAGGACTGATGATAAAGTCACTCATGTCATGATAAGATATCAGGTGTGCAATCTTCTGTATTGATTTATGTGATGACTTTTAATTAGCAATAATTATTCAAACTGTGTATTTGAATGAACAATATTAATTAATTGTGATGCTCTATTAAAGCTAATTTTTAATATGAAATTGGTTAATATAGGATGGCAAATATGATGTTGGAGGAGGAGAAAAATTTGATAGTTTGTCAGATTTAGTAGAGCATTACAAGAAAAATCCTATGGTTGAAACAACTGGAACAGTGGTTCACCTCAAAATGCCTTTTAATGCAACACGTATTACAGCTTCAACTATTGAGTGCAGAGTTCAGCAGTTGGCAAAGGAGAATAGTCAAAGTAGTGGAAAAGCAGGGTTTTGGGAAGAGTTTGAAGTTAGTAATTTTTTCTACTTATTAATATTAAATTTTAAACAAATGTTGCAGAAATATTTTAATCATTTTCTTCTACAGTACTTACAGCAGCAGGAATGCAAGCATTTATATAGCCGTAAGGAAGGTCAAAAGCCAGAAAACCGATCGAAAAACCGTTACAAGAATATACTTCCATGTAAGCATCTTTTTTCCTGATTTGATAAAAGTTGAAGATAGATTTCTTAGTGCTCACATATTTAAATAGTTGTATTATTTTAGACAAACATTATTATGTTACAATGTTACTTTTGCTTTGAAAATCATCTCTGAAAACTCAATTATCAATAAAATGATTGCAAACACAAGGATTGGTTGGTTATACACAATCATAAATACTTTTACTAAATGAACCAGCCTCTGCATGTTCCTGCTATAGAAAGTCATTAAGTGCATCAAACCCATTGTTCTAATTCAAAACTTATAATATGTTATTTTAATTCTGATTCTCCTAATTTATTTAGTTTCCTAATTTTTTCAAATTTTTTAACGACACTAAATACGTTTCAAATTTTTTAAAGACACTAAATACGTTTCAAATATTTAAGTTGTACTTTTGTATTGACCAAGTGCTTAATGTGGTATAACTTTTTTAGCTCTTCTACCAGAAATGAAAAAAGCTAATATCTCTCAAAAGTTTCTTATATTAATCAATGTTTTTAAGAAACAACTGCAGCTTTGATCTATTAATCTTGGTATTTAATTATATCAAAATTCCATGCCTCTCATATAATGCATATTTTTGTCTCATTGTAATAAATTTATTATGATCAAGTATTGGTATAAGTTAAAAAATCTTTTGTGCTAGGAATATTTTAGAGAGTCCAATTCGTGGCAAAATAAATTAGCCTGTCATAGTAATGATGCATTTCACTAAAAAATAATCAGTGTATGTGTGTTATTTCTCAATAAATTAGATGAACATTAAATTAAATTATCAAATTCAGCAAAAATTTAAGAAAGTAAAGCTTCTAAATTGTAACACAATAGGTAAATAATTATTGTTAGTTTCTATACTAACAGTAAGCAAAAATATGTATACATAAACAGTGCCTTGGGATATTTTAAAGTTAAAATACCATCTATAAATTGGTTTTTCAAGAATTAAGTCTTTTAAATAAAGTTCATTTATATTTATGAGCATTAAACTATTCATGCTATCCTTTCTGAAATTTAAACAGTTTATTTTTTTATTCATTAAACTGAAATCTTTCATAAGCAAATATTGATATAGGTTATGTCAGTACAATGACCAGGAGATTTGTTTAGCGAAGAAACCTATTTTTCATCGAAAAACACTTTTCATAAAGAGATAATTGTATTCAAGTTTCTCAGAATCTTTATCTCTCACCATTCTTCTAAAATACTTGAAACATCATCTTTTTAAATGGGATGACAATTGGAAAAAATGAAATCTGTAACATTTAGACACCCAAAATAGCCTTTTACTTTTTGTTAGTTTTCCCTATATAATAAAATGCATTAAATGTAGGTAAGTGTGCTAGTGATTTTTATCAATAGCTTTAAAACACTTTGCTATTGGCTAATTATAACAATTTTCTTTGTCTTGTTTTACCTTTGCGCTTTACTTTAATATACTGTTGTGATTTTCCATGTTTTTCGAATATTTCTAATTTAAAATTAATAAAAAAAAAGAAAACTGCGCAACTTTAGAGTTAATATCATTGATACTAGGAAATAAATTACTTAAACTGCTACATTATTGTCTGAGCTTTAAAATGTCATGTTTTTTAACACTTATCAAAATGCATTAAAAATTAATCTAACTAAACTTTTTTTTTCAGTTGACCATACTCGTGTTACATTGAAGGATGTAGATCCAAATGTTGCTGGATCTGATTATATCAATGCCAATAAAATAACAGTATGTATTTTATGATAACAATTACTAAATTTATTATTATTAGAAATTCTATTAAATTATTTTTTGTATTTCCTCGCCTCTGTGATTTCTATTAAAATAATGCACTCTTGTTTATCTTATTACTCCTCAGTTCACAAAAGAGTTAAGGCATTTAAAAAAAATGCAATTTTTAGCAATTATTATTATTAAATGTGTAAATATTAGTGTCATCAGAAGATATACTATAATTTAGCTGATATATGTCGTCTTGGTGCACCACATGCTGCCGCTATAAAAATGTTATTTTTAAAATAGCATTTTATAGTAAAAAGTGGGTATTGGTTGTGGATTTAACATTGAGTTATGAATACCTATATGTAAATAACTCTCACCAAAGCCCTCTTATTGGCTAAATCCATTACTAAAGTATTTGGTAGACAAGTACTGCCTATTTTTTCAAGAAGAGACCATCTCAAACTGACATCCATGGCAGAAAGAGGCATATTAAGGTTCTTGAAAAAGATATACAAAACCCTCCTGCATTCATAAATTGTGTCCTTTTGTTGTTGAAAAGTTCATTGTGTTGTTGAAAAGTTCTTTTCCTTCTCTGGTTGTTTCATAAATTGTAATTTTTTATCAACTAATTTTTTTCCTGTGATTGCTATTCGTTAAATCAAAGCTAAAAATTCGTTGAATGCGAGCATTTTAGCACCCTTTTTGTCAGGACTGAAAAAATATTCGATAAATCGGAGAATTCGGTAAATCAAAGTATTTTAGATCGAGGTTCGAATGTAGCGGTTTTCGCTACTTGCTTTCATGTTACTCAGAAAAAATATTTCAAATTTTTTTTTGGATTGGCGACGATATGCATTTTTAGAACTTCTTTACAATTGATCAACTAATTTAATTTGTGTCATTATAGCCTGATGATGATGCAGCTGGTGATGAACCTAAGAAATACTATATTGCCACTCAAGGATGTTTGCATAATACTGTTGCTGACTTCTGGTGGATGGTTTGGCAAGAAAATACGAGAGTGATTGTTATGACAACCAAGGAAATGGAAAGGGGAAAAGTAATTTAATTTAAACCATCTTGTCTTTAAAGTCATATACATTTTTGTACAAATTTTGACTGCATTATTAGTTTTGTCTTCTCAGATTAAAAGTTAAATTTCTTAAACTTTCTTGACTTTTTTTCTTGCCTTTTATTTTGCTAATTGTTAGGAAAACTTTAACCAAAATTTTGTCTATTGCATATGCAATTTGATTCCTATCATAAAACAGAAACATCACTTGACATTTCGGTTGCATTTCTTGATTTCTATACTTGGCTAGGAGCAATGTACCCTGCTTAAAATAGAGCTTTGACTGTGGGGACAGAAACTTAGAGCTCTAATATCTATTCGCTAAAATGTTTTCCAACTCCAGGCAGTGTGCAACTCCAGATTCACAAGATATTTTGATTTCAGCATATTAATGTCTTCTATCTACAGCAATGAACACATTTTGTTTGTTTGTACCAAACTCAGTAAAGCAGCAGAATTTTAAACCACTTCTGCTATTTTACTTATAACTGTAATGCAGTGCAAGAATTACTGTATAGTTATTGTTTAGTCTTCAAGCAGCCCTTTTTGTAGTTGTATGTTTTCCAGAGGTTTTTGAAGAAATAATTTTTTATCAGCACCATGTCTGGGAAAACAGAAAAAAATTTATCAAAGTTTTTTTTCAGTTTTAAAAATTGAGGGTAACTTTCTTTTTGCGTAACCTCTCTCTATATATAATAAACATAGCCTAATTAAATTGCTCTTAACATAGTTGGCGTGGTATGACCAAAGATATGGCTCTTTCTCTTCAAATTTACTTACTCAAACTGTTTTGTCAGTTGTGGTCAGTTTGGATTTACTTTTAATTAACCTCAAACAAGGCATTTGATTATATTATGTGTTTATTTTATAACTTAAAACTGAATAACTATTATTAATGAGTGACTATTTTTTTATATAAATTGCATTATTATATCTCTTTCATTTTTTTAGAATAAATGTGCCCGCTATTGGCCAGATGAAAATCAAACTAAAGAAGTTGGAAAGTTTGTGCTAAAAAATTTATCCGAGTCATCAACTACAGATTATATTTTGAGGGAATTTACGTTGACGAGAGAAGGATGTGTAAGTGCTATTTTTAATAAAGTTAATTAATAAATTGCATATAATGGTATTAGAATAACTTGGAATCCTTCTACTGTAGGAAACTTAATTAATTTTTCTTTCATAGGTTGAGTACTTAAACAGGACAAAAGATAACTTCCCTATATATGTTTATAAAAATTCTCTTAAATCTGCTTTTTTATTTTGAGGGGAACACAGTTGTATATAAATGTTAACTGAAGTGATTGTTCTGTAAAAAGTGTTGTTATTGTTCAGAACTGTTTTATTTAATAATGAAGACCTTCAAAGAGAAAAAAAATAAATAAATAAAGTAAAAAATTACTGTAAAGTTTTTCTAACTAAGTTTTTGAAACAAAAATGAAAAAGAGTCACATTACTCACTCAAGAGTTAGAAAGTTCTACCTTCAACTTTCAAGGTTTTTTGGCCATGGAAAATAAAATAGCCATAGTTACAGTAACTTACCAAGTAAAGCTTTGATTTTATACTATCTTTCTATAAAAAGCTGTGGTGGCTTAGGGGATAGAGCATTCTCCTCTAAATGAGGTGAATTGGGTTCGAGTCCCAGCAATGGCTCGTAGATTTGAATTCCACACCCAGCTTGCCCTGACTACAGTGCTGATGTAAAATATCCTCTGTGACAAATGGATAATGGGATAGAGTCCCGTTGCTGTCAGGCTAACTGTGGAAGATTTTCTTCTCCGTGTAACACACACTTGTTCCATCAAAAAGTCCTCCGCGAAGGCAAATTTCTCCCAATTCTTGAACCAGGAGTTCTCTTGTCTTCTGGATTGGGTTCATAACTACAAAGCTATGTAGTTGAGCATTAATAATCATAAACTCAAAATTGGGGCCGAAGTTCAGCTACAGTTGTAGTATATTACTATAAAGAATTGTCTAGGTTTGGAAATTGACCAAGATTTCATAAATTGAAAATAAAAAAAAATTGTTTATTTTTTTAAGAAATCATAAATTTTGTGACTTACATGTTGAAAGCGAGAATCTGGTATGAGTCGCTCTCTCTTTTTATTATTTTTGACTGAAATAAAAAATATAAATATAACATTTAGAAAATAAATATTAGTTATAAAAAAACTGCATTCTTATTAAGTGTCCATTAACTTCTTTGTCATTACATTGTGTTTTTCTGCAGGTTTTTAAGTTATCTAATTCTTAATATTGTGTCTGTGTATCACAAAATGCCAATTTACTCTTTTGTCTTGTTTGGTAAAGCATTTTGCCAATGCCTCAGAGATTATACTGTCAGATTTCTTTCCTAATGGCCTATTTACTGTTCAAGATAAACTGTTTCATTACCTATGGGCCTTTTATTATTTCTATGCTCTATTTCCAGGGTTGCCACAGGCGACTATGGCAACTTTTTTTGCCTGAAAAGGCTAAAAAAGCAACTATTTTCAAGAAAAGGAGACTATTGGGAGACTTTTCTGTACTCCTAGAGATGTTTTTTTTTCAAGCATAAATTGGTGAAAAATCTGCGACCCGCTAGATAGTTCCTGACCACACTGAACTTTTTTTTTTTCTTAAAAAATAAAAAATTTTACAAATTTTGAATTGCAAATTTGAGTCTTCACTTTTTGATTCGTTCAATCTGCACAAATTCCATTGTAAGTCTATTTCATTTCTCGATCACCTTTTCAATGATTATTGCTAAAAAAGTATGCATAATTTTTTTTATTTAAAAATTTTTTTTTTTAATGGTATTACAATGCATGAATTTCGAATTTTAGTAATCACTTTTCATATATATATATATATATATATAAAATATAGAAACATTTATATGAAAATTATCATATTTGCAACCCACTTGACTGAATGGATGATGGTATATGACATTTAAGTCATTAACAAAATTTTAGTCATATTTTTGATGAATTTTTGTTCTTATTAGGCAACTATTTTCCTAGTTTTTGGCTACTATTTTCATGCTAACTACTAAAAGCAACCAAAGGCTACTAAAAGCAACTATTTTGTTCATTTTTTTCTGTGGCAACCCTGTATTTCTGTTTCTCAAGCTGATATGTTTGTTTTCTTGATGATGTTATAGGTTTTCCTTAATTAAAAAAAATACGTCACTAAGAAATGACACAAACAATGCAGTGAAGGAGGATCCAATTTGTGATTTTTAAATTTTTTTTTCTTTCCATTTTTTGGATGATGTTCCAGTTTTCAGAGGTCAAGAACTGTGTTGAAATAGAAAGAGTGCATATTCTTGAGGGGTATTAGCAAAAATTTATTACTAATAATCAAATAATAATGCAGTTATTATTTTAATGAAGATTTTTATTTATTCTTTGAATTAAAGGTAAGAATTTTCAGTTCTTTAAAATGATCAGTTAAATTATAAAAAATCTTGCTTGGAGTTTTTTAGAACTGAAGACTTATAATTCGCAAGTGTACCTATTAGGTTATATGTGAATATACCATGATATTATAATAAAGTCACCAGAATTTTTTTTGTATTGAATTATAATTTGTCATGGTTTTTTTATTTTATTGGTGCATATTTTCAGCTCAACATTACCATGTAATCTTAACTAATATTCTGTGTTGATGCTTGTACTTTTTATAAAAATTTATTTCTCAGAAAAGATGGGGATTTTTTGTTTTACTGAACCCTGTTGTATGAACCCTGATAATATACTTTACAATTATGATTATATAGTCTATATTTTTCTTCCCTCTAGACTGAATCGCGCACAATCTATCACTATCATTTTACTGCTTGGCCTGATCATGGAGTACCTTCTGACCCAGGATGTGTCCTGAATTTTTTGCATGATGTGAACCATAGACAAGAAGCAATTCTAGAGGCTGGTCCAATTGTTGTTCATTGCAGGTAATAATGCATATATGTGGTCATTCTTTTCTTTTAATGATTTCAAGACCTTTAATTAGTGTTTTTTTTTAACCAAGTTTTCTAATGGTATCTACTGTATCAATTTAACTTTTTCTTGCTTAAGAGGAGAACCATCTTCTTCAGCTAAAACGTAGACCTCATGGTTTTAATGCACCGTAGTTATCCATCAATTAAATTTTCAGGGAATTGTTTTTTTTTTTAATTTTAAAGTATTTCTCATTTTAATTAAATATCAAATTGTTTTGTTTGGTAAATTATTTTCCATTTGGACTTGTTATTAAACTGAACATTTAGTTCAGTTTTTATTTCAAATAAAAAATTTTATCATATTACCTCTTGTGTGGTATTTATGATTGAATATTAAAATGATAAGCTGTGTACTAAAACAATATGTTTCTTTTCTTTTTATCTTTTAGTGCTGGCATTGGTAGAACTGGAACTTTTATAGTAATAGACATGATTGTGGATTTAATCAAAAAACAAGGTAAAATTGTTAAAAGATTATATTTCTTAAGTATTTTTCTTTGTGTAAAGACAAAAGAAACATTGTTTAAAAAAATTATTGTATATGTAATTAAGTTAATTTTATGATTAATATTTTAATGTGACATTACAAATATAATATTAGGTTTCAACTTTAAATAAACAATCTTTTTAATTAAATAAGCAAACTTTTTACTTATATTCTTCTCCTTTAGCAAATCAATCATATTTTAGTTTGTAGTTTTGGACCACAAATCCGCAAGGCTTAATATTGCTGATTATTCTAGATTTTGGAGTTTTCTGGATTTCGGACTTAAACATAAAATAATATAATATGTAATAAAGTGTAATTTAATAATAAATTAAAACAATGATGTATTTTTCAACAGTATTTTTAAACAAATCACCAAGTTTAACTTTTTAAAAATATTTCTCTGCGTTTAAGCTTTTTCGTTCAAGTTCAGAAGACTATTTTCATTAGAAACTTCACTTGTTAAGTGTCTCTAAACTTCAACAAGCTTTTTCAGAACCCAAACTATTTTGCAGTTTGGACCAAACAAGTCCACATATAGAAAACCTGCATTTAATAACTGCTAAGCTTGCTGGAGAGCCAGCTAACTGAACCATGATGTGGGCAAATTCTTTTATATTCTCCACCACACTTTCATTAAATAATGACTGTGGGTACACACTTGATCTTCTATTCTGAAACAAAAAACTAGAATTAGTTATTCGGCATATTAGCTAAAAATTTAAAAGAAGTGAGGGCTTGATTACACCTTTTTTGAATAATTTTTTCATATGGACTTAGATTCTCATTGTCTGGTTGGTTTAAGTTCTGGTTCTGTGTTACTTTTTGAATTAAAAGTTTTGTATGACTGATAAGTATTAATTAAAGGTCATCTAATTTTTGTTTGCTGGTAATGGTCAAAACTAAATTGTAAAAGAATGAAAAAAAAGAAACGCTCCTGGGTTGGAAAGAATATTGGGTGTTTTTTTTATAGGACTGTCTATTAGTTATCACCTGACTATCTTTTAAAATATCTATAGAACAGAGTTTAAATAAGATTAAATTAATTAATTGAAATTGGAAAACATTTTTGGCTATATCTCATCTAATAAAAAATGAAATGAAGTGGTATAATGATTTAATTTGTTTTTTAAGCTTTTTAGAATAAAATTTTTGTTTAAGTTATCTTCCAATATTAGCACTATATGCTATTATAGATTTAGTAATAAAATTATGTACTATGTTATAAAATTGTATACTAATAATACTGTTATATACAACAAAATTTTAACCTCAATTATACTCAATAAAACCTACCTGGGTTGGGCTTTTTTTTTTCTTTAAAAAAAAGCTGTTTTTTTCAGCTCTGAGCAGGATTTAATTGAAAAGAGGCTTTTGCTTGTTTATATATTGTTATCGGCACTTCAAGGTTACTACTTATTAAGAAGAAAAATAAGTTAATGTGTCGCTATCTTTTGACTTAAAATTTTTGTTCATTAGTGAAGAACAAAAATTATAAATATTTCTTTTTCACAAATTTACTTCATGAGTAACACTAGTTTTTAAATGCCATCACATTTTTTTTATCTCTTCATTTTTATCAAAAATTTTTGATTCATTTAATTTAAAAATGAAGAAAGTTTATTTTTTTGTGATTTAGCTTGCTTTAATAGATTTTTTCGTCCGCTGGTTTTCTAATGATTTGAATTGATTGTAATTTTGATGATGAAACATCAGTTTCTTGTTGAGATTAACTATGTCTTTTTAATTAGTTTTTGAGACACTTAAATTGAAACCTTGGTGCAAATTTAAGTGTCCATAAGCATTTTGATCTACCTCTAACATTAAAAATCTATTGACCTTTGGCTACAATCTCAGAATGAATGAAGATCTAATAAGCTAAAGCAGTTCTTACATTAAAAATGAGCATTTTAAATTTATTAAAGTTGCTGTTTTCCTTCTAAAAATGTCACTAATTTTGCCATTTTTTTAAATTTTTATTTTTATAATTGATAATTATGTTTCAGGTCTTGATTGTGAAATTGATATTCAAAGAAGCATTCAAATGGTGAGATCTCAAAGATCTGGCATGGTACAAACAGAAGCTCAGTATAAATTTGTTTATTTAGCTGTCCAACATTACATTGATACCCTCCAACAAAGGATACAGGCTGAACAAGTAAGTAACCCTTTTTTTTAAATAATTCCCATACTTATATAAAGTTGTAATTTATTTTAATAAGGATAATAATAGTTAAAAGTTTTGTGAAATGTATTTTCCCCAAATTGCTGAATGTTTGAATGCTTACTATTTATGAAATTAAAGATGTGCAATAAAAATCTCATTTATTTATTCTCTTTTTGTGAGTCTTATCTGCATGTCTTTACAACTTAAACTGAAATTAAAGGTGCTTCATGGAATGATTTATTTCTTTATTACAAACTTCCAACAAGGTACATAGCCATATTAGTTTACATGTAAGCTTCATATCCATTATAAATTAAACTCATTTTTTTGAAAAGGAAGTAAAAAAAAGGTTATTCATGTTAAAGTTGTAAATATAATAAAAATTGATGTGGAACACACCACCAAAGTTTTAAGAAAATGCAATAAATTCATTTTATGTGAAAAATAGGATCAGGTGGGGTAAAATGGGTAACTTTTTAGCTGTTTACAACTACAACTTAAGTTATTTAGAAAAAAAAAGCCATGCATTTCTTTCAAGTTTTTAAAATTGTTTTCTTACATTATTTCTTAACATTTTCATGTGATTTTTTGTAAACATACTTCATAGCTACCAACTCTATTGGATTTACAAGCAGACTACTGGATTTTGCCAGTCTCCCCGTTGTCTACCGGTATAATAAAAATTCTCCCGATATTTGTACATTTTGAAAAATTCCCTGAAATTGATTCTTCCTAAAAAATTCCTATTGAAATAGAATTTTTACGCAATTTATTGCTTGTTTGAATGTTTAAATAAGTATAACTAATAAGTAATGTAACATCTCATTTATAGTAATCAGTTTAAAACTTTCTGTTTTAAAGTTTTCAGTTTATTTTTTTTAAAATTAATAAAAAATCCTTCGACTGTCAACAATGGATTACATGTCAATCCTAAAGGGAAAATATTGTAGACTATCTTTAGCTCATAGTGTAATAAAGTTTTTATATTTTGAGGACAATAAAAATCTCTCAAACCCTATATGTAAACTATTTAGTATAGTATCCAACAGTTATCATGAAGTTTGTATTTTGTAAAATCTACTGGATTTTTTCCTATCCATGTTGGCAATTCAATCTAAAAAATGATAAATTTTTTAAAAGGATAAAATTTGTTCGAAAATATACTAAATAAAAGAAGTAAATCAGTTAAATCTAGGGGGGGAGGGTATTTCACCCACTTTCTTAATGTTTCATAAGGAACGCAATGTTTCTTCGATGTAATGCGAATAAGTGTGCTCTTCTCTCTATGTGTCAACGCTGACTTGTCATGTGTCACAGGTTTCTTTTTGACATATTTTCTAGATGTGCTGTCTAAAAGAAAAAATATATAAATAAGAGAAGCTGGTTTCTGGAAATTTTTAATGAATTAATAGAAAATTAAATTGTGAAAAAGTCAAACATTTTTGACCAAACTAAATGATCTGCTATAATATTGAATTTTTCTAAGTGTTATGAGTCATTGCAGTTTGTTCTAGCAATTTAAAACTAAATTTTTATAAAATATTCAATCAATGTTTAATTTTAATAATTTGAAATTGTTAAAATGGAAAAACAAATGATAAATAGGTTTTTAATTTATCAAAACTTAGTTTAGTGCTTTTAAGAACAGGCAAAATTTACTTAGCCTAACTCTGATCCATTTTACCCCATCTTGAAAAATTGTGAATAATAAAAAAGAAAATTAAAATTTTCTTCACCTGATTGATATTAAGCATTGCCTAGACTGTCCTTCTATTGTATTAATATTTCAAAGAGCAGAATATAATTATTATCTGTACGATAATCTGCAATCATCTGAAATTTTGTTTCCATTCTACAACTTCAAAATAAATTGTAATGTGACTTTCATGAAAAAAATTTTGTTCATTGAAAAATGTTGTAAACATGTAAAAACTACAAAAAAAAGACTTTCGAAAAATCACATTTTGTTTTACTATATTAGGTTTTTTGTTAAAGTGACTCATTTTACACCACCCTACCTACACAATGTTTTGTTTTAGTTACTGGCGTAGTGAAAAAGTTGTGGAAGTAATGTACAATGTAAATGTAATATAACAAAGTAAATCTTTAAGTAAATGCTAGTTCTATCTTCTCTTACTTTTCATTTTTATTCATTTATTTTCTTTTTAATTTTTTTTTCCATCTGTGTTTGATCATTTTACCCTGCATGTGTTTTCATTTGCCACAGTTGGATTTATTTTTCTCTCCTGTTTTTCTTTTGTCAGTTTTACTTTATGATTCTGTTTGATCTGCTTACTTTATGTTCATTGTGTTGTTTTTATTTAACACAGTATCGCTATATTATTTTATAAGAAGATTCTAAATCATTTTATTTAACCCAAACTGAAAATTCTTTACCTACCCTGTAGTTGACAGGAGAATTTTATTTTATAATTTGATCGTGTGTTTGTGCAAGTGTTTTCTAGCTAGAGCTGTTTGTTAATTAGTGCTTTATCTTTTAATTACAGAAAAGCATACAGTTAGGTAGAGAATATACAAACATAAAATATACAGCAGAAGTTGCTGGTGCCACAGAACCTCTTAAAGTTCTATCAAATGCAACACCTTGTCCAGTGACTCTAAGCCCACCAACGCCTACAATGCCTCCTATTTTGACAAGAGGTTCATGTGAAAATTTAAAACCTCCTGTGCCTCCAAGAATAAGCCCAGATGGATTAGTGCCAAGGTAATTATTGGTTATTTGTTGTAATGTTATAATGAATATGTTTATATATAGGTCAGAAAATATTGTACTCAAATTAAGAAACATTATGATTAAGCAATTGTAAAAATTTAGGTGATTTTTTAAAATTTTTTTATCTCTGATCAGAAAATTCTGGAAAAAAGATTGGAATTTAGAAGTCTTTCGCCAAAATTAGAAGATAGGTCATTATTTAAGGATAAAATGCCATATTTGAAAAATATAATTTGAAGAAAATGCCGTAAATTGAAAAATATGTATCTTTATACATTTTCTAGATCATACAATTTATTTAAAATTAACAGTTTTGACAATTTCACATTGTATCAGTGTTAAAAGATTAAAACTGTCAGTGGCTTTTGTTTGAAAACTCCCAATTAACTCGTAAAACCACTGTTTTTTTGAACTGGTCTAGAATATTTTCTTACCAAATTAATATCTTATGAATTCCAGATATTATTTGAATAAAGATAGTAATTGAGTTTCAATTATACTAGAAAATATGGTTTTTTAAGCATGATTTATCATTTAGCAATATGATTTAAGTTGTAATGGGCCATATTGTAGTGTGCCAATTACTTTTATGTCTACTGTAAATTTTTTTCTAAAAATAAATGAAATCCAAAATTTTTATTAACATTGAGTTAGTATTCTATGTCCTCATGCTTTGCTTTTTCTGTTAGCTTGCCTCAGGTTTGAATTTCATGCTCACATCTGGAGTTACCCGGATGCCAGGTGTGCTTTTCTATTTCATTCTCTTTATCTTTCTTGGTTAAAAACTTTCTATGGATTTAATTCAAAATCTTCTGAATGGATGCTTGTATTTGGTTATTTCAGTTTCTCCTTATTTTTTCATTTTTATTTATTTATGATTATATTTTCCTCGGTTATTCTTCTAGGCAGCTCTGATTTAGATGTTTTTTCTGTTATTTATTTATTTTTTATCCTAACTTCAATTAGAATGCATGCATTGACTCCCGTGGTGCAATAAAAAAAAATTTAAAAAATAATATAAAATTTTTTTTCTTCCATTTTTGCTGCTTTGATAAATCAGAATATTGTCCAATCCTATCTTTCTGCCTTCTTTATTTTATATTTTGTTTTTATGCAATACAAATATATATATTTAAGAATAATGTATATAATAACTTGAATAATATGTTCATTTCAAAAATTACCCTGCAATTAACTTACACAGGTAGATGTAAATGCGGTATAATAAAAACTGGCTTTTGTGCCAATAATGCAAAATAACCACAGTATCAACAAATGTAAGAACAAAATTTTTTCTAATTGCTGCCTCACTGGAAATTCTTTTTGAAATTTACATTATACATGTTGGTAGATAATGATCAAAACTTCAAAAATAAATGCTGTATTTATTTCCATAAATCATTTATTAAAAATTATTGGTCTCATGTTTTAGAAAGAAAATAAAAATGATTGTAAACTTCTAAAACGGAATTGCACCGCAGAAAATCTATTTACTGACAGACAACTTTATTCTACAGCTTTACTTTAACAGGGATTTCAAGTAGTACTGATTTTCTGTTCCAGCTGTGGGTACAGAAAGCTTTTAAAACCTTTGGAAAAATACAATTTTCAGAATTACTTTTCCATCCAATTATGTATACTTTTTTAAAAAATTCATTTTCTTTACATTAGTGAACAAATTTTTAATTTCAAGTTTAATTGCAAAATTTGCAGTCATTAAGTTTCATTTGTTATTTCTTTAGGATTTCATTCAAAATGTTATTTTTAGGAATTGGCAAAAATAATTTCAAAAGAATTTGTAAATGCTTGCCATTTTGGCTAATCACTTTTCCAACGATGCTACTTTTTACTACAAATGAGGAAAAAAGCTTTTTCACACTACTAGAAAATTTTAATTTTTCTCTAGGCCGCCGGATGAATCATTGCAATTATATGAAAATATACCACTTAAAGAAAAATCTTTGAATTCCGCTTTTAATATTGGACCACCACCACCTACAATTGCACCACCCCCACCACCACGGAAGACGTGACATTACATTATTAAAGGTATTATTTATGATTATTTTAAGTTTTTTCTTCATTTTATTTTGTTGAATATTTGCCATGAGTGAAATTATTTAATTTTTTCTCTTTCTTTTTTTGCGTTTTATTTATTTATTTATTTTTATTAATTTTTATGTTTACTCAATTGCTACTATGTTGATGAATAATTGCACTAATATAATATTTATAACTAACTATATATAATATAAAATGATATAACCAACTGCATATAATTCAAGCATTTAAGGAACAAACTCTTTGGCAGCTCGGTGACCCTATACATCACAATCTTATTACGTTTCTCAAAAAAATAGGACTATACTCTCTGCTTTAAAAATAAAGTTTTTTTTTTTAACCTAGTCGCGGGCGCAGTATAGTCATGTCTGGCTCTTGTGCCAATAAACTTTAATCAACCAACTACAACCCATGATAGGGTTATTGCTAAAACGAGTTTGTCGTTAGTAGCATGTAAAAATATTTAACGTTAAAATAAAAGAGACAAAATAGACATATTTCACTTCTTCCATCATTTGGATGAACTATTTTGGTTATAAATACATATCTATAGTGCTACTTTTGCTTAAACTTTGACAATTTGCCAAATCGTTATACTGAATATTGATTTAAAAAACAAGCTGATAGGAAGAAAATGAGGGATAAGGTATAAAATGTGTATTCTTTTGAAGTGTGCAGCAGTTTTTTCCAAAAAAAAAAAAAAACTGAATAATTTTTTTTTTACAAGAAAAAAGATTACTTGGTGCTCACGTTTAGTTTATGACCTTGACTAATTAAAATTGTTAGAAGTAGTTACAATACAAAATAATGAAAGAATTCATTATTTTGTATTGACCCCATTTTTATTTTGCCCTTTATCATATGATATTCAAAACCACGTGTGTATTTTCGTAAAAAAAATTTCATAATAATGGAAACTAGTGATTTTAAAATCTTTACAAATACTTAATTTTTGTTTCTTGAATAATATTTATAGAATTTTCATTGTGATTTGCGAGGACCTGGAGTATAATTATTTTTGAAGCTTCAGTTTCTCTAAGGCTGAGGCATTTACTATATATTTATAAAAATTTAATTTTGTTATTTTTTCATTCTAAAATAAGGGAATCGAATCTAATAAATCCTTCGTATTGGATCTTGAATCATTATAAATGTATTTTAGTGCCAAGAATATTATTTCTACAGCAATTTGGCTTACTCCCAATGCTATTGCATTGCAGCAGATCTCTTAAATGAAATTTATCTTAGTAAGAGACTTTTACCATAAGTTACAAAGCCTGTTCATATCAAAACCCAGATTTTATCAAGGTAGCCTTTAGCACGTTGTCGTTTTACTCACATAGACTTACTGAACGCTTGAATTTACACCTACGTCAAATTGACATTGACTAATAAAGATATTTTAACTAACTGTGAATGATTGAGACGTTTGTGGAACAGATTTTTTGAGAGCTTTTTCTGAATCTTAAACCCTTGTTCGGTGACCCTATCATACCTGCCAACTTTCATGCATTATGCATAAAATTTACGCAATTCCAGTCATCTCTACGCTTGTACGCCGTTTTTTTATGCAATATATCGAATGTGTCTTTTTTAAATGATGCTTTTAGTTTAGTGTCATAAATGCATTTCTTCTGTATGGAATTGGTTGCCTGATTGTGCAACTGCCTCTACGGAAGGGAACAGATGCTCTAAAATATGGCAGTGAGAGCGACCTTCAGCGGATAAACGTCATACAGCTATTGTTTATGCATGTGGGGCTTAATCATTTCTTGTATAGGACTTCGTGTCATGCGTGCAACTCAACTTCATTTTATAGTTGGTTTTATTTTGATGGCGAGCAATTTAGAATTTAATTTTAATTATTTATTTTGATTATTTTTTTTATTTATGATAAAAGTTATGGCTCAGAACAAAAAGACTATAGCCAAACTTTTAATGCAAAGTAAAGGAATTTTCATTTTTAAAACCATATAGACTTTATGAGAAGTGTTCTGTGAGATTTGCCATTGTGATTTTGGCATTTCTCATCATGTTAAATCTGTTAAACACATGAAATCTGTAGAATCAATCAACACTAGCTTAAAATGAGATGGATATCTAAAGAATGATGATATGGATGTAATTAACACTTAAATGTAATTTACACCATTTCTCATAGAAAATCATTAATGTTGAAGTGGCTGACTTGGCCAGAACGGAATCTGCAAGATTTTCTAGTCTTCTGTTTTTTAAATTTATTTCCATCACTAATTAAATCGGAAGATACATCAGTTGATGAGCTTCAAAATAGATTTTGTTCATTTGAAGTGGAGAATATTTTTGAAATTATTAATTCTGACTAGCATGTGCATGCATAATGGGTTGTTGAAAGAGCAAATGGGCACTTTAAATGTAAACAACTTTCCAAGATTATGTTATCAATTTTAGTTATTCCATATAGTAATGCTTAATATGAGTAAGTATTTCGCCTTGTGGGGGAAAAACACAATTTCGTTCTATTGTGACAAAAAGAATTCTACAATTCACACAATTCTAAGCAGTATTATGCAAGAAAATTGTCTCAAGATGCATTTAAAAAAAAAAGACAACTGTTGCTTTCCTTTCAAAATCTTTAATGTATTTAAGACACTAGAAATGCTTTGAATTGTGTGTTTTATGATTATAATATTAATAGCTTTTAATTATTTAAAATTTATATGTTTTTATTGGTCAATAAAATCAAATATTTCTTTTGCTCTTCTATAATAGTTACTTCTTTGTTTAAAATACACTTTATAAAATTACAATTTTATGTTAAATTTAAAGTTCATTATTTAAGTAAATACTTAAGCTAAATATTGGTTGTTCATTATTTTATACATTGAGATTTTTTTAAGTTGGCAGCTATGCCCTATATATCACAATCTTATTAAGTTTATCGAAACGATAGAACTATATTCATTACTTTAAAAAAATAAGTAATTTTTTCTACCTAGTAGCTAGCGTAGTAGAGCCATTTCTGGCTCTTGTACCAATAAACTCTAACCGGCCAACAAAACCTGCATAAGTCCTAATATGATCTATTAATTACATCAAGTTTTTAATGTTGCATATGTTTTTCTTATTTAAAGGTCTTGAAAAACTAAAGTTGCCATTCTGCTTTCTCTCTGCAATTAAGCCATTGCAATAAGAAGCAAAAATTTGCCAATACATGTTGTGGAGAAGTACATCTTTAAATGATGTAAACGTGCAGTATAAAGACTATAGGTTATTTTTTTAATGATAATGCTTTATGTGCTATGTAAATATGTATCATTCCAATTTAGGCTATGAAATTTCGCGCTTCATTTTTATGGCTCAATAGTGTGCCTTTTTTTTTTGTCGTTTATGCTTACTCTTTGTTTATTTCTCTATGAACAAAGTATGTGCTTATTGCCTTTCATTTAAAGTTGTGATGTATTTTGAATATGTTAAATGATTTGGTAATTTTTTTTGTATAAATTGTTCAGAAATTCACAATTTATTTACATATTATCTGCAGACTTTTATTGTGATTAATAGTTTTTAGATTATTACTATTAAATAATAGACAATAATAAATTTTATAGCGTTTTTCAGTTTGTGTAGCATGTTATGTATGAAACGACTTGAAAATGTTTTTATTTATTGTTAAAATTTATTTATTATATTTTATTGTTATATATCGATATTCATATAAAAAGTACTGCAATTATAAAAAATTGTCTGGAAGATGTTTTTAGCACCTTGTGATAACCTGCTCGCTTAGGAACAAGAATAAAATCTATGTTATAATGAATTTTATTGTAAAGTAATGTACTGATTTAATTTAAAACAACTTTGTTTAAAAAAGCAAAAAACAGAAAAGAAAAAAAAAACAGCAACAAAAACAATTTCTGTCTTTTTTCTTCCCCTCATTGAAAATCATATTTGGTGTCTAAATGCACACAGGGCTATCAATGGTTCTCAACTGCTTTTGTTACAATTTCTATTGCTTTGCATTATGATTAACTGAATGTTCTTTTTTTAAAAAAATTTTGTTTCATTGCACCCTTCATTTCTGTCGATCCTCATTGATACCTCTAAGAACTTGATACATAACTTTTGTGCTATATATATATATATTCACAGTAGATTCCCGCTTATCCAAGTTAATGTGGGTCACGACTAACTCGAATAACCGAAAAACTTGGTTAAAGCGAAGAGTATAAAAAAGGAAAGAATAGCTTTGCTGGCAATAATGTAATATATTTAACAAATATAACATTAATACGAGCACACTACATACAATTCATATTAAAATTAAAAGGCTTACATAAAAGCACTTAAAGAGCACATTTTATGAGAATTAGTTTTTACTTAAAAAATTTCGTAATCGCTTTTTTGTTTTACATTACTTTGGTGCTTTTCTACAGCAATGTTTGGCCATTTTGTTTAGGGATAACAGAAAGGCTGGTGGTTCCTCTCGTTGTTCTAAATATTCAATAGCACTTTCGGTAGCTTTTAGTCCATTTGTAGATTGTTATACGTTAGAGATTGTTATCCGTTAATTTTCTTCATCATCTTTGCTAGATTCATTTTTCTTATTGCGATATTAACGATCATTTCATCAGTTATCTTGTGTTGTTGGTCAGCGTTCATCCATTTGCGTAAATCTTCGTTGTTGATTGACTCAAACAATGGCAATTTCATCACTAAATCCAAAAGATCATCACTATCTTCATTGGAATTTCTGGGCTCTTCTGTGTTTTCTGTATCAATGATTTTCCTCCAGGACTTCATTAAGGTTGCTGGTTTAACTTCATCCCATGTCTCGACTACCCAATATACAGCATCCTTTAGATTAAAGCTTTTAAGTGTCTCGAGAACATTTTTTTTTCTCAATTCCTTCAATAAGAGTTTTTAGTAATTTTTTTCGATAATGTTTCTTTGTGTTCTCCAAAACACCTTGATCTTAAGGCTGAATTAATGATGTAACATCGGGAGTAAAAATAAGGGCTTTAGTATTGCTACTCAGTAATTCATCATCATCCGGCTGACAAAAAGCACTGTCAAGCAATAATATTGCTTTCCTTGGAAGCTTTTTGATTGTTAAGAATGTTTCTACATCAGGAACAAATTCATCAAAAAACCATTTTTTAAACAAACCTGCATTCATCCAAGCACTTTTCTGATTCTTATAATAGCTTAACTTCTTATAATAGCACTAACTTAGGATGTGAACATTTTTAAATGCTCTTGGTTTTTTGGACTTGCCAATCAACATTGCATTCTAATGTTCACTCCTGTCTCATCAGAATTGAAAATTTGCTTCATTTTAAAATGTTCTTTTACACTGAGTTTTTTAAATCTTTCTTTTAATTTAATAACTTCCTCACAATCGACTGATAGTTTGTCACCGTATATGCACAATTGTCGAATTCCGTATCTTTTTTTCCCCAACTATCTAACCATCCACTACTAGCAGTGAAGTTTTCTCCACCATGGAACATTTTATGAAAGTCCAATGCTTTTGCTTGTAACATAGGACCGGTCACTAGACTTCCCTTCTCTCTTAATTGTGTGAAACACAGGAGTAATGACTCCGAGGGTTTTTTTCTTTCAAATTCACACTTTTTCATTGATTTTTGTAAATTGCAATTGGCCTTTTCTGTACACCATATTTCTATTTCATTTCACTTCCTTTTCCAGTCTCCAACAGTAACGGCTTCGACACCTCAAGATCTTTCGTTACTTTCTTTATTGATTCAGCATTATCTATTCTTCAGATTGTTTCATTAGGAACAAGAACTATTGCTACTCATTTATCCTATTGCTACTAATTTCGAATCTGTAGAATTGATTGAATGAAACCGCCTAACTTTACAGATAACGCTGGACAATGTGAACAGCCAAAATCATTCTGCGATTCTACAGAGGGAGGATGACTGTCAGTTCATATGACCAGTCGAAACCATTCCCCGATTCCAGGGGGGGGGTGGCTGGTAACATAACCAAACAAACGATAATCTAATCAGAAAATGAATCTAATTTACAAATACAGAAAAAGACTAAAATGGAAATTAATAATTGGAACATTAAATCAAAATGGAAAAGTGCCTAAAGCAGCTAAAACCAAATTTGCTTATTTTAATTTAGGTATTCAAACAAACAATTAAAGCAGGAAAGAAAGCAATAAAATAAAAGATATGTGTGTTGGCAAGACAGCACTTCACAAGGCATCTTTTTATTACTTTTTCCTGCTTTAATTGTTTGTTTGAATATCTAAATCAAACTAACGATAATTAACTTTGATCTCGATCTCCTCCAATACATACTCTCTTTTCAAAAGAAGGGGAGGGGTTAGAGAGGTGCGTGATACAATGAAAAGGATAAGGGAGTGATAATGTTGGATTTCGTTTTCTTGAGTGTTTGGAAGATAAAATTCAGATTTTTTTCAATAATAATTAAAAAAAAAAACTAGAGCAAAAAAACAACCTCAAAATATTTGATAGCTCGGTTAAAGCGGAAACTCAGATAATCGGGACTCTACTGTATGTATATTGCACACATTGCTTACTCACTCATCTCATCTCATCTCTATAAACCTTGTATGACTTGGGGTTTTAGTTTAGAATTCTAATTATCAATTGTTTCTAATTTTCTAGAAAATGAACATTTTTATAATTTTTTCTCTTATTATGAATGATTTATATTTTATTGGAAGATAAAAAGAGTTATGTATTTGCCTGCATAGCATAATGGGGGATAGGACATGGGACTACTATAATTAAAAAATGAGTTATTTTTTAAATGTTTCATGACTACCAATGGAAACAAGATTACATTATCACAGGATCTTATTATGATTTGACTGATTATTGCATTGTATTGACATTATTTTGAAATTCATTAGAATGTTGACTATCTTTTATTGTTTTATTAATTGATATGCATATTAAATTTTTCTCTGTTCTTGATCTCATCTTACTCTAAATGTTTTAAAACATATTGTATACTGTGCAGTTCTTGCACTTTTCTAAGAGGAACTTTTATGTTTATGGGCTATACGTATCAACTGAAAATACCTTAAAAAATGTGCATATTGTAATAAGTTTAGCATTGATTTATCCCTTGTAAAAACTAATAGGTTAATAGAAATTTTGTTCACTACTTAGTTTTTCATATGAAAAGTGTTTTAAATAAAAAAGATCTTTTAGTAATTGATTTTTTCATCTTTTTATCTAACTTTCGGAAGTTTTCTAAGTAAGGAGATATTTCACTATATTGGAATCTGTCACTTTACTAAACATTCTGATTATCCAAATAAAGTGAAACTTGTGCAAGCGTACCATTTATGATGTACTAATTTAAATGGCTCACTTTAAAAAGGCGGTCAACTTATAAAGAAGTGGTTCAACTATTTTTATTTTTTTTTGTTGCCAATTTCATAGATGTCAACCCAAAAGTCCTGTCGTCCCACAATGTTTCGAGTGGTAACGAATTAACAATTAATGCAATCTTAATGTGTTTAAATTTTGCCAACATTTAATATTTTGCTGTCCAATTCACAGAGCTTACCAGTTCGTTAAAACTGATTTTGGTTAAAATCTGTGTAAATTAATTTATTTATTTATTCAAAAATAAGTTCACTAAAACTTTAATTAAAAAATATATATATTTATTCGAGTGGAAGATGTTGGCAAGTTGCAATTTTATGTTTAGTTATAGAAATTTACTTAAGACAGAAGATTGGCTTAATGTAATAGTTCCTGATATTAGTTCCTTCATCCTATTTTTAAATTATTGATTTGAATTATAGCAAATTAACTTTCTTGAACCCTCTGAGCTTGAAGTCCTTGCTTTTTTCAAGGTTGTATCATGGACTCCCAGTCAATTTTAAGAAGTTTAGGCCAGTCAATTTCCTGCAAAAAGTAATAATAATAATGTAAAAGTTTCCTCGTGATATTCAGCAGAAAGTCTTGAATTATTTCACAATTATGTCCAGGATCTCAATGCTTGGGCAGTTAAATATTATATCCAATTACTTAGTTGCTTAAAAAAATTGTAAAATTTAAGAAACTTGCAAGCGAGTATGGCTAGTTTAGTCAATTTCCAATGTGACAAAATTATTTCTAACATAAGATAATTGTCATAAAGTTAGGATTTTATTATGATATTTATATAACACCGTTTTAGTGGAGAAAAAAAAAACCTTAGTGATAATTAATAATTTCAATTTTTGTTTAGTTTCTATTAAAAATGAAGAAAATTTTTATTGCTAAACATTGTTAAATCTTTCATACAGATCAATTTGCAAATAATAGCTTAATTATGTGAATGGCTTTGATGTTTAATTAGCTATTGCATCATTTGGTCGTATCAAATTTTAGTTTAAACTAGTAAGACAATTGTGTTAAATTGAAGATTTGTTTGCATATATATACTTATGAATGTAATATACAGTGATAATTTAAACAGCTTAAAAAAGGTTATTGATATTGTTTTACAGTTTATGTTAGATTTATTGATGTTGAAACTGAAGAAAGTTGTAATGTTTCTTGCCCAAAATGTTATTAATGTGTTAGTGTTAAAAATTTTCAGACATACTGCAATATGGCACAAGTTAGCGAAATGTAAATTTTAATGTATATAAATTGTTTTGGCTTAATAAAATTTAATTTTTGAAAAAAGTCTTTTTTTTTAAAAAAAATTCTTTTGAAATGAATTTACTCTGCATATTTAAATTTATAGAATCTTTTTTTTTGTTTTTAACTTACGTATGAAATATTTGATATTTATTGAAAATTACTGAACTAGTATAGAAATGATCTCATTAGTTGTTGATAAAGACTCAGATGTTTTTAATTTTAACTAAAATAATATACTGTTTAAAAATAATGAATTATTTTTCAATATAATGTGATTTTTTGTTTTTAATTAAATTTTTGATAATTTTCTACCATTTGAATCTGAGTGAAAGTACTATTTATTTAATACAGCAAAAAATAATTAAAACTTTAATTTAATAGAAATTAAAACTTTCATTAATTCATTGCTTTGATAATATTGTAAAATTTTTAGATTAAAGTATGTTTAGCAACCTCAAGTGTTTCAATATATTTTTTATAGGAAATATAAATGATAGAACAATAATAAATAACAGTAAAGAATAAATTGATAATCTAAATACTAGTTACATTTAATTTTTGTGCCTCTTTTAATGCCCCAGGAGTGCATATTTGTGTGACGTGTATGGCACACCTGGGGCCTCGAGCTGGACCTTAGAATTCTTCCTTTTCTCTCTTGCAACGGTTCTATTTTGATTTATAGGTTTTACACCTCATTTAGCTAGTGAACTAATACCCTTTCATTTTGTTATAAAAATGCTGTTATTATAAATTTTTTTAGTTTTACTAATTTCGACCAATCTTCACTTTTTCATAAGTTTACAGGCTAATAATGTTTATTTTGCTGACCAGCATGTTTATCAGATGCTGCCTTTCTCAAGTTAAAACTAATAGAGTCACAAATAGAAAAACTAATAGACGGTCACCAGCTCAGTTTACTGAATGATGAACTATTATACTTCCACTTTGCAGCCAGAATATTTCACTCAATAGAATTAATAATTTGCTGTTCCTATATTTATAGTAACTACATTAGAATTTAATAAACACAATGATTTATGCCAAAGTGATATTTCCCCTCATTTTCAGGATCGAAACAAAATGTAGGAAACATACAACCTAAATGTTAATTTTTACACGATAACTAAAACTTATTGAAAAATTCTGTAGACTTAGATGACGATTTAGTAATAAAAAATAAATAAAAACTGTGGTAAAAGCTACAATAATTGTTACAAATGCCATTTTAGCCACAGCTGATAAAAGCACACCCTGCTCTTCTACCGACGCATCGAAAACCCTGGTGGAACCTGAAATCTAGTACTGCCCATAAAGCTCAAAAGAGAGTCAATAGCGCAGGGATAGCAAATGTCCCTCTGCTGCTTTTTGTTTATAAACTCACACCTACCATTTCAATGTGATGTTAGTCGTTAAGTCCACAATTTTTATCTTGTAAATTAAAAAAAAAACAGGTCGAAAGTGTGATAAAATCATTTATTTCTGAGCCATTTTTGGAATTAATTCATATAAAATAAAAACGGAAACTCGTGGGAAAAAATATTGAAATTGTTGGAAAGGGGGCAACATTTAATGTGAATTTTTTGTAGGTTGAAACAGTTCTTGTACAATGCAAGAGGTGCACAGCATTTGCGAGAGTGCCTCTTCTTTTTTAATATAGGTAATTATTTATTTTGCGCACAAATCAAATCTTCTTGTTCTCCGTCAGTTGGGAAATGTTCTGCAACATTTAAGAGGTTTGTTTTTTTGATTAAATGATCCCGATGACGTTTTGGGAAAAAGTGCCTTTTCGTATTGATTTTTTTGCTTGCACTTCCCAATCTCAGGAGACTAAGCAACAGCAACGAGGAATAGTAGTAAATGTCTTTTTCGGTTTTTACATCCGTGTTCATCCATTTGACAGGAATATGTGTTCGTTTGCAACTTGAAAAATCGAACCACCTCTCTGGATCTCTCTTTTTCTCGCAGTCGTAAACGCTGGTGCTTTCTTTCATGTAGGTGACGACACATCCATGGGACAGGACAGGGTGTACAACAGACTCTGTGAAGTGAAAAATCAGTCGAAACAGATTAAGATTTGAGGAATCTTCAGAGTAGAAACAAGCTTTTTCACAACGCGTTCTCCTAGACTTGCTTCGGTCATTGAAGATTTCTTCCTAATGTAAATGTTGTAGTCGTATACGTATCCTGTTTTGGAATCGCAGTTTTCCCAAATTGCGATGACTTTCATTACTGGTTTCAGGAGTTTGTACTATTTCAGATTGCTCCCTCAGTGGATTTACTATTTTTAGGTAAACCCTAGGAATCACGCCATCGGGGTACACTAGTGATCTGTCCTCCCTTCGTTTTCCTCTCTTTTTTACTCCTACTTCCTCTTACCCCTTGTCATGGTTGCCAAATTTACTAGTGAGGGATTTTCGTTTGTGTTTATTTACCACCCTGTAAGACACCACCTATGTGTTCGTCATGCGTGGGGACCCGTGTCCCTGGAAAAGGAGATCCTGGCAGTTGAGAGTCATCCCGGTACCCCAACACACTGGTTTGGTTCGTGCTCCAGGTAAACAAGAGGTGCATATTGGCCTGTATGCATCAATCGGCTAGTCACGAATGTCATGTCATCTTTTGGCTAGAGTCAAGTCCGGGGTCACTTACTGGGCACCTCGTTAAGGGTTGGGGCTGCTTCAGGGGTGACTCGCGGACGTATTGCTATTAGTCAACATCGATGTTCCAATACCTATCTGTTATTTGCATCCCCTAAGTTGGACTCCGTGGTGAGTGGTGCCGCTGTTATTTAAAATGGTTAATATTTTCTAGGGCTGAAAATAGTAAGGTGTTCATTTTCACACACACCAATGCAAAAACGGCGGAACAGCATCCCCACCGTTTGATTAATTACGCTTGTTTCTACTTTATTACGTTCACGAACCCAGAAGTACCAAACACTTCATTTACCGAAGTCTCCCCAATTTTGATTTACAAGGCTCTTCTCTCTCTACTGGGAGAAGTAGCCTCTGTGAAACAGTTACGTTCACGTGACCTTTTGGTTGAGGTTTCCAAAAAACAGGCGACTATTGTATCTAATTACACAAACATATGCTCCTTTAATGTTACAGTATTACGCCATAAGACTCATAAAACCTCTCGAGGTGTCCTATCAGAATCTGATTTCCTCGATAATGCATGCAGAGGAAACAATTGCTGAAAATTTAGTGCCAAAGATTTGGACACCCTAAAGCATCTTGTCGTAGCAAGCCTCTTTGTTCTCGATGCTCTGGTTCTGACCATGGTGACACTACCTGTGAAATGCCACCCCTCTGCATTAACTACAAGGGTGCTCACGCTGCCTACTCCAGGAGTTGCCAAAAATGGTCCCAAGAGAAAGATACAAAGTGTCAAAGTATAGTATGAAGCCCACCGAATAGTCACCACCCGTATTCCCCTCGCAGGTGACACGGTCCTGATAGTATCGTGCGCTCCGCCACCAAGGTTGGATGTCGCTGTCAAATGTCCTCATTCTATTCAGTAGAATATAGACGGAACAAACATACCCGTCTTGTTGGAGTGAAAGCAGTGTGATGCCCATCTTAAAACCAGGTAAAGACCCTAAAGATCTAGTTAACTATCGCCTTATAGTGTTAACCAGCTGTCTTGGGAAAACGTTTGAGTGGATGGTCAACTCTCACCTAGTATACTACCATGAAAAAAAAAGCACCCCCTACCTGACTTCTAGAGCGGTTTTCGTAAGGGAAGATCCACAATTGATAACATTGTTGCTCTAGAGTCACGAATTCGCAACGCCATTGTCCGTCCGAAGTAACGCCGAGTCACGTTGGCATACCAGGAAACGACCTGGCCGATTCTTGTGCACGGTCTGCCACTGATCTCTTTCCATTATCTGTGCCTTCTCACTCGACTGCGAATCGGTAACACCCGGTTAACACATCTTCATTTGCTGTTCGGAGAACCTCTCCCTGAATGCAGTACTTGTAACGTTCCTCTCACAACTCATCATATTTTAATAACGTGTCCATGTTTTAATCAACATCGTTTAAAGTTATTTGGGAGTTCCATTTTATGCATTCAAGATTAGTTGGATGACATTCACCATCCTAACATTTTTAACAGCATATAAAAGTTTTAACACATNCCATGTTTTAATCAACATCGTTTAAAGTTATTTGGGAGTTCCATTTTATGCATTCAAGATTAGTTGGATGACATTCACCATCCTAACATTTTTGCATTTTTAACAGCATATAAAAGTTTTAACACATCTACTGTTTTATACACTCTTGTAAATATCTTACCACCTTGTACATTTTACTCACTTCGTGCGTTTTATACTGTATTCATACCTTTTATCTGATTTTAATTAGATTATCTTGTCTTAATCACCTACTAGTACTATTTTATTAATTATAATTGTGTTACAATTAAATTTTGTATGAACTTAGGTTTTTCAATGATTTTACCGTATTGTTTGGCGCAGCATGTTGGTATTGAGAAGGTGCACAATCGGATATGGCGATATGAAATTCTTAAGACAAACTACGACATGGGACTTTGTTGAAATCTACCCATCTTCCTCAAGAAGTTTCTGTCGAAGCGGTATTTTCGAGTAAAACTAAGAACTACATTTTGGGATCACTTCATTGGGCCCATGTCCGAGAGTTCATGGGTTCGAACCCCGCCGGCCAAAGACTCCCCGTCTAGTAAAGTGACTGATGCACGTTAAATCTGTCGAGTCGCAAAAGTCCTCCATGTTCCCATAACAAATCAATACCTATGGGGGTACTGAATTGGAGATCGATCGTTCTCTGATTCAGGTCATAATTACGATCTGTGGATGAATGAATGGGTCCGCCCTATAAAACAGGTGCGACGTTTGGTGTGGCAGAAGTCGTATTCTGGGCCATAGATGGCGCCACTGGAAAACAAGAAATGCACGCTCTGCCTTAAATTTGCTCGGTTTCACCAAGCAGGCTTGCCCGTGTGGCAATAGAAGCAACCAACAAGGCAGAATGCGTTCCTCAAGGCAGTGTTTTAAGTGTAATACTTTTCATTATCCATGTTTCACTCATTTTGAACGTATTTCTTCCGTATTTGATTCACTACATGTTGACGAGACTCTGATATGCGCGTCAACTGCAGTTGGCTGTGAATAAAATTGTGGAATGGTGTGAAAAAAAAATCATTTTCACAAAATTTATTTAACATTTATTAAGATTGAAAACCATATAAATAAATAATAAGTTACTTAGAAACGAAACATGACATGCACCTGATAATGATAGTAGCTACCTTTTGGTTAACTGCTTTCGTGTGCATATTTTTGCTTCATAGAATACAATAAACGTAACTAGATTTTTGCTATTTTTCTAAGAAATTCCAGCAAGTGACCACCCATTAACTTCTTTTTCTAACTGCTCCCCTCACCATAGCTTTTTTTACAGTACATCTCTGTAAGTCTTTAATTTTAATAATTGTAAAAACAATGCATTAAATCTTAGCAACAATAAAACCCAGTGAAATTAATAAAACACATATGCAGATTATGATATGAGAAAAATAGATCACAAGAATTTTTCTCTTTTGATGGACACGAGTAAGCTGTTTATTCAACTTGTTTGGGGAGTTTTGTTATCTCCATCATTTAAAGGGGTAAGATTTGCACCTGGTAGTCACCAAAATGCAAAACAGCAGATAAAAATAATTAAATGAAAATTCAATGAAAAAATTGTGAGATTCTTATAAATGTTAATTCAATTTTAATGGTTATACTTAAATATACGAGGCTCATCCAGAAAGTAAGTTTCCCTATTTTTTTTAAAAAAAGGAACTCACACTTTCAGGAACCTGTTTATTGGCAACAAGTACAGCAATGTTTCAGCTATTTTTAAACATAGCCACCACCAGAATTGAGACACTTGTCGCATCGTGGGATCAACTTTTGTATTCCTCTGTCGTAGAACTCTGCCGTCTGTGAATGGAATCAGCGTGTGACAGGCGTCTTCAGCTCTTCGTTGTTACCAATACGCTCACTGGAGGAAAGAAATTTCTTGAGGCGTAAGAAAACGTGAAAATCGCTGTGAGCAAGATCATTCATTGTCATGGAGAAGCACAACACCTGCAGTAAGCATTTCACGACTCTTGTTTTGAATGGCACGTCACAATTTCTTCAGTGTTTCACAGTAACAGCCAGCGTTTACTGTTTGGATGGAAGTCAATGAGCAGAATGCCCTTCCTGTCCCAGAGTACCGTGTACATCACTTTTCGTACCGACAGCGTCCTAAGTGTTGAATTTTGTGTTCGGGTGTCAGGTTTTTCGGCACACGCTGGTTCTATTCGCAGGCGGCAGAGTTCTACGACAGAGGGATACAAAAGTTGATCCCATGATACAAGTGTCTCAATTCTGGTGGTGGCTATGTTGAAAAATAGCTGAAACATTGCTGTACTTGTTGCCAATAAACAGGTTCCTGAAAGTGTGAGTTCTTTTTTTTTTTAAAAAAAATAGGGAAACATACTTTCTGGATGAGCCTCGTATTCAACATTTTCAAATGGCAACACTTATTTTCCTTACTTTCTTACTTATCTTCTTTGAAGCACGATCTTCATAAGAAAAAACTCAAAATGAGTTGGAACAATATTTTTGGCACACAAAGTAGCAACACTAAAAAGAGATAAAGAAAAAGAGTATTTTCAGCCCTACTGAATGCATTCTAGACAACAGAAGGGAATAAGAATGTTGCATCTAGCTCTCAGTCTACTATTGCAACAGTTTGTGTTAAAAAATATTGTGTAAGTTCCATTCTAAGCTTTTGACAGCGAAGAGCACATTTTGATTTCAAAAAGATTGCATTCGAAAATAGTGCAATTCTGTAACTGTCAGCGAAACAATCATTTTTAACACTAATCTTGGACATATACTTAAAAATAATTCAATACCAAATGTATTCTATTCCAACAGTATGATCACCAAACATGGGGTTACCATAATAATTTTAAAATTACAATATAGAATAGTAATTGATACAATTATATCACATATAATATTTTCTTTTAAGGAAAACCAAAAATTTCACCTAAATAAAATTCAATGTTTACACAAACTACAGAGTAAAATTATGAGAAAAATTTATAAGCAATATTTTAAAAACTTTAATTCTCATTATATACAAATGATACAAAAATAAGTATGATACTAAGATAAATGTTCTTCATTTCTAAGATATTCCCCTATATCTGCTTGATGATACACAATTACACCTAAAGGATCTGTTTTTCTAGTGTCTTCTGCAGACTTTGCAGCAACTCCAAAACCCTAACAAGCAAAAAAATAAAATATAGTCAATATTTATAATAATCATAATAAAAGAACCTAACTAATTTTCACAACTTTCGTCCCAAATATGATACACAATAAAAAAAGAAAAGAAAGGAAAGTGAATTGAAATGAAATGTTCACTGCCCACTGCTTAGGAAACTAGAGAATTAATTCTCATCAAAATTAAAAATTAGTACTTAAGTTTGATGACAGATGGAACTGTTAAGAACTTTTTAATTAATTTAAAATTGATTGGAATAAATTATTGTCTCTAAAGCAGAAGGCAGTAAAGTATACATTTCTATATCCTTCCTCTTTTTTATTTGATTTTCTTTTTTGTGATAATCTAAAGTAGCAATTTAAAAGGAAATAAAATGCAGCTAACAGTATATTTAAATATTTTCACAAGCTTTTGATACATTCTAAGCAAAGAAAATATTTTCATAATTAGTGCACATGACGAAATAAGCACTCCTGCCGTGAGTGAAATTGTATATTATACATGAATAAAAAACAAGTAATAATAATAATAGTAATGAAAAAAAAAAAAAACAAAAAAAACAATTCCTACTTAGGTCAACAGAGAAATTTTTTATTTTAGTTTACTTTTATTGATTTAGTTACTTTTTATTAAACAATTAAAATTTTTTCCCCTATAAGAAACTAAAATTGATTTATTAACAGGGTGCGTAGCCAAATCTTTGAAACAAAAATAAGCACTTTTTTAAAAACTTTTCAAGCACTTTACAAAAATTTTCAAGCACTCAAAAAATTCATATTCAATCAATGATATTATTGAAAAAAACCCAAAAAGAAACGGGCGTAAATCGAAACAATCAGTACTTTCCCACATCACCGAGTGAATTCAACTTGACCCTGAACTCAGAACAAAAGTACCCTTACCCCCTACGTCAAAAAGAGTGTTAGAAGTAAAATAAATTAAAAAGTAAAACATTTCATAAGGATCTGATATTCTCTATCCGAATTGGAGCACTAGGGTTTCGGTTTCAAGGGTGCGCACATGCGCAAGTCATAATGTGGGTATGACATGAAGTTCGTGTGAATGATTACGTACGATTGTGAAATGCATGGGATCCACCAGATATCACTGAAGGGAAGAAAAAAATTTTCGGAAAAAAAGCACTTTTTAAAAACGCCAGCTGAAAAAAGCACCTTTAAAAGCTTTTAAAAACAAAATCCACAAAAAAGCACCTTTAGGTACTTTTTACAAATGCTATGCAACCTGATTGAATTTATCTGACATTGCGAATTTAAAATAATTAAATATTTAAATGTGCACAATAAACTATTTTTTTTCCAAATAGAGCAATAAGTTAGAAATTATCACTGATATTATTTTTAAAATATGTGAAAAACTCAATCGCTTATAGTAAAATGTAAAGCAATGACTAACGTTTAACCAATCAGAAAATTCTGTTTCGTTTTTTGCTCATCCCTATTTAATTAATGAATTAATATTTGAGAAAACTGTATTAACATCAAGTGTCATCCACTAAAAGTTTAAAAAAATGTATTTGAGCAAGAGTGAATGAATAAAAGTATTTTATAAACGATTGAAAATCTGAACAAGATATATGGAGAGTGCGAACTTATAGTAGGAATTGAAAAAAGTTCATTTGACAACCATAATCATGCAAAATAGTCAAGGGTCAGGCAGGGGATTCTTTCTTAGTCATAACCGACTAACTTCTACCAACAAAATCTATTTTCTAAGTAACTTTGGAGAAGTTTTAAAATACTTACAACTTTAAGATTTAGTACATCTGTTCAACAGAACACATTTTAATAAAAAAAATTATTCAAAAAATATAAATTAGTTATTTAATAGATAAAGATACTGCATTCATATTCTTGCAGAAAACATAATCTCTTTTCTGTCACTGAATCATTTGTATCAGCATAATAATTACTGTAAATAATTATTATAAAATGTAAAAAATTACAAAAAATAAATTACTTTAGAGAACTTAAATAGGGATTTCGCCAACATCATCAACAATTTTCTAAAATATATACAATCTTGGAGAAGTCTTCACAATCTTAATAGGGAGTTTTGTTTTGTATGCCTAACCCCACAAAAAAATATTTTGAGAGGTCATTTTACTTTTCAATTAATCTAAATATTTTCTTAAAAGATATTTAAGACTAGTTTCTAAGAAATCAAAAATGAAAAGAAAAAAAAATTAGGGGAGAGCGGAATTGTTTAAAAATTGAGATTTATTCACAATGTTATAGTTTGGCCCTTTTCCCGAAATGAATTTAAGCAGCTATCTTGAATGAGAGAATGATCCTAGGGAAGAGCAATTTTTGATTAATGCTTGATAATTGGCACTGCCACAAGTACTTTTTTATGCATTATTTTACACTGATTTGAATAAAGAAAAAACCAAGAAACTAGATATAGTAACTTGAACTTAGTTAAATCAAGATGACAGCTAAATCATATTTAAGGAGAAACCAATTTTTGATATCAAAATTGGGTCTAAGCTACATCTTGCAAAAGCTTTCACCTTATTATTTTCATAATTACCTCCTTAGAAACCTGTTTAAATGTAAAATCTTGTCGATAAATCAAAAATTGTGTATGAATGTAAGGATAATAAGGTCTCAGAACATAACTTTTCAAGCACTGAGACTTTTAAATAATCTGGTATTCAGCAAAAGAACCAAACTTCAAAACGAAAGTTAAAAATTGTTTCCTATTTTCCTAAATGGTGTGTTCTAAATAACATAAGATTATATTTAAGAGTTAGTATGTCAATATAAAATCAAAGAATTAAAGGAAAATTTAATCTAGATTTAAAAATTTTAATTTATAAAAAATCAAAATCAAACACTTACCAATGGCAAATCATTCATTGAGTACACAACCACTCCTTGATACCTTAAAGTGCTTTCAGATATTCTAGCGAGGCCAGTTTTTAAAACATTGTGACCATATAGAAATTGTTGTTCAGCATTAGGTTTGAGCCATATTTTATTCTAAAATAAAGAAAATAAAAATATTTAATTTGTGATAACTGCTTACAGCTAAATTTAATGCAAATTGTTCTACACATGTTCTAAAATGAAAAATAATTTAAAAAATAAATAAAAAGGAAAGCAGGAGAACGAAACATACAGTCTACTGCATGTGCTAGCCAGGAATTTTTTGATATTTAGAATATTGAATTTAATTTTAAAGTTCATTAACAGAAGATGCTGCTGAGTGATCTAAATTATTAAACAATTATGGTCTGACACACTGCAGAAAATATTGATTTATAGTTTTTGAAGTCAGCAGCACCATCTGTTGACTAACTTTGTAACTAATTTTAAATCTTTGCAAGAAAAAAATAACTGGTTATCTAGTACAGGAAGATTATAATACAACAATGGACAACTACAGTCAATTATTTTAACAGTCTTAACACATTCAGAATAATAAATATTTTCTGTATAGAAATAATTTTTAACCTTATTTAAAAATAACCAAAATTAGCTGTATTATTGGTATGGGGTAAAGGGAAAAATATTTTAATAGAAATGTTTAAGGAAAAAAAAAAAAAAATTGGATATTAAGATACTTAGTAAATTTTTTTTAGCTCAAGTACTTCTAACAGATATTAACAAAACTTAATTTTTAATAACTTATTTTTATAACTTAATTTTTAAAACAAAACTTAAATGCTAAAAAATAATATTTTCCAGAAAAAAATTATCCATAAAACATTTAAAGAGATAGTGTTTATGACAAACATTTTAAAAAATGTAGTGCTATCATAAACACGTCTACAAAAAACAAAGATTATATACAATAAAAATTTATCCTAATTTTATGAAACTTTTTTTTTAAAGCTAATCATAGAAGTTTTTCAATTAATGTATATTAATAATAAAATAAAAAGTTAAAAAAAAAAACAAATGAGAAAAAAAATTTGTTCTTGGTTTTGGAATATAACTTTAACGTTGAGAATCACAGTATTCTATGTTGCTAGTTAAAATGTTTTGACGATAAATGTTAGTCGATAATAGCAGTACTGAAAAATAAGACTTCCATTGCTCTCTCTTGANATTTTTAAAATATAATGTGTTGAAAGAACGATGAAATTGACTTGCCTGATTTTTTTTTTTTTTTTTAAAAAAAGCATTAAAAAACTTATGGCTCAGCATAAAGTCATCTAATTTCAATTTTGCTTTTTCCTGTGTCTTTCAGAACATAAATTAATAAGTTTTAGAACTTAAAAAATATGTGTGAAAAGTATTTCTCATAAAGTGCAGAAAAAAATGTGATTTTAGATTATTATTTATTAAATCTATTAATATTTCCCATAAAAAAACATAGTGAAAAATAATTTTCTAAATACTACTTGGCCAAAAATTCGGCAAAACGGTCGAATACTGAATAGTGGCCGAATATTCGTTACATCTCTATCTCAAACCCATAAATTTACTAATAATGTTCATAGGATATCAAAACCAAAAAACAGCCTTTAGACACTTAGAGGATGAAGGTGGCACATTTTCATTCAGCACATGTGACGTCATAATTAATCAGGGATCGTTTTTTGTTGAATCACTTACGGAGGCTTTTTTGAGTAATTTAAATATGTAATAATTAAATAAATAAACATCTGGTTAAAAAAAAACAATCAGATTTTTTGATTCAGGAGAGAATTTCCAATAAGTTATGATTGAAAATAAAATAATCAAAGAGATGCTGTAATTGTCCATTAAAAACATGTAATTAATGTAATTATTATTAAAATAGTTTAGATTCTGTAAACATAGTTGTGTTATATTTTTAGCATATCAAATAATAATAAAGTTATAGCGCCAGCTTCAAATGGATGATTACCAGCTTGTACACAATGTTGACCACAATCATGTCATTGGTGATAAAATTGTGGAGTATAATTAACCACCATTAATTTAAACGGCGCGGAAAAAGATAAAATGAAGAAATTACAATGAAAATTACCTTTGCATAAGGAGCAATAAAATCTAAAGCAGTGATTTGAATCTTGAACTGCATGGCTTTGTTAAATTTCCCAAAACAGGTTCCAAAGCTAACAAGATCATCTCTTGGTACATTACAGGCCAATTTCATGTTCTTTTCACTGTAAAAAATAAACTAAAGCTATTAATAAATAGTAAGAAAATCATCACGTAAAAAAACGTCCAATTGATAAGTTAAGACATAATTTGACAAATTTCATATACTTGGACTTGGTGCATGTATGGAACTAAAATTTTGGACTTTAGAATGACATAGCAAATTGTAAATACAAGTAATACTGTCATGTATGACTATGTCAAATAAAGGTAGTTAATAAGGTAGAAAATTTACCGAGTATTAATTTAAATTGCTTTTTGTTCAGTACTGGTTGCGTACTTGAACTGTACAATTTATAATTAATATTGTACAGTGAAACCTGAGTAAGTCTTTAGTGGTAAACTTAGGTCATCAATTAAAAGAGTAAGATAAGTAATTGTTTTTTCTGTCTTGATAATTGTTTAAATTTTACTTGTACAGTGTGCAAAAAAAGGATCACCCACAATAACTTTTGATCCAATGATCAGATCGCCACATTCTAGGACTCAGTCTTAATGTTTCAAGAGGGTAACCTCAAAGATGCTAATTAATTAGTGCAGACGATATTTTAAGCCACGAAATCAGACAAAAAAATTTATTTTCTCTGAATAAACATACCTCTTTTTCCCATGATGATTTCGGATTTTTGACACTCAATGGGGGTAGTCGCAATTTGGGAAATATAGGTCCCAATAGTTCGGTCAGCAGAGCTCTCAAAAGTTTGAACCCCTTAATGTTAATTTAATTTTTTGCGTATTTCACCATATCTCGAGAACTTTTAAGCGAATTGAAATTTTTTTGAACACAACTATAAAATTCATTTATCCAAAGATAACTCCATGGAAAAAATAACTTTTAGTATATATTTATTATTACTTAATAATAGTCAATTTTTTTTAGGTATACTATGTTTTACATCATTCTAAAGAATGTAATGCATGATAAATTACAAAATTTTAATGAAATTGATCAAATAGTTCATGAGATATTGAATTTAAAAAAAGTTGTATACTAAAATTTGAATTCTCAAGAACTATTTGCTATTCAACTGATTTTGCACAAACTTTGAATTAGTCATGTAAAATTACATTCTTTTAAATGATGTAAAATATTGTACAAATTACAATTCAAAATTTTTGACACACATTAACTAAAGTAATAAATATTTAATAAAGTTATTTTTTGCATGAAATTATATTTTGATAAACAGATGTTATAACTGTGTGCAAAATTTTTTTCAATTTGCTTAAAATTTTTTCTAGAGATGGTGAAAAATGCAAAATTAACATTAAGAGGTCCAAACTTTGGAATGCTCTACTGACGAAACTACTGTAACCATATTTCTAAGTTTGCAGCTAGGCCCATATTTTAGGATCAGAAATCTTTTATGTTTATGCAGAGAAAGTACGTTTTTTTGTGTCTGATTTCATTACTCAAAATATCCTCTGCATTAATTTATTAGCAAATTTGAGGTCACCCTCTCGAACCACTAAGATTAAGTTCTAGAACGGACGACTGATTTGATCATCAGATGAAAAGTTATTTAGAGAGATTAGTTTATTTTTTTTTGTACACTGTAGATGATATCAATGCATTTGTTATACAATTTTAATCAAAATAAATACAAGCATAATTCGATTTTTGAATCAGATTTATGTTTTGATTTGTGTGTTGCAATGTTATATGCAGTCACACATGCATATTTATATTAAATAGATCTCTACATAGCACATATTTTTCATTCAAAAATTCTAATCGTAACAATGTAATTCAAATATGGAAAAAGAACTTTATACTTAAAAATTATTAATTACTGTTACAAATCAATTTAAATCCTTTTTGAATGAACTTCTTGTTACCTCAATACATTAAAACATATATTAAATAACTTTTGAACAAGAAATGGGTGAAAATTAGCGAACTAAACTAAGTGGTGCAACGGCCTATTATGGGCTAAGGCCTAGTTTTATATCCATCCCAGTTTCCTTAAGCTAGGGCTCTGAGACACATGCTTACATGTTCCAGTTGGGTGGTCAGCTGACTGCAGAACCTCCAGTGTTTAGTCCCCAACCATGAGTGGTACTAATTTTATCAACTCAATGAAATGTTGAGAGAAATCAAATTTGCTTGGTCCGAGGACAGAACCCTGGACCAGTGGCATGACAGTGCGATCACTTAACCACTGAGCCTGAAAACTAGCAATTGACAGTACATAAAAAAAACTTATATAGCCTATGATGCAATTCTAAGTTTAGTTGGAAAGTAAAAGGTTCTAAATAAAATGAAAAAAATAAATAAATAAATAAACTGTGTAAAATATATGTTCCCTTTGGCTTTAATTTGAAAAAAAAAGAAAGGAAAAAAGCAATATAAAACATAATTTTCAGTCATATTTTCAAAAAAAAAAGCTTGCTATACCTTTTAATATTCCATAGATCCAAAAATAATGTTAATAATATTTAGGTAGTACATAAAAAAACTTATATAGAGCCTATGATGCAATTCTAAGATTAGTTGAAAGTAAAAGGTTCCAAATAAAATGAAAAAAATAAATAAACAAACTGTGTAAAATATATGTTCCCTTTGGCTTTAATTTGAAAAAAAAGAAAAAGAAAAGAAAAATGCAATATAAAACATAATTTTCAGTCATATTTTCACAAAAAAAGCTTGCTATACTTTTTAATATTCCATAGATCCAAAAATAATGTTAACAATATTTAGGTAATGTAAATAATTAAAACAATATAACCAATATGATATATTATACCTGATATAAAACACTCTATTTCCATGAAGTCTGAAACAATAAATTCCATCTGGTCGATCTATTAGCATTTTCACATTTTCTCCAATGCTAAATACAAGAAATAAATTTATTACAGCATACAAAAAAAAGAAAGAAAAAAATTTAAGCAAATTTATTAGCTAAAATTGCATTTAGAGTTGTTAATTCAAGTAAAAAAATAATAATTGCCATAACACAGTACTACTTATTACACTTGAAAATTTAAATTTTCAGTTAATAGCCAGTAACCACTATTTTTTTCTAATCTCAAACCTGTTGAGTCGCTGACATTTAATAGTCACTTCATGCTTTTTTATTCTGTTTGGATTAAATTATATTATTTAAAAAAAAATTCTTTTAAGAAATAATTTAACTATAAAAAGTTATTTAAACAATACAAATGTAAATAGATATGTGACAAAATTTAGTTAAATAAATTGACTTTATTTCACCGTGCAAGTTTGTAGTGCAATATTTTTATTTTTTTTAAAAAAAAAGATAGAAAAAATTGACAAGTTGGTTACTGAATTTAAGTCACCACTTTTTTTCATTCACTCGCTACGTAGTGTGTCAAGTTGTTTTCAGATCTAGTACCTATTTATGTCAAAGTATAGTTTTTTTTACTTGTAAAAGAATAAAAATAAATAAATTTGCAGCTATGATTTATATTTTTTGATTTTGTCCCTATCTATTATCCAGAATTGAAAAATGTTAATTTTGCACCTCTTTACATTTACATAAACAATGCATAAATCATTAAATTTAGAGCATAAAAACTTCAAAAACATGAATTTAAAAGAAAAAAAGAACAAATTGAAGTTTAACGTTAGACACAAACTGGGCTGTTAGTTACAACTACTAGTTATTAACAGTTAAAATTTATATTTAACATCGAAATCTGGAAAAAAAATATTTACCACAGTGGTAAAAAATATTAGTAGTACCAAAGTTTACTTCTCCTGAAAAAAGAAGAGTACCAATTTTTTATTTCATATCTTTCCAGGAAAAGTAGAACCTCTGCTCTTTACTAGCAAAGTTTAAACTTGACTAAACGTGTTATTGATTTCAAAGACTATAGAATAAGAGGAGCATGAGCATTAGCAGTTATCCCAATTCAACATACGTTGAGTTGATTTATGAATCAGAAGTAAGAGGTCCAACTTGGTTCCAAATAAGACAAGTCATTGATTGAAGGTCACACAGATGCATTTAAGATTTGATATCACATGAGGCATGTTTTTATTGATCAACTATATTAACCAATGAATTTTTGTGCTTGTAAGAAATAAAAAAAAGCTATATCTTGTCCAGAGTGACTACGAATTACATATTTTCCCTAATTTTTAATGATAGGTATTATGCTTTGAACATAGTGAGTTTAGAATTGTGAGTTAGAACACTACTTAGATAGCAAATAAATATAAGTAGTAAAATTTTCCCAGCTTTTCTTTTTTATCAATTCCTTTCCTAAACCTTTTTTTTATTTTTTTTTTATCAACTTTTTAAACAACGAAGCATTATCATAAATTTAACGGAACTTTAAAAAGTATTTATTAGCTAGCACGAAAATATAATATAGTGATCATTTAGAAGCTGCATTTTTACAAATAAATAATCAACAGATCTATTTAAAGAATTTTAGGAGGTAAAATCAACAAGTAACAGAGTCAATACATAAAATTTATGTTGAGAGGAAAAAACTTCAGCAAAAACAAACATTAACATTGCAACCAATGCTTACTATTTTGCTAATTTTTCAAACAAGGTTCTAGTTTCGTCATCAGTAAGTGGTCGCATTTTTGTAATAATAAATTAAGTAATTAAAAAAAATAAATTAGAATTTATATATTAATAGCNTGTGTGTTTATTTATTGTATAGTATTGAGTATATAGTAAAGTGCGGCGTGCTCTCTGCTTTCGCTTATAGCACTGCGTTTCAATAGGTAAAGCTTAATTTAGCCTATCAAGATTTATTGGAGCTCTGAGGCTCTTCTTCAAATACAACACACGTGTTTACAAACAAATGGATAGTTTTGCAGGAATGTTGCCATTGAAATAAAATAAGCCATAAAAATATTTTTTATGTAGGTAGGTTTTTATTTCAGTATTTATTAGTTTTTGTTGGAATTTTTCACCTTTAAATTTTAATTTTAACCACTTTTTAAAACCTTATTTTTTTAAGACAATTATTTAATTTCAAAATTTTTGTTTAATTGTAACTTTTAAGTGGAAGCATAGAGAGCGAATGAATTTAAACTTTTTAAACCGATCATCAGATAGGCATATGATTTCTTCAATTTTTTCAGTTTGCAACTTTTCTGTAATTAATTTTTCTAGGATATTACGAACTACAACCTGTAGCGCCCCTTTTCTTATCTAGACTTTAAACTCAGATTTCTTAACAAGTTTTTGTTTCGTGTCTTCTATTTCAAAATTTGGTAAAATCATAGAAAAATTTCCTTAATCAAAATGTAGAATGGAACTTAGTAGAATGAAACTTAAAATAGATAGCGGCTATATTCCACCTGTTTGTGTTTTGTCAAATTTGTATTTATCTTAAGGTTTTTGAAACAATAATAAGTACTCGCATGGCGTTTATTCAATATGCCTAATATTCTTATTTTATGTTTAATTTAATTAATCTTAGTTAAAATATAGAGAGATTAAAAATATTTCGTAATTCTTTTAATGACTTTTTGAACGTTAATTTCGTTTAAATCTAATGATAGAAAGATTTCCGTATCGGTACCTGCTGCAAGACAATCGCCAAGCTTTGGTGACTTCTTGACTCAAATGGGAAAAATCAACATCTGGAAAGATAAAGTTCTATCATCATTTTAAGATAAATGAAGCTAATTATCTTTTAATTGGAAAAATGGAAAAGTCCGCATTGAAGATGGTAGTCATTCCATATTTGCAACACTTCTTTCACCCACCAGATAAATTTCCAAACAACTGTCTGATATTACACTTGAGACCTTGTTTTTGTCTGTCTGACTGACTCAAGCTGTAGCAATAATCGCTATATTAACTAATTGTATTAAGCAACTGTTTTGTACTGTTGTATTAAGCAACTGTAACTTAGGAAATGAGTTTAAAATATTTGCAAATAGGCCAGTGAGTAGAATATGTCCGATCACTTGGGAAGGGTTCAGGAGAAATTTTTGGTTGAATTAAAAAAAAATGGAATGGAAAGTTATTCCTGCAGACGAAAATCTGATAAGAAAAATTGCCTTGATGGACAAACATTTTGTGCTCCTTCGTCTGCACCGCACACGCCTACCAGGAAATAATTTTTCGTAGGGGAAAAGAATGCAGTGATTGTTCATTATGTTAAATATTACACAAATAACTTTATGACTCAATTTGTTAATTTATTAATAAGAATTCCTTAAGTTAATGAGTGGGACTTCAAATTTAGTTTTATAAATTATTACTTTATCAATGTATTTTGTTTTATATTATTTTTAACACACATACTAATTTATTCAAGAATTGGGAAAAATCTTGTGATTTTTTTCTTTGTTGAAGAAAAAGTTATCAAATATGCACACTTTTTTTTATCTAAAAATATTTCAATAAAGTTATAGTAACTATAAATAAATAAAAACTTGTAGAAATTTCATACCAAAAGAATAACTGCTTTCTGTGGAAATTTTAGGCTTTTGCAAATTCTCTGCAATTGTTTATGTAGCCTAACAGGGGTGTGAAAAAATTCTCATAGCTTAATATTTTCTCAGAAAAAGCAGTGTTATTAAATGTACTACAAAATTATAGTATTTTTTTCTTAAAAAATTGCAAAAGCTTTATCAAATTCTTACAGATAGTAAAGTTAGCATGTAGTTAAAACTTTCTGATAGTTTTTAATTTTTCAAAAACTTATCCACTTGATTTTGCAGAATTCTAGAAGAAACTAGCATATGTGTTAAAAATAATAGAAATGAAAATACATTAAAATTTTAATAATTTATCACCCTCACATAAACTTAAGGAATTCAAACTAATAAATAAGCAAAATGACACATGAAGTTATTTCTGCTATATTTAGCATAACTTTTTTTAGTTAGACCAAAAAATTCTCTAAGGCTGTCTTAATTTCACCTGAAATTCTTCTGCGCAATCAGACAATTGGATTGTCGAAAAAGTTGCCCCACCATCACTTGCAACTAGAATAGCCACTACAAATTTTAAAAAAATTTTACATTTAAGTTCTGTGTCTTCTGAAACTTGCTTGAATATTGTCTAAATATATTGTTTATTATTTATCCAGATCAATAATTAATTACAAATTAGCTGCTGTATCTTTAAACTGTGTAAAATGTTATACTCGTCATGTCAAGAAAAAAATATCTGCTTGTAAAAAGTTTATTATGATAATTACAGAGATGCCAACTTGCTCCGGACAGCAAATTAGTATTTTCAAGTGGTAGTTTATAAATTGTGATTCTTGGTTTAATAAATTCAATTTAGTAGATTTTTATCTACAACTATTTCTAAAAAATTCGTAGACTTATATGATTCACCACTTTAGAGTTTGAATTGATGCTAAACCTTTTAAAAAGCAATAAAAAATTGTCAAATAATTGCAAAATTTAGTTTGTAGTTATTTACCGTGTTTTCTATTATTTTGGCGTGTCCGGAGCAGTTGGCATCTCTGTAATTATTATGTTTTATATAAATGTGTCATAACAAAAAAAAAATATGGTCCATCAATAACACTTTGCAACATTCAGTGAGTGAAAACTCTTGTTCCAAATAACTGAAACTCGCAAACAAGATTTAAATTTCTTTAAAAAAAATTTGAAGATCTAGCAGTTTTATTTTTGCTTAATTATTGAAGCCCAGGTTTAGATAAACATAATCAATAAGCTTTTCAACCATTTCTTAACTGATATATTGCTTTGAATTATAGATAAAATTGTCTCCGTCTGTCTAAACCATGTCCATGAAATGGCCCTTGAGCATTAGCATAATTTTATTGTAATGATAAAATAGTCCATTTTTTATTTTCCACATATTTTCATCTCCAAATTTTTAAACAGTAACTTGAAATGTTTTGCTTTAAATTTGTTAAAATTTTTGTTGGCACTTATAACGCAGCATTATTGAAATTCCTGATCATCTTTTAGTATTGTATCATAAAAGGTTACTCATAGCTGAGCATTTTTTGAGGATTAAAATAAAATTATTTACACTTGCCATATGAAGTAAAATTAGGTCTGTGTGATGAAGCTACTATCCCTGTTTATTTAATTTGTATGCCAAAATAAAGGATGTAGGTTTAATGTAATGATGTTTGTTGGCTGGTGTGACAAGAAATTAAGAAATTTTTTTTGATATTTTTTTTATTTAAATTTTTGTTTAACAAAATTATAATGAATGTTATGGTATAATCAAAGCACATTTTCAATTGTCTAATTATTAATGTGTTGGAAGTAGACTGCATTCATTTGTGTTCCTATATTACGACTTAATATATAAAAATTTTTATGAAAAAATCAACCACTACATATTTGTAACATTGCCTGTGGCTTTCTTGTTAATTTTTATTTTCTTTAAAATTTTCTAGGATTAAAAAAATAAGATGGATTTTGAAGGTAAAGTGTCCTTGTTGTATCAAAACTTTTGGAACTGGCGAATGGAAACTAGTCCAGAATTTGCTACATTTTGTGGTTTTCACCAATATGATGATAAGTTGGAATCTTATGATTTGGAAACTATAAAACAAAAACAGGTATGTTTTACTCTCTTTAAAATTACCCATATTTATTTAATTTTTATAAATTTTTTTTTTACTTATTGGAGATGTGATGAGCTCTGCCAACCATAAATTTGGTTTAGAGTTGTTTCTACCGGAGTGCCACAAACTTATATCTTTGGGAGGGAGAAATTCCCTTCTTTGCCAAATAAAGTTCTTAATTTGACTGAATTATAAATGACATCCTGCAATTATCCTTAAGTATATAAGAAAGTAGCATTAGGAGCAGCTCTAAAGAAGTATTAGTTATAAATACTACAGCTGCCAAAATTTCCTATTTTACCTGGAAGATTTTATTTTTATATTTAAAGTGGTTGTAAAATTTATGCTTTGATATTTTGTTTTTTATTTAATAAATTTGATTTAAAATGTTCATGACCATATTTAAAGCTCTACCTTGGAATAAGAAAGGGCAGGGTAGTGGTATATACTATTTTATGTGTATATTTCAAAAAGTAATTTTCACTTCCTTTGGCAGAATTTTTTCGAGCTGTCTGCTACAAAACTCTCTAGCGCTAATATTTTTCTGCAAGATATTTTTAATTATAGCAAACATATATGTTACTAATTTAAAATAACAAAAGTGCTGTGTTTACAAGAAAAAAATGAATATATTTTTTTAATTGAACATGTAATAATTTTTTATTTTAATATTATAGGTGATATTCTCATATTTTGTTGGGGGGGGAGAGGCACAAATTATTTCCTTCTTTGCGTTTAATCATCACAATAAAAACAATTAAAAATCATGAAATCTGCAATGGTAATTGCCTATAAAAGATCGACTATGAAATCATGCGACTTCTCGATGCGTGTATTGTTTTTAGATTAGGTTGCTGTAATAAATAATATGGTATAAAAATACTAAATTTAAAAATGATGGAGAAATCAATAGCAACAGCTGCCGTAAATTCGATAGAATTATTGCCTTAAAAAGAAACATTGTAAAAATTTCGAATGACCAGCCAGAATTTGCGGAATAGTGAAAATCTTCGGAAGGTTACAACAACCTCCCATGACCTCCAATCCTGGCATCATTTCTTTCTAGGTTCTATCTTATTATGAAAGTTTTATAACAAATTGCATATTAACACAAACTGAATAATACTTAAAAAATAGTATTTGAAATTGACTCTAATTATCAGTCTTATATCTTTTATGAGGTAATAGAAAACATCAAAGATAATTTAATATACTATCGTATAAGGTTTTTCTCAAGCTGGTTCTTTATATGGAAGTGAATCTTGGACATAAGATTGATTATTAATCTGATAGGGAAAGGTTAAAAAAAAAATGTTTAGATCTTTCACTGAAAAGAGTGTATGGAAAATTAGAAATAATTAAGAAATAAAGGGGACATTGGTATTGTCACTGATATAAAGATGAAAAGATTGAAGTGATTGAGGCATATTCTGTGGATGAATGAAAATAGAATTGTGGGAAAAATTTTTGTTTCAAAACCTGAGGGCTCTCAGTCACTTGGTTTGAAATGGTTTGAAAACAAAGAACTGAAGGCGAAGCCCAAAACTGAGAAAAATAGAGGTTTACTCTGAGGCAGGTTTATGTCATCAAAGTTATGTTATGTTATGATTGTTAGGCCAAAGATTAGTAGAGTGGAGATTATAAAGAAATTTGATCAATAATACACTTATGTTAATTTTATATGACACTTAGATTTGATGTGTGTTTTGATAGAATCAAAGCATGCATGACAAGTGTAGAAGATTTAAAGCATTTTAAAATGGTTATTTGTATTTTACTTCTAAAAATTTTAGTTATAAAACTGTCGTTACACCCATATAAATTTTTTATTTGCAGGTTAGTGTTCAAAAATTTTTGGATGAGGCTGAAAAATTAGTCCAATATCCCGATTTAAATATCAAAACGAAAGAAAATTTGGAGTTGTTAATAGCTGAGCTCAAGGTGTTCTTAAAAGGATTTAATGCTAAAGGGTAATTAATTAATATTAAGAAGTATTCATTCTAAAATTTGTTTATTTATTCATCATATACCCTAAAATATTATTTTTTTAATACTAATTTAATTCTTAAAGAATGTATCTAATTTTATTTGCACAATTTTATTATTGCTAACTAGGGAATTATGAGTTATTTTAAAACTAAAATAAATAAAATTCATTATAAAAACTCACAATTTTTATTTTTAGGAATATATTTGGTATAATTCAATTTATCAAGTGTAATAAGAACTGTTTCGAAATTTTTCTCCTAGTGGTTTGATCCCAGATAGGAAATGAAAATATTTAAGATTTAGAATTTTAAGTTTTTTACTAAAGATGCAAATTATTTGTAAATTTTCCTTTCGTAATTTAAATGTTATTAAAATTGAAAGTTTTGTTTTGAAATTGCCCATTAAATGACAATGGATAAATTATAGAAATTGTTTTTTAAAATTTCTAAAATTATAGAAACATATTTGAAACATTATTTTTTGAAATATTTTGATCGAAGTTTTTTTTTCCGTTTTAATTCACATCCCCTCCTCCTGAAAAATTTTTTGTAGGGGCTCCTCGACAAAATAAAATAAATTGATAAATTGAATAAGAAAAAAAAACAAACTTGAAACTACTTTCCTAATTTGCACTTTTTTTAATAGCTTTTGAAGTAAATGATTTTTTTTAACTTATGTTGGTTTATTTTTATAATAATGGACACTTAAGTATGAATTGTTTTAAAAATTCCATGCTGGTTTGGTCGCAGACAGAGCAAATTGATATGTATAAGAATTTAAATTAAAATTTTTTAGGGCAATAGTTTTTAATAATTTCTTCAAAAAAAGTCTTATTTATTATTCACTTCTTAAATATTTTATTTAATTATTATTAGAAGAGATGTAAAGAATGTTAAGCCCCTTTCATTTTTTATTTCAATTCTTATTATTTTTTTTCTCTTCCCAACTACGCACACACAAAAAAGAAAGAATTATTTTTAATTCTTCAAATTTTGTTTTCAATAAAATAAAAAACAAAATTACATGTTTTTAGATGGAGAAGTTAAAAAAAGCAAAGAAAGCAGAAAAAAGCAAAATAGGTCGTTCAGTGAAAAAAAAATTTTTTTTTCATAAAAAGGAAGAACTTGTATGCGATTACACACTCAGAATAAGATCCCAGAATAAAATCCGTTCATTTCAAAGAATAAAAAAAGAATTCACAAGAATTTTAATTTAGCATAATGAATTCCTTGAGAGAAGCTGATTCAAAAGCAGAACAATCTTATTAAATTAAAAATTTCAAAGCAAGAAATAATGAAGTTCACAATATTGTTTTTTTTTGTCATCATGTTTGATGGTTTTTCATCAATCCTGTGATATTTTTGCCTTTTGTTGCACTAAAAATATTTTCTTTGGTGTGTTAAATATTAAGCTATAGCAGAGTGGTATAAAACAGTACTTGTAAGTGCTTGGAGCTGTTTTTGAGAAGTTTTATCAATGTTCTATTAGGTGTGACACAAATTTTTATTGTATCGGAAGGTGTTAGGAGTCGTATTGGCCCTATATTCTGACGTCATCAGCTGAGGTGGGAAAACTAACTGCTTTTTAGGGCGCGTGGCTAATCAAGCAATTTTAAATATTAATTACAAAATATCTAATAAACCACTGAACTGAAATTGGTGTCTATTGTCATAAAATAGCATGAAGTTTCGTTTTAAAAATAAAAAAATACCATGCTGGTTCCTTATTAGCAAGGCAGTTATTCAGATAAAATGATATCAAATAATCAACTTTAAATTGAAGAAAAGAAATCAATATTTTTTAATAAAACGAAAAAAATAAAACAGGGATCAGAATTTTAATGAGAATATTTATAATTCAAGACAAAAAGAAGACTCTGCATGTGTTTCTTTAAAATATTATTTGTATTCAGCTACTATAATGTTCATAGTTATTCCTATTATTAAAATTTGTTCTATTTCAACTGCTCTTTTTTCTTCTTCTTTCAATATGCTTGAAATATGTTCATTATAGCAGTATAAATGTTTAGTTACCCAAAATGAAATGGAATTTGTTCTTTTTTTTTTACATCAGATTTTAGAACAGGTTGTAGACATTAAAAAAAGTGCTATTTTTAACAAATTTTTTTTATTGAGAAGTTTCTGAAGAAATAAGAAATGTCATTGCATTTGCAATTTATTATACTATGATAAACCTGAATGCTATTTTTTTTTTAAAGTTATGAATATCAAGTTCATTTATGTTTCATAATAAAGATTTAAAATGCATTTAAATCTTGAATCATTAAATGCTCAAAATGCAACAGAATTTCTTCTTTTTTTTTTTTACATAAGATTTTAGAACATATCACAGACATAAAAAAGTGCTTTTTTTAACAAATTTTTTTATTAAGAAGGTTCTGAAAAAATAAGAAATGTCATTGCATTTGCAGTTTATTATACTATGATAAACCTGAATGCTATTTTTTTTAAGTTATGAATATCAAGTTCATTTATGTTTCATAATCAAGATTTAAAAAGCATTTATTCGAAAATTTTTAATTGAAAAACTTTAATTACGTTTACAATGATATAATGTATTCAATAGGTATTACCTCCCTCTCAACTTTTTAGAAGGACCTCAAACTGAGTTTGTACGACTTATTTTGGCTATGAAATATGAAAGCATTGAGGATTATCAGAAATTATTATCAAGATTTGCTGCTTTACCTGTCCAGGTATAAAGAAAAAATGTTATATATATATATTTATAAAGTGTAATGATATACTTATTCATTGTAATATCTGACAGATTGATTTCTATTGAAATTGTAAATTTGGAATCAATATTCTTTAATTCTTTAGAATACTTTATAGAGTTCTTTAATTAGCAATTATGTATCTAATTTGACGCAATATACAGCCAGTTCACTATTTTTAGAATTTTAAAACTGGATGAGTTGAAAGAAATATTTTAAAATGTGATTGCAAAAATTATAAGTTTTATTTAAGTGGTATATGAAAAATTTGTGCATTTTTAAAAGGTAAAGGTATGTTTCTTTTTTTTCTTCTTCATATGTTTATGTTCATTCTATTAGTAAAACTTTAATTTAATTTTGTTCAATGGAAATGTTACCCAGATTTTTTTTTTTCAAATCAGTTATTGATTAAGAAAAATTTATGACTAAATATGGAAATTTAATAAGAAAGGCGAACAAAGTTATATATTTTATCATATAAAAAGGATTTGAGTAACTTAATATTTAAGAAAAAAATCTTTTGTTTCAATTAATTTATAGATAAATAGGACTCTGGTAACCAAGATCGGTTATGAGTTTCAAATTTAGTAATTAAAACTATTAAAAAAAGAAATTCCTTTGTTGCAAGATTCCAATTAGATGAACTTGTTTTCATTTTGTTCCAATACTTTTGTTCAAGCAAACAACATAAACACATTCATTATCTTTAAACAGAGAATGTTAAAATTTCCTCTGAAAAATTCCATCTAATTTTTTTATAGATATCTCAAATTATTGACTTAATGAAGAAAGGTATAAAAGAAGAATTAACTTTTAATGCTGTTTCTGTGGTAAGTTCAATAAATTATTTTTTAAAGTCACTATAGTTTTTGAAATTTTTTTCATGGCTGGTTTTTATTTCTGGTTTAGGTTACAGTCCCTGACCAGTTGGCTGTCTTAGATCAATCAGATCTCCTCACAAAAAGGCCTGAAGATTGTGTTTTTTATAAACCATTCTTATCAGTACCTGATTCTATCTCGAGTAAAAAGTGTGTGTTGCACAATGTTTTTAAATTAAAATGCAGCTAAAATTTTCAATCGTTTTGACATGCTAGATATTAAGTAACTATCTTCACAATATCATATTTTTAAACTGCAATCAATGGTATCTATCACCTTTTGACCCAGTAGGAAAATTTAAGGTGTAAATCTGCTGCATTATCTTCATGAGTCCCAAATTTGTCTGTAACCTTAACACTATCAGACAATGATAATAAATGTATATAATTCAGCTTTATCTATTTTACAGCTAGCAAAATTTTCAAATGTGCGGTTTTTATGTACAGTGTGCAAAATAAAAAATGGACCCCCCTAAATAACTTTTGATCTAATGATTCAACTCTTTTGTTCTAGGACTCAATCTTAATGGTTTGAGGAAGTGATCTCAGAAATGCTAGTTAATTACAGCAGGCAATGGTTTAAATTACGAAATTGGTCACAAAAATGCATTTTTTCTGAATAATTATATGTATTTTTTGACCAACTCAGATTTCTGACCTCCAAAATATAGGGGGTAGCTGTAATCAGGGAAGTAGGGTCCCTATAGTTTGGTCAGGAAAGCGGCCTAAAGCTTAGTTCTCTTAATATTTATTTTACTTTTTGCATATTTCGCCATATCTGAATCAAAACATTTTTGCATGCAATTATAAAATTTGTTTACCTAAATATAATTTCGTACAAAAAACAAATTTTAGTAAATATTTATTGTTTTGTATTATTTTATTTAGTAATAGTTGAAAAAATTTTGAATTTTACGGTATACAGCTTTTTACATTATTTTAAAGAACATAAACTTTGAATGAAATCAGGCTGAATAGTTCTTGAGAAATAGAATTAAAAAAAAAAAAAATGAGGGTCAGATATCTGAATCCCTAGAAAAAAAAGGTATGTTTACTCAAGAGAAAGTGCATTTTTGTATCTACTTTTGTAACTTAAAATATCATTTGCACTTATTAATTTGTATATTTGAAATCACCCTCTTGAATCATTATAATAGAATCGAAGAATGTGAAGTTCCAATCATTAGGCCAAAAGTTATTCTGGGTGGTCAGTTTTTTATTTTGTGCACTGTATATAATACATAAGAACTTTGTTGTTTAAATTTAAATTGAGTTTCATTCTATCATACTAAAAAAAAAAAAGGAATAAATCCCAATACATGTAGGCCTGTAATATAGTAAAGGAAAAAAAAATCTTATTTTTTGTTCTATACAGTGTTCTCTCAATTTTACTTTTTAAATTTTTATTTGAAACTTGTTAAAAGGATATTTTAAAAAGTGGTTTCAGCAGTTTTCTCCTCTCTGTTTGTTTGCTTTTTTTAAGAATAAAAAGAAACCTTAGATAAAGTAATAATCTGCAGATGCTGTAATAATTTGCAGATACATGGGATCAAAACATTTGTAAAGTCACAAAATCTATATTTTTTACGAATTTCCATGTGTTAATATTTTTTCCTTTTTTAACTATGCACTATGTAAGTTATTCTATCTTAGATGTGTATTTTATTATTTTATGAACTTAATAATAAATCTTTATTATGTGACTAAAATTAAATAATCATAAAAAATATTTTTCGTGAACATTTGTTGCTAAAAGATAAAGCTCTATGGCAGAATTTTTTCGAGCTAGCTGTGTCAAAACTCTCTATCACTAATTACTTTCTGCAAGATACTTTTAATAATAACAAACATATATGTTACTCATTTAGAATAATAAATGCGCTGAGTTTACAAAAAAGAGGAAAAAAACTACATTTATTTTTTCAATTGATCATGTAATAATTTTTTTATTCTAATATTATGGGTGATATTCTCGCATTTTGCTGGGGTGAAGAACGTACTAATTATTTTCTTCTTCACACTTTGTAAATAATCATCACAATCAAAAGAATAATTGAAAATCATGAAATCCGTAATAATAATTGCCAAAAAAAAAAAAGATCGATGACAAAATCACGCGAATATAACTTCTCAAATACGTTTTTCGTTTCGAGATTAGGTTGTAATAAATAATATTGTATAAAAAATATCGGACTTAAAAACTATAGAGAAATCAATAGCAATAACTGCCAAACATTTGTTTGAATTATTGCCTTAAAAGCAAATAATCAAATGAACGTTTTGAATTTTCCATATGGTTAGAAATATATCGGGATATTTAAAATCCACGTCAAAACCAATATCAATAACTGCCGAAAATACAATCAAAAGATACTATCCATACTATCGGCGTAAATTGAGCGCGTCAAAAAGAGATTATCTAAATGCATTTTTCAAATATTACGAGTAAATTTCTGCAGGAAAGAAAAGTAATTTTTTTTCAAAAGAAAAATCTTTCTGTAAGAACTATGTAACATTCTGCTACAATGTCGCCGTGTCGCTGCCATTTTGCCACGGGGGGATAAAGAATGTATTCTGGTCTTTAGAGACCTCTGCAAATACATTTTTATTTAAGGATTGCTTGTAATGTGTTGGTACACATAGAAAGAATGGATGATATCAGGTTACGAAAAAGATTTTTAATGGCCATGATCAACAAAAATTGTGAAGACTGAAGTGAGATAGATTGATGAAGTTGAAAGAGACTTCAAGACTTTTAAAAATAAAAAATTATAAATCAAAAATATAAAACAGACAACTTTGGTAAATTGTTAGGGAGGACAATAGGGACTGTAGTACCATGGAGTAAATAATAAGAGTAGGATAATTGCTATAACTTTTTAATCCTATTTTTTGTATCATGAAATATTAATTATGTGTTTGATATTCAGCAAAATAATTTGCTCATTGAGTTAAATTAATGAATTTATAAACAATTTTGCCTCAAAACGTGTTTGGATTGTTTTAGGTTTATACTTTCCAGAAGTTGCATGCATTTTTACTTTAGGAAACATTTCTTGTTGTAGTAGTTTGGCTATAGCATATATGTGTGAACTGCAATTATATTTTCCAGTATTATGGTGAAAGCTACCAGAAATGAATGCATTTATAACAATGTGAAATTTGTTGAAAATATATTTTTAAAATGATCTTAATATATTGATTCTTTTAAATAGGATAGGTATTTTGAATTTTACAATATTAATTTTGGTGTTAACAGTTACATTTTGCAGTAAATAAATATGCACCATTATTGAAACCTTTCTTTTTTGAATTGCTTTTATTTGAAAAGGAACTATTCTTCAAATTTCTTCTTTTAGCTAAATTTTTGCTATAGCACAATCAAATCAATAGCTTAATTTATAATGATCTATGTAGAAGGAATTGAAACCTAAATCCCTACATTTTTTTATTAGTTCAAAATATTTTAAAAGTAGCTGTTTACAATAAAAATGTGTGTTAGCATTAATTATTTATTTTGGTAATTATTTATTACCAGTGTTTGAATTCAGCTAAATGTATTTTCCAGTGTCCTGAATGTATTTTCAGCTAAATGTATTTTCTTTGTTTAAAGCAACTTATTTTGTTCTAATATTTTTAGAAAAAGTTTACAAAGAGAGGCTGTTGAATCTATATCTTCAAATGTTATGCCAGCATTTAAAACATTAAAAGAATTCCTAGAAAAGGTATGTTACTGAATTATTTTTTATTTAAAAAAACCCAACTTATTATCAAAGTTTCAGCATATTCTTTTGTTTTAAATTTTTTCTTAGGAATATATTAAAAAAGCTCGCAGTTTACCTAGTATATCGACTTTGCCTGGAGGAAGTACTTTTTACCAGTTGTGCCTAGATTTTCACTTGGGATTTCGTTTGCTGCCTAAAGATGTCCACGAAATGGGCCTCAATGAAGTGAAGCGAATTTCTGGTGAAATCGAAAAAGTACTTATCTCATTCTACTTATTTTTTATAATATTTTCAATGCAATATTACTTTTACAATGGATAACCTAATATGTTTATTGCGTTACTAAGATTGTATAATTTCCGCATTGTCGGGCTTTTACATATGCGTATGTATATAACAAGAGATGTGAGCTGAAAATATTCTCACAGAGTAAGAATATTCTTGATGAGTAAATTTAATGGATTATAAGGAATTCTCTTTTTTTCTTTCGAATTAAAGAAAAAAGTTGTATTATAAATTGTAACTGATTGTGAACCCTTTCTGGGTGAACAGGAAAAAGTTAGGGAATTTTATCAATCAGGAAAAATCAAGGAAATGTCAGGAAATTCTATTAAAACACCTAAAAAGTAAAGGGAAAGGAATTAGAATTTAAGTCCAATATTTCTTTTCTAAAATAATTGGTCTTGCAATAATTAAAAAAAAAGAATTAGAGGTTTAATTTCAACTCTAAAAACTAGTAAGTACAAGTGTTTTGTAATATATAAGAATGAAGCATGACAGAAAATTTATGCCGCTGGTTGCAGGAAAATTCGATAAAAATATCAATCTGGAATAGTCGGGGATTTTTTCCCTTTGTAGTACTTTCTTGTCTCAGTATAGGCCACCCTGCCGTTATTGAGACAGTTTACGGCAAAAATGTCACAAGTCTATCCTTGATTACCTTTTTGACCAGGAGTCATAAGTTTGAGTAATATGAACAAGGCAAACAAGCATCTTTAGGTCTCTTATCGATGTCTGATTTTTCCTAAAAGTTTTTGCTTATCATTAACCATTTTTTGTAACAAATGCTCACATTGCATTCATCTTTAACAAAAANAAAAAAAAAAAAAAAAAAAAAAAAAAAAAAAAAAAAAAAAAAACAGATACAAAATCACAACCGCACATTGTTTTGTTTTAGATGCATCCCTTTTTGGTATTACTCTACATATAATACTAAACAAATGGTTCCATGTTAACTGGTTTATCAGTTTTATGCAATTCAATCCTTTTATTTTCCTAAGTAAGCTTGAATTGTAGTGCTACTGTCACTACTGTATTTCTGACACTGTTAAAGGTGACTTTTTTAATTTTTATTTGAACACCTTTTTCATGTGTTAACATGCATATTTTTATAACTTTTGCTATAAATCAATATTTCAAGATTTTTTTGATAGTTCTACGATGTAAAACTATTTAAAAGTAAAATTTTCAAGCTTTGTCCTTTAGCCCTGGATTAAGGAATTATTGCAGAATGAAAATTTCAGCTAGAACAATTCAACATAATATCAAATTTAGATACTAAGTCAATAACTGTGTGAAAATTTACTGAATTTAGGTCTGGAATAAAATAGGAAACTTTCAGAACAAAGTCAAAGTTTGCAAAGAAATTAATGAGAAAATCACAAGAAAGATTACTACTTTATGCATTACTAAATCATTATTTGATCAATAAAAAATTTCATTCTTAATTCTTGAAGCAAAGAAATGCTATATAACTTTTAAAACACCTACAAAGTTTTTAGTTTTGACTGATTATTGCTGTTCTCGGTAACACAAGTCTTTGACATCTCGAATCTTATTTTAAATTTATTGCATTTTATGTTTAATTTTTAATCAATGTTTCATATTTTGTAAATTTTTGAAGCTGTATGATTCAGCTGCCATTTATTCAGAAATGTTTCATTTAATTTAGGTGATGTTGTTTTTAGGATATACAAATGTTTCAATTAAAGATTTCACAGAACTTTTGAGAAGTGATTCAAGATTTTTCTTTGAAAAGCCAGTAAGTTATAACTTGGAAACTCAATTTAATGACCTTTTCATTTAGTTTTTTCTTTTTAGGTGTAAAGATTCAGATTTAATTTTACATTGGTGTTAATCAGGTCGACATGACCTATCATCAGCCGACTAAAATAGATCTCCAAAGTTTATAACTTCGATTTATTAAAAGCATCTAAAACCTTTTTCATAAAAAATATAAAAATTGAAAGACTTCAGTCTTAGAAAAAAAAAACACTACTTTATCTTTCTACCGGTCATCCTACTAATTTAGTTACTTATTGTTTTTATGCAAGTCTTAATTATTTTATTTTACAAGTTTTATTTATCAGCAAATGAGTTCAGTACATGCCGTGAAATGTTATTTCTTACAAATCTTGCATGTTATTTTACATATGATGGTGTTACTTTAAATTAGGATCTAAATATACCTTTTTTACTATTACAGTTATACCTTATTTATATTGGCCTCCAACATGGCATTTCTTTTTATTTTTGTGCCTTTTCTTTAAAAAAAAAAAAAACACACCATATATAAATAAATTTATAATAATAGTGTGAAAATTTGAGTAAAAATATAATGTGAATAATTTGACTTTAAATTAAAGTGTCCAATCCATGTAAAGCTTTTGTACGTTTCTAAATTATTTTTATGTAGTAATTTATTATTTTTATTTTTTTAATATTCTTTAGGCAGAACTTTTAGAAGCTTATAAAGATCTCATATTCAACAAAATCTGTCCCAAGTTAAAAAAGCTGTTTAAAAGCATTCCTGAGGATGAACTTTCGTGAGTTATATGTTTTAATGTAAAAATTTGTTGTTTACAATATTTTGTAAAAAATGAGTTATTTTAAGCTATATTCAAATAAAAATTAAGGAAAAATTCTTTATTTTTTTATTGAAATTATTATTTTTTAAAAATTAGCAGCAGACATGATTTAAGTTATACATTTAGTTAAGTTTCTGATTTCTTAAAATTCAGTCTTTTGTTTATCAAAGAAAAGGTTTCATTACATTTAATTTTGCAAATTGAAATCTTTTTGAGGGCAGTAATGTAAATAAAAATAGCGACAATTTATTTCATTATTTTTATTTACATTTCTAGATAGGTTTAAAGCTTTTAAACGTTAGATAACCTAAAAATATAAAAGTGAAAGTCAATATCTTAACGAAATTTGGCATGTTTTGCATTGCTGGAATATGGATATAATAAACTTTAATTAGTGGTTTCTCCAAGCATCACTTCTCATTCTTTAGAGCTCAATTACTTCTATTTTTCTTACTCGGATAAAAATTTGGCTGGTACAAGATGTCTAGTAAAAAAGTACTGAAAAATGAAAATTTAATTCTGAAAAAATTAGTTATAATAGTAATTTGTTGTGGTGAATTGTGGCGGCAGCACAATTCGTCACAGTGAAATTAAAGAAACATGAAAGCCATAAAGATTTCACATATAATTTTGATTACATTGATATATTTTTAGAAAAGTTGCTAATTATTTAGAAAAGTTCTTGCAGGGACAATTTAAATGAGGGTTTAATCTTGTTTAAAAACTATGCCTAATTACCATAAGAGTGAAATATTCAAGAACAAAAACCTCTCATTTTCCAAAGGAATACATGACTTCCTTCTGGTTGTAACCTCATTTCACTCTGGGTTTTGAAACACTCTTTATAGGAATAATGGAAATGCAACAACTTTTGAAACTAATTTTGAAAATTATATAGGTTCTGTTATCAATGTATCATTTATTTTACCTTTTTATCACTAATTATTTATTTCACAGCTGATTGGAATTTTTGAATTAAGTCATTTTTTACTAAACACTCTGTATATTACTAACATAGTTTCCATTATTCATAGGATTGATATTTCTGTAAATTACATAACACTATCTACTTGTGTTATAAATTAGCATTAAGCTTCTTTTGTAAATTTTTAATTAAAAGTAATCATATGTAGGATTGATATTTCTCTAAATTAGATAACACTATCTATTTCTGTTATAAACCAGCATTAAGCTTCTTTCATAAATTTTCAATTGAAACTAATCATATGTAGGATTGATATTTCTGTAAATTAGATAACACTATCTACTTCTGTTATAAATCAGCATTAAGCTTCTCTTTTATAAATTTTTTAATTGAAACTAATCATATGTTATAGAATTGAACCATCACCTTCAGTAGAAGATGATGCTCCCATTGGATTTTATTATGCTGGCACTCCTGATGGTGTACGACCTGCAGTATTTTATTTCAATAAGGATGTTAAATCAGTGTAAGTATTAGCATCTATATAATGAATATAATTTTTCAATTTGGTTTAGCAATTTCGACTTCTAAACAAATCTTTAATTTACTTTTTATTTTGTGTTACATTGTTTAACCCCTTCCTTCTCGCTCCCGTGAAAATGACGAGGTTTCGCCCTTAATTTCTCTCTCCCGTCATATTTCCGGGCTGTAGTGTTCAGTAGTAACGCGCCAATAAGAATAAGTCTTAATTCATTTCTTTTGCCTGGAAAACATTTTATTTCTCATTTTACACACCTGATGGTAATACCAGGATATTTTTAAGGTAATTGTAAATAATTAGAGAAGAGATGAAAACAATAAGAGATGTAGGAAGGAAAATCGGTACTACTGTCCAGATTGTGACGTTGGCCTCTTTATCTCATGCTTTGAAATTTATCACGCAAGAAAAAATTACTAATTTTTATTTATATTATACGTAAGTTTATTAAAATGATTTTTTAATGTTTAAAACACATATTTTTTAAATTTTCCTTGCTTACTGGAAAACCAACTTTAAGTCCTAGTAACCCACCCTGAATGTTAGCTTTTCCTAAAAAGTTAATTTTTTAAAATTTCAAGCAAAAAACAAATCAAAAATTGAAAATGAATATACAGTGGAGCATCGTTTATACGACGATCACTTATACAACGTTTACATTTATACGACGTTTTAGTGTGGTCCCAAATCATTCCTATTCATTTTAATGCAAAAATATATCGTTTATACGACGCACAGAATCGGTTATACGTCGGTTTTTAGATTTTGTTCACGTTTATTTAATTTTTTATTTTTTCTTGTGTATTTTAAAAAAGGGCGGAATTTGCCAACATGAATGATACAGAAAAGGGTGCCAACAAGAATGCTTGGATGACGACCGTAATTTTTACTAGATGACTGAAAAAACTAGACAATGTTATGAAGAGGCAAAAACGAAAAATTTTGCTATTCATCGACCAATGTCCAGCGCACCCATCGATACTAATTATTTTGGAAAATGTAAAAGCTCTCTTTTTTCCTGCAAATTGCACAAGTGCGCTTCAGCCATTAGATTTGGCCGTGATTAGAAATCTAAAATTGCATCATAGAAAGCAGTAAGTTCAACTCGCTATTCAAAGCATTGTAGAGACTAATAGCAAGAAAATATAATTAAAGGTAACATACATTCAAATTGCTCACTGCAATTTTTCTTCTTTGGTTATTTGTTTGTTTTGCTTTGTCTAATTTAGAAATTTATGTAAATCAACACGTTAAACATTAAAATTAACTGAAAACAGAGTTAGTTTCAGTTTTAGAAGTAAAAATCGATTCTACGACGTTTTTCGGTGGTCCCTTCAGCGTCGTATAAACGATGCTCCACTGTATATATATTGTTCATACACATATTTTTATATAATTTTCAGGGATTAAAAAAAAGCACTTTTATGACTCTTTTTTGAAAATTAACCGTTTGTTAAAGGTTATTTCTTAAAATTATTGTAACATTTACATATTGGGCTGTAGGGAAATATAGTTAACTTGATATACATACATTCTGTATGGATAAAAGTCTTAACCCATCAAAAATCGAAGTGTTTTGATATTTTTATAAATATTGAATATTACATTATAGTTTTTATTTTTATCATTTTGATCGACTTGCCTGATTTAACAAGCCAATTGTCCTAGTTCTTATATATTCTTATGTTTTTATGCTCCTATATATTCTATGTATGCCAGGGCCAATCAGCCATGAGCTGTCTTACAGCTCAATAAAGATGCAAAATATTTAATATTTATAATATTGAATTTATGTCAAATTGAAGTTAAGAAATTCTCAAGAAAAACTGTATACTGAATAAAAACTGTAAAATTTTTTTGACATGAAATTTTTTAAACGTTTTAGGTTTTTTTTTGGTAATAACTTTCTTTGCCTTTGATCCCATTATTGATTTGATTATTCTTTTGATTAATTTTAATGAAATTGCTAATAAAACTTTTAAATAGTTTGAAATTGATAATGGTTAGATTAGAGCCGCGATGGCTCAGGGGATAGAGCGTTCACCTTCCAGTAAGGCAAACAGGGTTCGAATCCCACTCGATGCGAATCCAATATCCGGCTTGCACCGACCACAGTTCTAACATGAAATATCCTCAGTGCTAGACGGATCATGGGTTAGAGTCCCCTTGCCGTCAGGATAACCGTGGGAGGTTCTCGTGGTCTTCCTCTCTATGTAACGGAAATGTGGGTTTGCTCCATCAAAAAGTCCTTCACGAAGGCAAATTTCTCCCAATACTCGATCCAGGAGTTCCCTTGTCTTCTGGATTGGGTTCAAAATTACAAGACAATGGAGTTGAACATTAGTAGTCTTAAGCCCGTAAAATTGGGTCGGCTGTTCAACGACAGTTATGAAATAAAATAAATTGGTTAGATTAAGTTATGAGTGGTGTTTTTCTGACGTTTGATTAAGCAAAGGAAACATTGCTGAGAGGTTTAAATATTTATCAAATAATATTTTTCCCAAATTTATCTGCAATTTTACGTTTTTACTTATAGTTGCCCCCTTTCTTTTATTTTAGACCAAAATATGAGATGATGTCTCTTGCTTTGCATGAAGCACTTCCTGGTCATCACTTGCAGGTATTATATGTTGAGTTTTCAAAGATTTTTTGGTTTTAAAGTAGGGGTTGCTTTTATAACCTGTCTACTTTTTAAGATTAAATTGGCAAAGTCTTTTATTTTAAATTGATTTAAAAACGAAACACTTTTTAAAATAAATTTTGCGATTTAGACTGTTATACCATAAGTGGCAATTTATAGGTAATTTGGTAAGAAATTTTTTACTGTAGTTATATTTTTCTTTTTTTTTNGGGGGGGGGGGAGATGAGGTTTTGCCAATTAATTAAACTTTTTAGAATTTATCAACTACTTTAATATTAATAATTTCAGTTCTTACGTAATAGAATGAAATAAATATTTTTAAAGCTATTTCTATACCTTCAAATTGTATTATGTTCTCTTTTTTTAGCAATGCTTCAACTTTTCTGTAAAGAATTTTCCTGAGTTTCGAAAGTATGTTGAGGACAGGAAATACAGTGAAATTCCCTCTCGGTTCCCACTTCATACAGCTTATGCTGAGGTAAATATATTTATTCCTATATCAAATGCAAGTGTTAAAAAATCCAATTTTTGTTTTATTCTTTATTAATATAATTCATTTCATGTCCCAAAAATGATTTTTAAAAAAAGAAATATATACAGTCGAACCTGCCTATCTCGAAAATCGCGGGAAAGGTAAAAAAATTTGAGATAGAGAGGTTTCGAGATGTACAGGTAAGTTTAAAAAATGAAATTCGAGCTGCAATGTTTAATTAAAAGAAACTTTAAATCATTTATGTTGTAAAGAATTTAATTATGATTACATATTAATTACATCTAATAAAAGTTTTTAACAGTCATACGCACCTCATAGGTAGTCTTTTAATGATATCTGACGTCGGATTTTCTTTGATACGATAATTTTTTGAATGTTAGAGAGAGCAGTGAACCCCTCGTGTCCAACGTTTTCTTGACATTCAAGAAAGTTTGTTAAACGTTCCACAGCTTTTTTAGCTTCCTTTACTGTCACTTTCGGCGCTTCTATATGCTCTTCGTCTACTTCATTTTCGTCTTCGGAAATGCATCTGACATTATCGACAATTTCCGAATCTGTCAAAGTTCCACATGTGGCCAAGGAGTCATCCACTTGCAAAAATTCTTCAAAGGAAATGTTCACTTTTAATCCAGATTTTATTGCATTCCAATCTTGTGAATTTATTTCGATCATTTCTTCATCAGGGATATANTGTTTTTTAATATTTTCTAGTTTATTTGTCTACATTATAGCTTTTATTTTTTATGATTTTGATCGACTAGCCTGATTTAACGAGCTAATTGTTCTTAGTTCCTCTATATTCTTATGGTTTTTTTATCGCATGCCCAGTCAGGGCCATGAGCTGTCTTGCAGCTCAATAAAGGTGTGAAAAACCGGAAACAAAAGATTCCCCTGTATCAATATCTTTCAAATTTGCTCACACAAAGAGGTGTTGACCAAGTATGGAACTAATCCTCTCACAAAGGTGAGGCAGACGCTGCTATGTAGATACTATTGGGATGCTACTAGGCTTGGTAATCATTACCTGTCAATGTTCGAAATCAGCAACACCTATTTTTCTGGGTAAATTAGGGTGAATTCTGTTTTTTTTTTTATAATAAAAAATTGGCCTTTTTTTGTAGTTATCTGAAAGGATCAAAAACTACTATTACATGGTGCGTAGCGTTTTTGAAAAGTGCTTAAAGGTGCTTATTTTCGATTTTTGTTATTTAAAAGCCCTTCTTAAAGGTGCTTTTTTCATGGGGTGTTATTAAAAAGTGCTTAATTTTCCCGTTTGGAATTTTTCTCTCTTTACTATTTCAATTTTCGGTACGTATTACGCAAAAGCGTGCTTTTACATTGTTCTATTCAACGTTTTCACAATTCATTTCCATGTACTGTCGGTTCATAGCGTATGGAAGCGCCAATCATTTTACATGCTTGATGAAATACTTGCGAGTCCGTATGTGCGTCTACTGAGCTGGATTCCGTGAGATTATTGCTTTCTCATAAGCAAGTCTGTTGCATCTTGCAAGATATTCTCACTTTCAGACTTCATTTTCCACCCTCTGATAGCGAACCGAAAAATCTCACGATCATTTTTAGACTTAGAAGTTGGGCAGCTCTGACGAGCAGGGCACATCAACCAGAGGTCTATTGTACCCGAACCCTAAATCGCGATTAGCAAGAAAGCCCTATAGCTGAAATGAAGTTCAGCAAGCACCTTACAGGAACATCTTGCAGTTCCCAGGTATTGACGCAATGCTGCCCTAAATGCTCAAATCTTTGAGCAGAATAGACATCACAGTCACAGAGTATGTGTTGTGATGTCTCTTCTTCAAAATGACAACTCTGACAAAGAGAATTGGATTCTATTCACATTATGTGTAGGTGTCTCCTGAGGATGCAGTGACCAGGAAGAAGACCTATGATCTTCCTTAAACTGTTTCTATTAAGATCCTCTATAAGAGCTCCTTTTGACGTACACTAGGACAGTCACGATTCAGCTCCTTAGCTTGTCTCCGATNCAGAGTATGTGTTGTGATGTCTCTTCTTCAAGATGACAACTCCGACAAAGAGAATTGGATTCTATTCACATTATGTGTAGGTGTCTCCTGAGGATGCAGTGACCAGTAAGAAGACCTATGATCTTCCTTAAACTGTTTCTATTAAGATCCTCTATAAGAGCTCCTTTTGACATACACTAGGACAGTCACGATTCAGCTCCCTAGCTTGTCTCAGATCTCGATCATTTTATAATGGCTAATGTAATCAAGAAAAGAGTTCTTTGTCAGAAACTAGTTGAAAATTAGTTTGCATTTTTTAATGTATATAGTGTTTAAAAGTATATTTTGAGTGCTTAAAAAATACTTAAAAGGTGCTTATTTTTTGTTGAAAGATTTGGCTACGTACCCCGTATTAGTATCTAGTATCAAAAGGAATAAAAATACATTTATAACGTTTGTATAGGTATTTTTTTTTCAAATAATCTTTTTTAATGACTTTTAGAAAAGCAAGTAGAAATATTTGGATAAAAAATAAATCAATTAGGTATTTGAAAATAGTACTCATTTTTAACCTATTTCAGCAAAAGACATAAATGTGCTAAAATGTTATCATAATAAACAGAAAGCTGCATGTACTAAATATAGTAAATAATATATATATATGCATATATATATATTCCATCTGGTTATATGGTGATTGTTATCAATTGTTTTTATCAATTTTCATAAGAGTTGAAACCAAGACATGTTTATATTTTTCTGTTACATTTTTAACATCAAATATTTTTTTTTAATATCCAAAAAGCAGCCATTAAACTTGGTAGAAAAATTCCAAATTAAATCATTAGTTATTTATTATTAATGGTTTCCGTGTTCTACTTATTTTATCTGGAATAATAAAAATGTTTAGGGTTTAAGAGTTTTGGATTCTCTCATAACTTTTATACTGTAGGGCTGGGGACTTTATTCTGAGTTCTTGGGATCTGAATTAGGATTATATGAAGACAAGTATGATTAGTAAGTAAAAATTTTTTGGAATAAAACATTTTTAAATCCATAAAAAATATTTTTTTAACTCTATTTTTTGATAAAAATAGTTAATTTAGAAATAATATAAAAAATATTTTATGGATTAAAAATCTATTTTAAAATAATGTTTTATTTTTGGTTGAAGTTTGAAATTTCTTTTGCAGTATTATAAATTTCTTATTTCTAACAGCAACTTGTCAGGAAAATGCTGTTAATATTTTCTCTATCATTGTAAATATAGCAAACAATCAAGAATAACACTTTGTGTTTGTGATAAAACTGCTTCTAACAGTAATCACTGCAACTACTTTAATTATGGCACCTGAATAGTTCAGAGTGTCTCTGTAGTTAGGAGGCATGGAGATGTCTCTTGACTTAATTCAGTTATGATCATTTGGTAGGCTTTATGAACATTTAACTGATGAAAAGATTTGAATTATTGGGGCTTTCTCTAATAAAGAAGCGAAAAAAGTAAAAGAAATGAAAAAAAAAAAAAGTAAAAGAAACGAAAATTTTCTATAGATGGTTACTAAAAAAAGCAATTTTTTTTTAATGAGGAAGGAAAAAGAAACTTAATTTTGTTCATTTGGTGAAGATAGCAATTTAAAATAATTTAGCAAGAAATAAACACTTTCTCTTTTTCTTTGAAAGGTTTAGTGCAGGGTTAGAACAAATTGCTCCAAAATGCCGTTTTTTTCCCCAAAATTGCTTCAAGCTGCTCCATAACTCTAATAATATACATTGAGCAAGAAGCACAAATTTGAGCCAATTTTGGGCTAAATTTGCACACAAAAATTAGTTTTTATGCTAAAAAACCGCAATCAGTTTTCGTTTTTCTCCTAAATGTAGATTAATATGTTTAGTTAAGTGAGTTTTTCCTGCCCTCGAATAGAAGGTGTCAAGATGTTATTACATAATGAAATTCACTTGTCCAGTGATTTCGCTTATGTTTTGAAACACGTCAAGTACGCTCAAAAATTGTGGAGAGAACGAAAAATTAATTATGATTTGTTCCTTAGGACATGTAATTCTCAAAGACCTAATTTTACAAACACTCTGCTTCTCTGAATATGAAGTCTATTTGTTACAATCTGCTGCAAAAACTAAATTTATTTGCTCCAAAACACATTTTTTCTGCTCCCAAAGAGTTATACTGCTGTTCTATCCCTGCCTAGTGTTATCACTAGAAGTGAAGAAATTTACTACTTATAATTTTTTTGAAATTTATGAATAAATCTAAATTTCTATCTGAAGAGTCCAGTTCTTGTGCTCACATTTTGATTTTAAACTAGTAATATTATTTTTAATGCATATTTGTNCACAGAGCAGCAGAAATAAAACTTGTATTTCCCTCATTTACTACATCTTCTGCATCAGTTACTATCATCACTATTTGATTTAACAACATAACAATGTCTTCATCTGTCAAATACTGGAAGTCAGGCTCACATGCATTACTTTGAAACCAATCTTCAAAATTTTCTTCGCCAAGAAATTCGAAACCTCAGATTTCTTTTGCTTGTTCGAGAATACTGTTATCATATTTTTGTTGAACATCTGAAGAAGATTGCTCATCAAGCGATATTATCTTTCTCCAAGATAGGCATAAAATAGACGATTTTACCTTTGACCATGCTGCTGATATTCCATATACTTCAATCCACTAACGAATATTGCTTCCAAAAATTTGGTAGTGTTATAACTTCATGAATAAAATTTTTTTTAATCTTTAAAATGTTTCTCTTTATATTTTTCGTGTGACTCCGGAACGAGCATGGATAATCCGCAAACCGGATAATCGAGAGTGTACTGTAAATGAAAAAATTTATCTTCATTATTAATAGATGAAGAAGGAAAACAGAATAATTCTGAATATCAAATTACACCATTGCTTTGTCAGTCCTAATTAAAAGTCTTAATAATCAAAAGCTCTTTTCAATTTTTGTTTTGTTTTTTCAACCGATAAATAAATTATGAATATGCATGTTGATGGATGGATAAAGATGAGGAGAATTCTTACTTTCATCATATAGGACTTTTAGTAAAAAGACAAAATATGAAAATCCTGACTCATGAAACTTTCATTTTTCAAAGTATAGCTTACTGTGGAATCACTGTTGTAACATTGAATTGAAAATATTTGAATTAGAAACGCCATGTTTAAAAAAAAGGTTGATGAGTATGTTTCATAGAATTGATACAAAAGAACAAGTCCAAAAAATAATAGTACCTTAAAATTTGGAATATTTGTGTTGTAATAATATTTTTATTAAAATATCGAAATCTGAAAAAAAAAGTGCAAGTTGTCTATAAATATAATCACAAAATATTAAATTACTATGAAATTAGGCAGGTCAGAAAGCGATATTGAAGCAAATTGTTAACAAATAGTTATTACTCAAATGTGAAGTTCGGGAGTCTTAATAACATTGTGTGTTGTATGTTATTAAAAATGTGATATAAACCTTAGGAAATAAATTCTAAAAAATTTTATTTTCACAGAAAACCCATTAAGTAAATTTTTCAGTTATATATTTACTTAAGTAAGCATCTTTTTTATTTAATAACAAATTTTTACCAAGCTCTCTTAAAATGATGTAAAATGTAAATTTATGGGACAAAGACTTAATTTTACAAACACTCTGCTTCTCTGAATATAAAGTCTATTTGTTACAATCTGCTGCAGAAACTAAATTTATTCGCTCCAAAACAAATTCTTTCTGCTCCAAAAGGGTTGTACTGCTGTTCTATCACTGCCTAGTGTTATCACTAGAAGTAAAGAAATTTACTACTTACAATTTTTTGAAATTTATGAATAAATCTAAATTTCTATCTGAAGAGTCCAGTTCTTGTGCTCACATTTTGATTTTAAACTGGTAATATTATTTTTAATGTATATTTGTAGAGTAAAGTGGGGAAAGTTTAAAAAATATGTTGGTAAAAAAGTGACTGCTAGATAAAAGAAAGTTGGGATGCTAAGTGACTATTGCAAGTTTTGATTAAAGTGCTTAAAGGAAGAATGTGTTAATCAACATTCTAGGTAATTTCCTAAAAATCATTTTTTTTTTATGTACAAAAACATCAGGAAGCTATTTCATTTTACTGTGTTTTCCTCTTTAAGTTATAGTTTTTTAAAAACTTCACTAAAATCTTTTTATTAGGCTGTTTAAAATAATTCTAATTATTTTTAATAATTATAAATTCCTGTTTTCATATTTCTTTTTTACATTTATTTTAGGCACGAAAGGTCTTACAATTTACAAAGAATACTATTAAAATAGAATTATCTGAATAAATTGTGATGCATTAGTAAAGTATTCAAGAAAACGCTTTTTTTTAGCATTTCCCTCTTTCTGCTCAATGCATTGTTTTTAAAATATTGTTTTACTAATTTCTCAATTTTAATTTAGTACATATTTTAAAGTTCTAACAACTAAGTTTAAATAATCAAAATTTAAAGTTTTAATATTGTTTTCATCTCCTTCTAGTTTTGGATATCTTTCCCAAGAATTGTTTCGTGCTGCTCGTCTTGTTGTCGATACTGGAATTCATGCTTTTAAGTATGAAACGATAAGTAATTTGTATATTAATTTAACTTTGCATTGTAGTATCTATTAAAGTCCATTTCAAGTATTAATTTTTAAAAGACTTCTAAGTGAAAGAAAAATTATATATAAGTGAAACCATTTGTATATCTATACAGGATGTTTTGTAATAACTAACTTTAATTTATACTTTTGGAGTCCTTATCAAAAATAACATTTAAAAAGAAAGCATGTTATCAATCACTTATTAATATGTAAGGGAGGAAAAGCAAAAATGCTGCAGGACATAAAACATCAATACCTGTTTGATTGCCGAGGAAAGCATATAGATTTTAGGGGATAGACTTTGAAAATGTACAAACAAACTAGTTTTGATACATTTCATCTTTGTTTCCTCAATTGTGATTCCACAGAATTTGATAGTGTTTTTATTGTTTAAAAACCAATGTATTTATATATATGTATATATATATATATATATTTTCACTTTTGTGAAGGATTCTTAAAGTATACTTAGAAGATAATTATAAACAACTTGCTATATTGATGTGACAAACTTTACATAACGAATTTTGTGGATTATCCACAAATTATCATTTTTATAACTTAATTTTTTTACGTGCAAACCTGGTATTTTTTTATGAACTTTTTTGTCACTACAGAAATAGAAAATATGAAAGAACTTTAGCATATCATCCTAAGTATTGCTTAATAAAATATTTTACAGAAAAAATATGACTTGGCAGAATCATGCATACATAAAATATTGTGATACGGAATCTCACATTTATCATTTATTCCAGGACTGAAACCCCTATGGATAAAAATACTGAAGGCATTTTCCATCATTACATTTTTATACTTTAAAACTTGCACTATTGTGAGATCACAGATAATCTACTTATGGATAATCATGAATTTACTGTATAAATGGTCCAGCAAAAGAGTGCTCTCTTTTGAAATTAATTTCTCTAAAGCAGTGATAAATTAATGAAATAAACTGTGCATTGATAGTGAAAACTGTGAGAGTTCTATACATCTTGTTTTTAAAATTAGTTACATAACTGATTAGAAGTTTATAATAGTCTCAAAATTAGTTACAAAAACTTCTGTTGTTACAAACAGATCGCTCTTATGGAGCGTTCGGTAAGACTAGGACCACCGATTCTGCTTGTTGAAATGTTAAAAGTGGTTATGTCCCCAAAAAGTCAGCAACAATGAAATAATACATTAGCATGTTTTGGGCCATGTTTGGGTCCCTCTGGTCAGAAAAAATTAGCAACTTTCATTCCTCTCAGACTTCTGTTTGAAAGTTGAAACAACCCTTGGTTTCTGCTTTAACTTTGACTGTAGTAATCTAATTTTTCGATTGAGTTCAAATGAAAGATCTAACTTTGCATGAAACAAAATTTCCTTTTCAATTCATTCTAACGAATTTCTAGATTAATATTCTTTAGGAATCTTTTGCATTCTCTTTCTGTGGTTAAAACTCTTACCACTGAAAATCTCCAAAAATTTTTTTTTCTAACTTTTTATTTCCTCGAATTTAACTTTTATTCTAATTTTGAATTTTTTCCACAGATAATTTTTCTTATATCTTAAGAAAATTTTTTTGGCTTATATAAACATTACTCATATCCCTGCTCTCTTTTCAATGAAAATAAGCAAATTTGAATTCCTTCACCCGTTTTAGGCGCTTCTATGATATTTGAATGGATATTCGTATTCACGCATTCTAAAAATTCAATATCGCAATTTGTGTTTTCGCGTTTTTAATATCCAATATCGTGATTCATATTAACACAATTTTAAAGCCAAATATCGCGATTCTTGTAAGAAGTAAGCTCTTTCTATAATAGTAAGCTTTTTTTAAAATATTTCTTTACTATTTTGTAAAAAGTAAACTTTTTGAATTAGTTTCTATAAAAGTGTGATTCTTTTCATTAGTAGGTAATTTAATCGTAAGTGCTAATTCAAAAAATTATATTATGTTAAATATGAAACATGATTAGTATGTAAATGAATATCGATTTTTTGCATTTAAAATTTTCACTTTGCTTCACAATCACTCCTTGCTGGGTATCAAATCCCAGTTCTTCACACTGACAGTTCAGTTCCTTAACCACTGAGCCACTGCAGCTTAGTTACTGCTCATTACTTTTGATCAAAGAAAGTTATGTTTTTTAAATACTTTATTTCTTTCACAACATCCTTGAAATTCTAGCTACAGTTTGCTACAAACTATCCAGTCTAATGTGGCAGAAGGGGAGTCTCCATAACAAAGTAACTGGTTAGGATAAAATTCCACCTTAAACCCCCTCTCTCATCAAGTTAAAAACATATTTTCAGGTAAATGATTAATGCAAAAATACTCTTATGTTTATTAAGGAACTACACAAATGTGAGAGGCTATAAAAATCTAAATGTTAAGACTTTATCTTTCCTCATTTCTCCACCCCTCCTTTTATAAATGGCTGGATCTATTATTGCTAATTTTTTATTAGGGTGCATAGTTAGGAGTACAACAGCTAAATTGTACTTAAAGTTGCTTTTTATGTAACGATAGTAATTTTATTTAAATATTTAACGAAAGTATTATTAATATTCAATTTAAAATGACAGAAAGGTTGTCAAGAAAATATCTATCATATGCAGTTTTATTTATTATCAAGGAATTTGCTGTCTGCTAAATTTATTTATTTCAAGTATGAAACTTTAAATGTAAACTTATTGAAATGAAGGTTTATTACAACTTAAAAGTTAAGAGTCTGTAATATTTCAGTTGGAGTCAAGATCAAGCAGTAGCTTATATGATTGAAAACACAGCCAGTTCAAAGAGAGTGATTGAAAATGAAGTGAAACGATATATTACTTGGCCTGGGCAGGTTAGCATTTTTTATTAATTGCTTTACTTCATTTTTAGAATTTTCTATATTTGTATTTTATTTTATAACCGTCGTTGAACTGCCGACCCAATTTTTTAGGTCGACCCAATTTTACACTAGTAATGTTCCATTCCGTAGCCTTGTAATTTTGAACCCAATCCAGAAGACAAGGGAACTCCTGAATCAAATATTTTTTTGAAGACTTTTTGATAGAACTAACCCGCATTTGCATTACATGGAGAGGAAAAACTCCAACGTTTAGCCTCACGGCAAGGGGACTCTAACCCATAATCTGTCTACCACTGAGAATATTTTATGTTAGCACTGAATTCGTATCGACCAGCCATCGCTGGTATATGAGCCCAGTTCACCTCATTAGAAAGTGAACGCTCTATCTCCTAAGCCATTACGGCTCTATATTTGTATTTTGAGTTTTAAACAGCTGGTGTTTAATTTTTTGGGTTAGAAACACCAGCCCTTTTGCATCCAAACGCTGGAATTCTGGGGCATAAGAGCCTATGGTGGAACTCACCTCCATTGCTCTTTTGGTTTGGGAGCAGGTTGTTTTTTATTTAATTTTCCTTATCTTCATTCTATTTGTTGCAGAAAATTTTTGAGGTTTCAAAAATATTAATGCAATATGAACTCCATTTAGCACTCGCTTCGTGACAAGCACATTATTACGTTAGAATCAAAAATTGGCCAATAAAAAATATCTCAGAATTTTTATTACATGATTAAAGACAAAGATATTTGGTACCTCATGTTTAGAATTCTATCAGGATGAAATTTGACCCCAATCCTTTTTCTCAGTTACAATTGTGACTTCATAGACAAACCCTTTTTTTTAAACTTCTTTTTTATTTATGGCTGCCATAAAACTTGCTAAATATTTTTCCCCCTAAAAGTTATTTAGCAATTATGGAAAATGTTATTCTTTGCTTATACATTAGAAATTTAAATAGTTATATGGAATTCAATGTTTTACTTATATTCATAATTTTACGGAACACAATATTGCATAAAATTTATTATAAAATGAAATATAACATGTTATAAAGTATTGTAATTATAACTCAGAGACTAAATATCTTTATGTATTTACCCCCATGTGACTTCGTAATTTATATATTATTAGCTATATTATGATTTCAATACATATTTGCCTTTTAAAGCTTGTCAAAGTAAAAAAATAAATATTTGAAGAAAGAGATAACTTCAAATAGTTAGCATTGCTAATTTTTTTAGTTATAATTTTCTTAAGGTTGTTTTAGAAAATTAAGTTTTTTGTTCTTGTGCTTTCTCTATAAATTTCAATATCATTTCAGATAAATGCCAATTAAGATTATTTGAATAAAAATAGTTTTTACTTTAAAGTTATAAATTCAAAACCTATATAGAACTTAAATAACAAAATATTTTAAAATAAAAGTTAATTACTCTAACCATTGAATTTATTCTGTTCTACTTGATATTATAAAGCATAAAATCATGTAAAAAATAAAAGGATATAAAATTTAAATAAGTTATGCTTCTAATATACAGTATAAAGTTGACTCAGTTGTTATTTACTCTACAGATTTTAAATTTCTATAATTATTTAGGTGATTATTGTAATTTGAAACATGTTTTTAATAATAAATTTAGTTTTTAACGATGTTAGTAAATTTTTTATTCATTCAATAATCTAAATATTTAGTTTATGCGATTACCAGAGAAAAATGATTTATTAAAAAATTGTTTCTTCTATTTATATTTGTCATTTTTTTCTATTTTATTCAGGCTTGTGCATACAAAATTGGTGAAATGAAAATTAAGTCTTTAAGAAAAATGGCTGAGAACCAATTAGGTATAGTACATAATTTGTTTAAGTATTTATATTTAATTCTTACATGCATTTTATTTTTATACATTTAGTCTAATTAAGCATAATCATTTCATCCTTGTAAATTTTAGTGAGTCTTAGTGTTTAAATATTTATTTATTTGATTTTTATTGTTTTTATTTCACGTGTAAAATACTTAGTCAAACAAAGTAGGGTTGACTTGATTTTATCCAACACCTAATAACACAGATGGTTCACAATCAGTTCTAAATTTCATCATATGATTCACACAAATTATTCTGCTTGCTTTAAAGTTTTGAATGTAAAATATAAATTACGTTATCATGAGCCTATTCAATCTTATAGCATGAAAAATTTGTTCCTAAAATTTTTCGTCCTTTGACTCTAGGGAATAAAAAGAAATTTAATGTATGTTAGTGAATTATAAGACAAGACATTCTTGATTAATTGATCAAGAAAGAAAAAGTAATTATCTATTACAGTTGAGATATTAATTGGATAACTTATTATCCACCATTTATCATTATAGGGATTTTAACATTTAAAAAAGATCATTGAAACTTTTCTTTCTTTACAATAGAGAATGATCAGTATTATAATTCAATATCCAATCATTTCGTAGTGAGAAATTTAAATTTTTGTATTCAATTTTTTAAAAAAGAAATAATAATTTAAAACGTATTTTTAAAAATTTTAATTTCTATGTTGTTTGAACTTTAGTTGAATTTTATGCAATGAGGCTAAAAAAATTAAATAAATCCCTATACAGTTAAGCTTCTAATTAAGTAACAGAAAAATATTCTTCACTTTTTGTTCTCTCAATTTAGTTTTTTAAAATTTTTATTAGAAAAAAACAGGAGCACCCTGGGTGTACTTCAGAATTCCAGATCCCAAGGTCTAGGATGTGATTTTTCTGTGAATTTCGCTACTTTTCGAGTAACTCAAGGCCAACGATTCGTGGACTTCCACGAGTCAAAACTAAAGATAGAATTAAAAGTTACGCAATTTAAATTTTTAAACTTTTGCTAAATCATGTTAACGAGACAGTTACATGAATGTGATTCTCCTGACAGTTTGTTTTGGTTTGTCAGAATTTTCTAAGCCCTCTATTCATATTCACGCGATTCAAAAACCGTACATTGCAATTCGTATTCACTTGATTCAAAAATCCAAATTGCAATTTGTATTTATGCATTTTTAAAATCATTATCATATTTCGTATTTACTCGTTTTTAAAATCCAATATCGTGATTCGTATTTATGCATTTGTAATATCAAAAATGAAATTTTGTATTTATACGTTATTTAAAAGTCACACATTGCGATTCATATTCAGTCGATCTAAAAATCATGCATCATGATTCGTATTTACGTGATTTAAAAATCTAATATTGTGATTTGTATTTTCGGTTTCTTAAAATCCAATATCGTGATTAAAATATTATCGCGATACTACTAAGAACTAAGTTTTTCCTTAAATTAGTTACTATAAAGGTGAAATATTCTTAATTTATAGGTAATTTCATTAGAAAGCTTAGTTCAAAAATTTTTATTAAACATGCATAGTAAATAAATTGATATCTTGATATTGAGTTTTTGCATATAAATTTTAAGGTTTTTTTTTTTTTTTTTTNTTTTTTTTTTTTTTTTTTTTTTTTTACTTAGTGTCACTGTGACCTCTGAAAAAAAGTTTACATTTGTTTTAAAAAAGGAGTCTCAGGAAATTTCCCTTTGTTTGCTTTTTAAAATAAAAAAGATGACTGAGATAAGAAATATAAACTGCAGGTGCTGTAATAATTAGCTTTTTAATTTAATCTGCAGTGATTATTACAGCAGATTAAATTAAAAAGCTAATTTTAACAAATCTCTTATGAAATTTTGAAACTAAAATGTAAGTTTGATAGACTTAACACTAGAAAGATGGGCCTATTTGGTCCCTCTTGTTTTTTGTTGCTTTGTCATTCAAAAAATAACTTTCTGAAAGTATTAAGTACCTTTCACTTTTCATAATTTGATCCAATTTAAGAGCTTATTTGAATAATTTATGTGTTAGCTTTATAGGAGCATATACATAGAACCTCATAGCTAGAATCACCTCATAGCTAGAATCAGGTTGGCCCCTTAGGGTAGGTATAAAGTACCCCAGTTCAGTACCTGATCTAATAAAGATGGAGTCTTGGGCACAGAACTGCCAGGGGGCCCCTTTTAGTTACTTAAAACTAAATTTGCATGTTTAATTAGGAAGAGTTTTTCAATTTTTGTTAACTCATATTTCTATGGGGGGGGACAATTAGAATATATTTGTAACATTTAGAGGGCCCCTAGAGATGTAGGGGTCCAAAGCCTAGGCCTCTCAGGACTTAATATAAATCAGGTACTACCCCAGTTTCATTAAAAAAAATATAAATAAATAAAAAAAAGAAAAAAGAGTGTTTCAAAACATATTATTATTATTTTTAGAGAAAAGGAAACTCAATTATTTAAGAAACTATTGTATAACCATAATTGAAAAGTCAGTCTATTATTTAATCTAACATTTTTGTTAATCAAATCAAATAAAATACCATAAAATTTTGATAATCAAGTCTCTAATGTATTTTTTATTAAATTAACTATGATTAAGTTTTAAGATTTTGCATGTCTACTCTCAAACAATCTGGGAAGATAGTTTGTGTGTAGGCCCCCTAGACACTTTCTAGGTGTTTTCAATGCTCAGTCTTTCTAGTTTTAAACATAAAAGTAAGATCATTAAGACATTGACTTTTTCTTCTCTTTGCATCAGAGAAATCTGTTTATCAATTATTGAAAACTTATTGAACCTAATTATTGAAAACTTTTCAATAATTTTATTATTAATTTAAATGTAAGAAATAAACATTTTTTGCTGCAGTAAATATAAACAAATGTCATAAGCAAGAAAATTTTTGCTTGTGTGTAACGTTTAGTTATTAAAAATACATTGTCATGTCACACACGCTACTTAATGTTTGATTACACATAAAAAGACTTGTATTAAGAATGAGTCAAGCAATAGACACAAGCTACAGTGCATTTTATTATGAATATGAACTTACAATAAATATGTTATAAATGTGGAAAAGGAAAAGAGTTATGAAAATAAGTTATTTTTATTTCTTTTTTAACATTCACAGGCTCAAATTTTAATATCCAGGACTTTCATGAAGTTCTATTGAACAACTATGGTCCTCTTGATGTATTGGAAAAGAAAGTTCTAGAATATGTTGATGATAAGAAAGATGTTTAATTATGATAAAATGGCTTTTATAAGAACTTGTTTTTCATTTAATAAAGAGATTTAATTTTGTAGATTAGTTGTGAGTTTTTATTACTTAAAAAAATATAAATAGAGGAACATATATGACTAGTGCATTTGAGTCATAATTGAAAAATATGGATTCAATGAAATTATCAGAACATTGCTAAACCAAATCTATTTTTCTGTTATGTTAATTTTCTGTTATGTTAATTTATTTCTGTTCTGTTATGAATCAGCAACCTTATTTTGTATAAAATTATTCAAACAATACAATTTTTTTCTATTCTATATCTTTATCGCTTTTAATCCAGTTTGAGAGAGTACAAACTAAATATACTTCTATTTATTACTTTGTTTAAAAACTTTCGTTTTACTTGATTCTTTTAATTATTCACAGCAAACGATTAAAAATATGACTGAAAATAGTCAGCACTTATCATTAATTTCCATGAAAATTTTTTTAAGGTTCTTTTTTTTTATATGGTCATGTTTGTACATATTTCAAAAGAAAATTAATGTAATTAACTTAATAGTTTAATTATATTTATTTAATATAATTTATACAAATTAAAGTTAATGCAACTTTTAATTCATCCATTGTTGTCTAATCATATCTAATTTAATTTGGGTGATAGTTTCTTTGAAGCTTGATTTTTTTTATTCGTATATTTCGCTAAGACTCGGTGTTATAACTTTGATGTTTCATTGAGACCTGGTTTTATTATTCATTAATTTCATCAAGACTTGGTTTTATAATTTACTCATTTCATTTTATGAAACTTACTGTTGCTTAAGTTTTTTCTGCTTTGCTTAAAAAATGAAAGGGAAAATATAATAATTTATAACTTTTTTAACTTGTCTTTAGGACTAAATAAATTTTGAAACTAAATAAATTATTCAATTTATTATAGATTTTGGTTAAAAACTAAAATGTATAAATATTAGTTTCTTAAATTTTAAAGCAGATTTTAGCTAATTTGAAATATAATATACTTTATAATTGACCATTTAATATTTATAACATTAAAAAATATACTTTCTATTCAGATTTTCCATATCGAAAATACCTTTTCATTTGCCAACACTTATACCATCCATGAAAATATTTGAAATTTTTTCTACTTAGAAAAATATAGTGTAGTTTTGAATGATTTTAATTTATTTTTAATTTCATCCTCTTTGCTTGTTAATGTTTTATACATGATATAGTACATATTTTGAAATATTTTTACTCTTCTAAATAGTTGCATAATTTTTGTTTTTAATTCCAAAGCCTTAACTATTTTAATATTAGGAGTTTAAATAAAGGTACCCATTTAAAGTGTGGGACTTTTTAGGGGCTACTATATTTTTGTTTTGACTTCAGCTTTATGGTTTCTGGAGATCTTTTAATGTTTTAAATGTAATTCAGAAAAGAAAAACTATTTGTTTTAGGAAATTACAGTAATAATGAAAAAAAAATTTACATCTTTAAACTCTTTTTATCTTATCTAAGCCNTTATGGTTTCTGGTAATCTTTTAATGCTTTAAATGTAATTCAGAAAAGAAAAACTATTTGTTTTAGGAAATTACAGTAATAATTAAAAAAATTTTTACATCTTTAAACTCTTTTTATCTTATCTAAGCCGATTTATATTATATGTATATATATTCAAATTCATGAAATCTGAGGACTTCTTTTTATTTTTGCTATTTTTTAATTCCTCTTTTAACTCAGCATTATGATATTTTTTTGTTTTTAAAATTCTTTAAATCTAGTGATTTTTTTAAAGTTTTATGTTTGTTTTTTCTACTTTTTTAATTCAAATATTTTTATAATACTTTTTAATCAACCTTTATGATTGATTACTCTACTAAAGCATTTAATAATTTATTAAATACTTTAATAATTAAGGAAATATTTAAATTAAGTATTAATAATTTATAATGTTTTTTTATTTAGAAAATTAAATAACAATAAAATTTATATATTTAGTATTTGAAGTAGTTAATCAGCATTAATTATGTCAAAACTGTAAACTGCATAATATAAAACACTTTAATTTAGCAAAAAGCCATTTTTTTTACTTTGGGTAATACTCTAATCAAAAATACAAATTGAATAAGCAAGAATATTTTCATATGCATATAGTGATTGTGATGAGAAACACACTACATGAAGCAATTTACAAACAAGCATTGATGTATGTGGACAGCACAGCATTTTAAAAATGAGAAAATATTACAAAAATAAATAAAGTACTTTTTAAAGCTTCTACCATTCTTAACACATTCTTTCCATATTTATATTGACATTTCACCGGTTTGATTAGGTGTAGTTTGATATGCGCCAACATAACTGCACACTAAATAATGTGAACTCCTAAAATCAGCAGTGCACTGTACAAAATTTACATTGTTGTGAAAAGGATGTTAACATTAAGATCGGGTCACAAATTTTGCATAATACTCTATTATACTAGATATTGTGCCTTGGATAAATCATAAATTTAAACTGAATAGTTGGGTGAAATTTGAAATTTTTCTGTCGTACATAATTTTTCTAATAAATGTTTTAAAGCTGTTATTCATCAATGTTAAAGTTTGCGGAAAATCGTTGCATTCATTTTCATAATGTTAATAAGAATGTTAAAATTACTTTTAAAATTTTGTTCAACGTATTGTTATTTTTGTTTAATAAATAGAAGTTATTTCACGCATGCTTTAAGGCTGTACTTTGTTCAATCAAATGACTTTACAAAAGAATGCATTTTCAAAAGTTATAAATTTTTTAAATAGTTGTATGAAAAATAGCATAATACTTGAGTAACAAAAACAATGTTTAATAAGTTGTATAAAACTTAAGTGCTAATTAAAAAATTTTTTTGTGAATCTAAGTGTAAAGTTTTTAACAATAGTGAACAACAGCATTAAAAAAAATTACTTTTCTTATTATTGAATGAATAACTTTATGGAGGGCTACAAACATTAACTTTCACATTCATGTCTATAAAAATGAAAAATTTCAACCATGGAAATGTTTTTGTGAAACATGATTCACGCTTATCTTCTTAGTTCTATAGAGAAGATCTATTAAATTTTATTACTTACTGTGAATTTTCAATTCTTAATATAATAATGAAACATGAAGGATAAAAGTAATGAAGAAAAGTTTAAATTGATTTTTTTAGCAATAATATAGCTCTAGAGTTAAATACTTTTCTTATTTAGCTTATACTATATCTAAAAATTTACCTGAATTTCCAATTTATTTATTTATTTTTAAATCAGGAAAATTATATCAATTTTGAATTTACTTTTACATATAAGTAATTAAGCAAATTTTTTGTTTGGATTTAATTATGTATATTAGTATGAATTTCCATCTTGTAATCCTCTACTGCAATATAAAAGTTAAACGAAAAATAATGTACTATATGAAGCTAAATTTAGTGAAAATACTAATTTATGCTCAAAATCCTTCAATTTTTTTTTATTATTTGCCCTCTCTCTGCTTTGAGTATAGTATATCAATTATTTCCCTGAAACTTTTGTTTTGTTTCTTTGCAACTTTTTCACATGACTTGAGAAGCTTTAAGCGAACAACTTAATAAGAGATTACACTAACTAAAATTTTAAAATTGCTGAAATAAACCTGTTTAATACAATGTTATGATCAATTTTAAGCCCAGAAAATCAATTTTCAAACAAAGCAATTTTCAACAGAATAGAATGTTTAGTAAACAGTTTTCTGATGTTTCTAAACATTTTAAAGCTAGTTTTCTCAAATGTAGTAAGACGTCACTATAACAGTGGTTTTTAATGGAACTAATTAATTAGAAAACAGCTTAATATTTTCATAAATTTTGCAACTAGTCTGGTCTCAAATCGATCGCTTAGCAGTTTTTAGTGAAACTAAATGTTAAGTAAATAATTTCCTGCGATTTCTTTTATTTTTAGCCAGTGTTCTAAATTTAAAAAATCATTTTTTAACATGTTCTTCCATTAGACTTGTCAAATAGCAGATACAAGTTCTGAACACTTAATTTTATTTTTAAAATTAACTATCTTGATTTACATGGTTTTAGTAAATTTGTAAAATTAAGTTATCTCAAATGTGTTTACAAAATTCATAGGTTTCTTTATAGAACTAAGAAAATGTGTTACTGTACAATAAGTGATGCTAATACTGATCTCTAATGCAACTGGTTTTTATTAAATATTATAAGTATTTTTCTTTTAATGTTCTAAATATTTAAAAGGTGCTTTAAAATAATGTGGCACGCAGGCATACAAAAAGAATAAAAAATTACACAGGATCATAAATGGTTTTGGTGTTGCAAATTATACAAACATGTCCTTAAAATGGTGGGTCATTATGTGCAACATCAAAATTATTGAGCATCTGTACTGTTGCATTGATCAGAAATGCTTAACGTGTACAAATAAAATGATTTAAATGGAAGCTTGTTAGTTTTCGTGTATCAACATGATATTTAGGACGACATCACAGGGTGGGCCAAGGCCTTCTGTAAAGAATTCCGCTAGGTCGCAGTCAATAGATACTTCCAGCTTTCGATTGTCTTAATGTTTAAATTGTAGTATTGCATATGCTGTATATTCAACATAGCTCTATGCTATATTTTTCTTATTCTTTCTGCATTATAGTGCTTCTTTACCTTATTATTTTATTCTCTTTAATCATATTTATTTTTAAAGTTTTACAGTTTGTTGAGCTGTCAATGCACGAAGATAGTAAAAAAAAAACTTTAAATAAATATATTTAAATAATTTAAATTTTTTCTTTTTGTGCAAACTAGTTTTACACACCTTTTTTTTCATGATTTTAGTTGATTTTTGACTTTTTGTTCTTTTAATCACTGACCTTTTGTTTTTATCACTGACTGAGAACGTATTTTTTTACTTGAATTGTCAGTCTTTTATCCCAAACATTCTGAAACCCTATATCACATCTCAAAACATCCTTTTTTTCGCCTTCTTTTTGAAGAGCTGACCATTGAAGAGCTTTGACACAAAAATTTAATTTTCCTTGTATATTACTTTCAATTAATTTGCAACTTACTCAAGCGGCCCCAAGAAAAGTTTATAATTTTATGTTCCTGTAATATTTTTTAATTCTTGTATGCCTCCCTTTCATATGGGCCATGCTCTTTTGAAGCACCCTGTATATATAAAGAAAATAATAATAAAACTAACTGATGAAATCTTACCTCAGAGTAACAAAATTTTTTTCTGTTGCCAATNCCTCCCTTTCATATGGGTCATGCTCTTTTGAAGCACCCTGTATATATAAAGAAAATAATAATAAAACTAACTGATGAAATCTTACCTCAGAGTAACAATAAAATTCTTTTTTTGTGTAACAAAATTTTTTTCTGTTGCCAATTCAGCATCTAATTATCTTATTATTATTTTTTTATTTTTACAAAATCACTAGAGTTTACAATATCAATCCCAGTAGCTTTAGAGATCATTTATAAACAACTAACCATTTTTTATCCTTCTTTTACGAAAAACATTAACAGACACTTTGATAATGAGATCACAAAGTTGTGCAAGGCATTGTCTCTAGTGCTTTTTTTTTTGTTAATAAACTTCAGTTAATACTCGCTCATTCGCGCTCTTTGGTCTTATTTTCACTTTGAACTGATGAATGTGATTTCTGTTGCAGCAAAATATTTTACTTTTAATAATACTGTCTCGTATTTGATTTGAAAATTTGATGAATCTGTTTTTTGAGAAACGTACTTTTTAAAAGGATTATTGAAATTTGAGTTGGAAGCTATCGCAATGAGGTAGGAAAAAATTAAATGTAAAAGAGATTAGATTGTCTTAACAAAGCAAGTGAAAATGTTAGCTCCGATTTTTAAGGTGTAATGCCTTTATAAAAAATTATAAATCAAGTCTGGGGAAGCCTCTTAACTCATTTTCAATGTTAAATGAAATCTTTTCAGCCAGGAGGGAGGGTCAACTAGTAGCAGGTTTTGATTGCTCCTGTGTTAAGGAGAAAAAAACCTCTGTACTTATCTAGGTGTAGTAAGTGACTTCTTTTAATAATGAATAAGAGTGAGATAAATATTTAAGTTTGGTATATAAAGTCGGTACATTACAAAAAAAAAATCAACATTATCTATTATTCTTCCTCTCTCCGTATCTAGGATTTTTGGTTAAAATTTTTATTTTTTGTTTCCACAATTTTTCTTTGCTTCTAACAAACTTTTAATGATGGAGTATTGTTAGGCATTTAGAACAGTCACTGATTTTGTTCTGAAAAATTTAAAGTAATAAAATTGTGCAATTTTTAATAGGTAATTTCTGTTTATTTGTCTGTCTTAAATTTTTTCTTTGTTTTTTTTTTAAACTGACAGAAATTGATTTGGATGACAATTTTTTTTAAAACTAAAATTATGCAGACAAAGCAAATTTTTTAAAGTTCTAAATACAAAACAAATGAATTGTTATACTGGCTGAAATTCCTGATTGCAGAGTTATATTGGTATACTTTTTTCGGAAAAATATCCCTAACAATTGTATGCGATATATATCTCCCATTTTAACGAAGCAACAAATATGAAGTTGATTTAAAGTATATTTAACATGGGTACCGTTTCTCGACCCCGTTGCTGGATTCGTAATCGTATTGGAGGAAAAATTAAATAATTTTTATAAAAATATCGAAATTTATAAATTTTGATTTTTCTTTTAAAGATACATTGGTTCCAGTAATGGAGTGGCATTACACCTAATTTTAATCAAAATTACGAATAAATAAAGAAATATAAAGCAAGTCCAGTTTAATTTATAGTGAAAAATAGTTAATGCTCAATAAGGCAGCAGTTTTATATTAGGTTATTTTGTAATATATAATGGTAATTAAAAATATATCAAAATTGTGTTTATCGCTTTATCTTTGAATGAATATTTGAGTTATTGGTGACTTTCTAAAGAAATGCAAGTTATCTGAACTATACAATAATAAAGTTAAACATTTGTCTGCAATCTTACAGTCGAATCAAAACATAATTCAGTTTTGAAGCTATATTGTTAATCAAATAAATTAATGAAGCCTCTCACCTGAGGCAAACTGAAAAACAGATAATAATCCTTTTCTAAGAAGTTCTTTACAATGGCAAGCACTTACAAAAGCGTAGTATAACAAGGAATTATCCATCCATCCATGTTTTCAATATGGAAAAGTACGAAGGATTTCTTTGGCCGCGTTCTCACTGATTATTTGTCGCCGCAATCATATGGACGGCGTTTGTGCGGCATTATCAAATATTTGATTGTGTCGCATGTCATCAAAATACGCCAAACAGGCATACCAGAAATGCCAGAGGGGTAAACCGAGGGTACGTGAGATACAATCACGTCTGTGATTCTTGCCGCACACACTGTCTGTGACGCGCCATTCATACGTTCATGGTATTATATGTCCTTCTAATAGAATCACTGTTGAGTCTTCCCACTTCGCCATTGTTTGAAGGAACAGTAACGGGTTCGTTTACCGTAACTGCTTTGTTGGTGGCGGCATCTAGATGCTGGTATTGGCAGTGCGAATGGAGATCTGTTTTTTCATCCTGCAGTTCAATGCTCCAGAATGGTATCCTTGGTTGGTGCCTTCTATAATCCCAGTACCTGTAGCAAGTTGCCATAGCTGCGACTAGTAGGAGGACCCCCAAAGTTACCACAACAGCAATAAGCGGTAGTGTTCCGTCTGCAATGCTGCGGTCTATAAGTGAAGAGGTATATTATATAGTAAACTGACATTCAAACAAAATAGAGACTTGTTCAAAATAAGGAAATGAATGCAATACGCAACCAGGGTCGGACTGGGCACAGATATGGGCCCTAGCTTATATGGTTTGCCTCCTTAACATTTTGACACAGATGGGACCATGGTGTCACTTATATATGTTCTGACTCCGCTCTATTTACAAGTAAAAGTATGTATTGGTAAATTTTAATTATAAAAAACAGTCTAATAGTTTCTAAAAATCTGTTAGATTATCGGAATAATTTTGTATTAAAATGTAAAATCCTCAAAAAAAGTGGTTTGAAACTTTTTTTTCCAGTCATATTAAAAAATTTATCAATAATTGATTGTGTAAAATAAATAAATCTCAATAATGAATTACTGTTTCTCTTAGATCTAAATGGATCTTGGAGTTGATAAGTTCAAGTTTGAAAAATTATTGTTTGGAAGTGAGCCGTGTTTGGAAGATTTTATCTTTCACACAGATAAAAGCAAAGTTGTTTCTTGCTGTATTTCGCAATCGCAAATTAAGTAAAAAATAGTATATATGATATTTTTTACTTATTTTGTCATAAATCAATGCAAAATAATAGGAAAAGTTTTAAAAATATGTTAAATGAAAATTTTCTTCTTCAATGGGTTAAAGATCAGAAACTTTGATCCCAATGGATGGTGTTTAAAATAGAAATGTAAACAATAACAACCTCGAGCTCGGCACCTACTCTAGTTCCGGTTAAAAAGTTTGCAGCTGCTTACTACATGTTATTCTGATAGGCGATGTTTTCAAACGGATAATTTTGTTTTCAATAAAAGAAATAAACTAGATAATTTCTGAGCTCAAATCTGCCGTATTTCATAAGATATTAATGTTATTATGTAATTCTGGGGAGTTTGGAGTGAAAATTTGTTTTAGTTATTTTGTTATTTATTATTAAAAAAGGTGACATGGTTGCTAGATTTTGAATAACTCGCTTTTTTGGCAGTCTTGATTTGGCCTTTTTCCATTTGTTTATTACTGTTTGTTCGTGTTGCAAGCTGTGCACCATCTTACGTTAGTGTTAACACTTTTGGTATTGTAAACACAAGTATTGTTAGCATTGTAAACACAAGTAATAAGTAATCAAATACATTGTTTGATAGAATCTCAAAACACAATGATGCCAAATGGCTTTAAAATACAACTGAAACAGTAACCCGGAAATTTAGGCAGTCCCGAGCTTGCAGCGTTCCTTAGTGTAGAAAACACCATCCATATATATGTTTAAATTAAGTATATTGAAAAATTTAACGTAGTTTCAGAACATTATGTCATTTGCATGTTGAATAATTTTTTTTTTAAACAGATCGTAACATTATGATAAAAAAACACGACACTATTTAAATTTCTTTAGAGATTTCCTCAACTTAGGGCAAATGTAATGTCAATATTAACAGTTAGGGCCCTTTACCATGATCCAGTGGTTCCCTTAAAAAACGGAAGTAAAGGAAAGGAAAAAGATTTCAACGCAAAAACACTTGCGAATTTCGCTTTGTAAATAATAATTTGCAAATTCTGTAACATAAAATAAATAATAGCAAAATGACATTTTAGAATAAAACTACCTACTTGTTTCCTGTTATGCATTTTGTGGATAACACTGTTACGTATTAACGAAACTAATTGCACTCATTATTCATTAGAACGAATTCATTTCTTTAAAGTAGGACATTTACTAAATCAAAAAATTTTGTGAATTAAATTACTTAATAACGAAATCAGTAACAATTCTTTTAAAATTTTTCATTAAATCAAAAATAATTCATTTTTAAGGACCCCTTATTCAAATACTCCACACTCCCAAGTGGTTCAACCCTGACTACAAATGAAAGTAATCACCCTACCAGAAAATAACTTATTCAAATCGCGACATAAAATTAATACGTATGAATGTAAGGTTGATTTCCCAATAAAAGGCGGTTGAGTTGACGAGAGTTCTTATTCAAGTTTTGGCTTTTACCCAGACCCACAGTACTTTAAATGTAAAAATCACTTCGAAAGAAAATTTCATTTCATTTTATAAGAATTACATAAAAAATAGCTTCTATATATATTTAAAAAAATAATTTGTTGTGTCAGAGGAACCAGAAAACTGGTTTGAACAAGATTCACAGATACGTTATAAATTAATATCGTTATTGAATGGCATTTAATATTTTTGATGTTTTTAAAATGCTTGAAAAAGAAAAAAGAGGGTGAAACTTGATTTTAAGCGAGTTCTTGAACGCATAGTTGAAAAATGCAATAAAGCTTACCGCAATTTTCTTCTTTTTTATAAAAAAAAAAGCATACATCTTTTAATTCTAAAATTGTAAAATTATGCAAAAAACTATCCGTTTTGAGGAAAAAAAAAAAACACGATGTCACGATAGTTTTACGATAATTGTCCCGCTACATTGAAAAGAATTTTTTTCGTTTTTTTCACTATCTCAATTTTTTTCCTGTTTTAATCTCAGTTTAAATTTTTTCGATTACCTTCTAGATATTCATAAAAAAATTTTAACTTAGAAAAATAAAAAGTTTACGTTTTTCCTTCTTAAATTTTTATTTTATTTTTAGTATGGTTGAACCAACGACTTAGGTTTACACTTCATATTACTTTATTTATAACTTTACCTTCACTTTTTTATTCTCCAAAATTTTCTTTTCTGGCTGTTTATCGATTCATAAGGCTTTCGAGGCTTTCATATCAAAAAATTGGAGGAAAAAAATACGTGTACGTGGAACATTTTTACAAACATTTGTCATTATTACTATTCTGGTTAAAATATCGTTACAAAAAAAAAAAAAAAAAAAAAAAAAAAAAAAAAAAAAAAAAAAAAAAAAAAAAAAAAAAAAAAAAA